CCCTTCCGTGGGAACCCCATTCCCTGGGGAACCCCATTCCCACTGGATCCCCATCCCTGGGAACCCCATTCCCATGGAAACCCTACCCATGGAATCCCCATTTCCTTGGAAACCCCATCCCTGGGATCCCCATTCCCACGGGAACCCCATTCTCAGGGAAACCCTGTCCATGGAATCCCCATTCCCATGGAAACCCCATCCCTGGGATCCCCATTCCCATGGAAACCCCATCCCTGGGGAACCCCATTCCCACTGGATCCCCATCCCTGGGAACCCCATTCCCATGGAAACCCTATCCATGGAATCCCCCTTCTCAGGGAAACCCTGTCCATGGAATCCCCATTCCCATGGAAACCCCATCCCTGGGATCTCTATTCCCTGGGAACCCCATTCTCAGGGAAACCCTGTCCATGGAATCCCCATTCCCATGGAAACCCCATCCCTGGGATCCCCATTCCCATGGAAACCCCATTCTCAGGGAAACCCTATCCATGGAATCCCCCTTCTCAGGGAAACCCTGTCCATGGAATCCCCATTCCCATGGAAACCCCATCCCTGGGATCTCTATTCTCTGGGGAACCCCATTCTCACAGGATCCCCATCCCTGGGAACCCCATTCCCATGGAAACCCTATCCATGGGAGCCCCATTCCCATGGAAACACTATCCATGGGATCCCCATTCCCAGGGAAACCCTGTCCATGGAATCCCCATTCCCATGGAAACCCCATCCCTGGGATCTCTATTCTCTGGGGAACCCCATTCCCACAGGATCCCCATCCCTGGGAACCCCATTCCCATGGAAACTTTACCCATGGAATCCCCTTTCCCATGGAAACCCCATCCCTGGGAAACCCATTCCCATGGAAACCCTGTCCATGGAATCCCCATTCCCTGGGGACCCCCTGACCCTGGGAGCCCCATTGGGCCCTGTCACTGTCAACCCCCTGCCCCCATCCCTGGTGCCACCTGAGTGCCCACCTGTGCTGGGTGTGCCTCCCATGCCACCTGTCCCAATCCCAATCCAATCTGTCCCACCTGTCCACCAATCCTATCAATCCCAACCCCTCCAATCCAACCTGTCCCACCCATCCCAACCTTGTCAATCCCATCTGTGTCACCTGTCCCTTGGCTCTTATTTGTCCCACCTGTCCCCCCTGTCCCTTGGGTCCCACCTGTGCCAGGACCTGCCCCTGGGGCTCATGGATGACATCTACGAGTTCGTGAAGAACTTCTCCATCCGGATCGACGAGGTGGAGGAGGTGAGGGGGGATCTGGGGACATGGGGAGGGGACAGCCGTGCTGGCACCTGGCACCTGGGAGGGGCAGGGCCACGCCTTGCAGCATGGGGGGATGAGGGGACGAAGATTGGGGTGGAGGGGGACAGGTGAGGGGTGTGAGGGACAGGTGAGAGGTGCCAGGGACAGGTGAGGGGTGCCAGGGACAGGTGAGGGGTGCCAGGGACAGGTGAGGGGTACACAGGTGACGGTGGCAGGGACAGGTTTTGGTGTGAGGGGGACAAGGAACAGGTGCCAGGTGTGCCAGGGCAGGTGCCAGGTGTGCCAGGCGTGCCTGCTGTCCCCAGATGCTGACCAACAACCGCATCTGGAAGAACCGCACCGTGGACATCGGCGTCATCACGGCCGAGGAGGCCCTCAACTACGGCTTCAGGTGAGCCGGGGGGTCCCCCAGGTGCGCCCCGGCCCACGGGCAGGCGGGGCCCAGCCTCAGGTGCGATTTTTGGGGTGTCCCAGCGGGGTGATGCTGCGGGGCTCCGGGATCCAGTGGGACCTGCGCAAGACACAGCCCTACGACGTCTACGACCAGGTGGAGTTCGACGTGCCCATCGGCTCCCGCGGTGACTGCTACGACAGGTACGGCTCACCTGGCGTGGGGGTGTGGGGGGCTTGGGGGGTGCCCCCCGTTCCCCCGGGGCTGCCAGTCCTGGGATTGCTGTGCCAGGAGTCGCTGGGTCCCCTGCACCAGGACCCCATCCCAGGGACCCCATCCCATGGGAACCCATCCCTGAGACCCCCAGGGACCCCATCCCAGGGACCCCATCCCAGGGACCCCATCCCAGGGACCCCATCCCATGGGAACCCCATCTGGTTTTGGGGCACAGGTACCTGTGCCGCATTGAGGGGATCCCATATCCCATTTTTGGGGCGCAGGGGATCCCATGTCCCTTTTTTGGGGCTCAGGGGATCCCCCACATCCCATTTTTGGGGCTCAGGGGATCCCCTGTCCCATTTTTGGGGCTCAGGGGATCCCCACATCCCAAACTGGGGGCGCAGGTACCTGTGCCATGCGGAGGGGATCCCATGTCCCGTTTTTGGGGTTCAGGGGATCCCATACCCCATTTGTGGGGCGCAGGGGATCCCATGTCCCATTTTTGGGGCACAGGGGATCTCCTGTCCCGTTTTGGGGGCTCAGGGGATCCCCACATCCCAAATTGGGGGCGCAGGTACCTGTGCCGCGTGGAGGAGATGCGGCAGTCGCTGCGGATCATCCTGCAGTGCCTCAATAAGATGCCGCCCGGCGAGATCAAGGTGGACGACGCCAAAGTGTCACCCCCGAAACGCGCCGAGATGAAGGTGACGTGTCCCCAACCCCGCGGCTGGGGTGGCACCCAAGGCTGGTGACACCGAGGGCAGGTGCCAGCCCTGCAGTGCCACCTCTGTCCCCACAGACGTCCATGGAGTCCCTGATCCATCACTTCAAGCTCTACACCGAGGGCTACCAGGTGCCACCCGGGGCCACCTACACGGCCATCGAGGCCCCTAAGGTGACACTTCTCGCCCTGTTTGTCCCTGGCACCGGCTCCATGCCAACCCTGCCCTGGTTGGCAGCAGCCACCCTGTCCCCATGTCCCCAATCCTGTCCCCACAGGGGGAGTTTGGGGTGTACCTGGTGTCCGATGGCAGCAGCCGTCCCTATCGCTGCAAGATCAAAGCGCCCGGCTTCGCCCACCTGGTACGGCCTGGGGACACCTGGGGACACCTGGGGAACATCTGGGGACACCTGGGGAACATCTGAGCACACCTGGGGAACACCTGGGCACAACTGGGGACACCTGGGATACACCTGAGGACACCTGGGGAACATCTGGGGACACCTGGGGAACATCTGGGGACACCTGTGCACACTTGGGAACACCTGGGGGACATCTGGGGACACCTGGGGACACCTGGGCATACCTAGGGAACATCTGGGGGACACCTGGACACACCTGAGGACACCTGGGCACCATCTGGGCACACCTGGGGGACACCTGGGGACACCAAGGGCTCAGGGGACTTGGGGACAGGCGACACTGGAGGGTCCCCGTGGGGGTTATTGAGGATAATTAACACCTGTGGGTTAATTGGGGTCCCTGTGGGCTAATTGGCTGTTAATTGGCTGTTAATTGGCTGTTAATTGGATGTTAATTGTGGTTCCCCAGGCCGGGCTGGACAGGATGTCCCAGGGCCACATGCTGGCAGACGTGGTGGCCATCATTGGTATGTCCTCCTCCCCTTTTTGGGGGGTCCTTTCCCCTTTTTTGGGGTCCCCCTCCCATTTTTGAGGTTCCCTTCCCCATTTTTGGGAGTCCCTCTCCCCTTTTGGGGGTCCCTCTCTCCTTTTGTGGTCCCTTGCCCATTTTTGGGAGTCTCTCTCCCTTTTTGGGGGTCCCTTCCCCATTTTTGGGACTCCCACTCTCCTTTTGTGGTCCCTTGCCCATTTTTGGGGGGCTCTTTTTCTCTTTTGGGACTTTCTTCCCCATTTTTCAGGTTTCTTTTAATTTTCTGGGTTTTTTTTTTTCCCGTTTCAGGGGCTCCTTCCCTATTTGTGGGATTTCTTCCCTTTTTAGGTTTTCCCCTCATTTTGGGGGGGCTCTTCCTCGATTTTCCCCTATTGGAATCCTCCTTCCCTTTTTTGGGGGGAGCTCCTTCCAGTTCGAGGGGGCTCCTTCCCCAATTTGGGGGGGTTCTTGCCCAATTTGGGGTCCCCTTCCCCAATCTGGGGGGGTTCTTGCCCAGTTTGAGGTCCCCTTCCCCATTTTTGGGGGTCCCTTCTCCATTTTGGGAGTCCCTCTACCTTTTTGGGGTCCCCTTACCCATTTTTGGGTGGTTCCTTTCTTTTTAGGGTCTCACTCTCTTTTTAGGGTGCCCCTTCCAGTTTTGGGGTCTCCTTCCCCATCCCAACATCCTTTTCCCAGTTTGGGGGGGGGGGTCTTCCCCCAATTTTGGGGTGCCCTGACCCCCCTTTTTCCCCCACAGGCACCCAGGACATCGTTTTTGGGGAGGTGGATCGATGAGGGGGGGGTCCCCCACCCCTCTCCGTGTGCTGCTGCAGTTTGGGGGTGCCCCCACACCCCGTTTCGAGTCAAATAAAGCCAAAATCGGCTCCTGAGCCTCCCTGTCCCCTTTGTCCCCCCTTTGTCACCGCCGTCACCTCCTTCCCTCTTTGGGGGGGCTCCTTCCCCACTTTGGGGGGGCTCCTTCCCCACTTTGGGGGGGCTCCTTTCCCCATTTTGGGGGAGCTCTGTTCCCCAGTTTGGGGGGGCTCCTTTCCCCAGTTTGGGGGGGCTCCTTTCCCCAGTTTGGGGGGGCTCCTTTCCCCAGTTTGGAGGGGCTCCTTTCCCCAGTTTGGGGGGACTCCTTTCCCCAGTTTGGGGGGGCTCCTTTCACCTTTTGGGGTCTCCTTCCCCTTTTAGGGTCCCTTCCCCTTTTGGGGCCTCTCTCCCATTTTGGGGGGGTTCTTGCCCAGTTTGGGGGGGCTCCTTCCCTACTTTGGGGGTTCTCCTTCCCCTTTTAGGGTCCCTTCCCCTTTTGGGGCCTCTCTCCCAGTTTGGGGGCGGAAGGAGCCCCCCAAAAAAGGGGGAAGGGGTTTCCCCACAGCTCCGCCGTCCCACGGGGATTTTTGGGGGGGCTCTGGTGGAGCGGCCGGACGTTGGTGGCCGCGGGTGACACTTGGGGACAGCGGAAGGGAGGTGGCACTGGGGAAGTGGGGGAGGGGCCGCGGTCACTGCTGGCAGCGGGGGGACACCGAGGGGACAATGGGGACATTGGGGACAGCGGGGCCCCTGCTCGTCCTCGTCCTGCTGGGGGCGCCCGGCCTGGCCGCAGGTGGGCACGGGGGGGTTTGGGGGGTTTAGGGGATTTGGGGGAGTTTAGGGGATTCGGGGTGTCTGGGGGATTTGGGGGGGTTTAGGGGATTTGGGGTGTCTGGGGGGTTTGGGGTGATTCGGGGTGTCTGGGGATTTTGTGGGGTTTAGGGGTTTGGGGGGTTTAGGGGATTTGGGGGGGTTTAGGGGATTTGGGGTGTCTGGGGGGTTTGGGGGCATTTGGGGTGTCTGGGGATTTTGGGGGGTTTAGGGGTTTGGGGATGTTTAGGGGATTTGGGGGGGTTTAGGGGATTTGGGGTGTCTGGGGGGTTTGGGGGATTTGGGGGGGTTTAGGGTGTCCCGGGGGTTTGGGGGGGTTTGGGGTGTCCCGGGGGTTTGAGGGGGATTTGGGGTGTTTGGGGGATTTGGGGTGTCCGGGGGGTTTGGGGAAATTTGGGGGAGTTTAGGGGGTTTGGGGTGTGCGGGTGGTTTGGGGTGTCCGGGGGAACTGGGGGAGTTTGGGGTGTCCGGGGGGATTTGGGAGGGGGTTAAATGGTTTGGGGCGGTTTAGGGGATTTGGGGTGTCCGGGGGGTTTGAGGTCACAGGGATTTGGGGTCACAGAGATTTGGGATCACAGGAATTTGGGGTCCTGGTGATGCGCTACATCCCCTTCCCTGCTCCCTTGACTTTTGGGGTACCCCAGGGACCCCCGAGGTTCTCCCGGGTTTGGGGGGGGCACCCAGGGGGGGTCACAGGAGGGGCTCTGATGCCACCCAAGGCGCCATCGGTGCCACCTGCGGGGTGACACACGGAGCCGGGGGGTCCCCAAAACCCCCAAAATTCCCCCCAAAACCCCCAAAATCCCCCAAAATTGCCCCAAAACCCTGCAAAATCTCCCCAAACCACTCCAAAACCCCCCCAAAATCGCTGCAAGATCACCCCAAAAGCCCCCAAAATCGCCCCAAACCCCCTCAAAATCACCCCAAAATCCCCCCGAAATACCCCAAAGCCCCTCAAAATCGCCCCAAAATCCCCCCAAATCGCCCCAAAACCCCGCAGGGGCCCTGGCCGAGCCCGAAATCTGCTACGTGCTGGACGCGGTGCTCTTCCTCTACAGCCTCATCCTCACCGGCCTCTACATCCGCCTCAGGGTGAGCCCCACGAACCCCCTTTTTTTTTTGGGGGGTGGGGGGGGGTCCCCAAACCTCCCCTCCCTCCTCCCCCCACTTTTTTTTACCCATTTTCCCCTTTTTTTTCCCCTCATTTTTGGTTTTCTCTCCCCCCCTCCCCAGTTTGTGAATTGGCGACTGCAGAGAGCGGCTGGGCAGGTAAAGGGGGGGGATTTTGGGGGGATTTTGGGGGAATTTTGGAGGGATTTTGGGGTGTGGGGGTGTCCGGCTGTGCCCCCCCTCCAGCCCCCCAAAATCTCCTTTCGTTTTCTGTTCCCGGCAGAAGGAGGAAGAGGCCGTTTATGCCGTGAGTCACGCGGGGGGGCGGGGGCAGATTTTGGGGACCCCCCCAGATTTTTTTGGGGGGGTTTGGGGGTGACCCCTGGATATTGATGGGCTGGGATTTGGGGTGTCCCCCTTCATTAATGGGGTGAGATTTGAGGTGTCCCCCTCCATTAATGGGTGTCAGATTTGGGGTGTCCCCCCCATTTAAAGGGATAAGATTTGGGGTGACTCCCCCATTAATGGGCTGAGATTTGGGGTGTTCCCCTCATTTATGGGGTGAGATTTGGGGTGGTTGGGATTTGGGGTGTCCCCCCTCCCCTAAAGAACCAGTTATGGGGCCGAGATTTGGGGTGTTCCCACAATTTTGGGTGTCAGATTTGGGGTGTTCCCCTCATTTATGGGGTGAGATTTGGGGTGTTTGGAGTTGGGGTGCTCCCCTTCCCCTAAAGAATGACTGACAGGGTGACACTGGGGAGGTGACAATTTAGGGGTGACAATGTGGGGGGGACACTGTGGGGGTGACAATCGGTGGGGGGGTGGCACAGACCCCCCCAGACACCCCAAAACCCTCCTGGACCCCCCGCAGGGTCTCAGCCCCGACCACCAGGAGACCTACGAGACCCTGCAGATGAAGAGCTCCTGACCCCCGCGGGGAAAATCGGGAATTTTTACCCCTGGAAATGGAAAAATCGGTGTTTTTTACCCCTGGAAATGGAAAAATCGGATTTTTTTACCCCGGAAATAGAAAATTTGGGATTTTTTACCCCTGGAAATGCCAGATTTGGATGGAAAATTTGAATTTTGCCCCCCCGGTTCCCTCCCGGTGCCCAAACCCACCTCCCCAGCCCTGCCAGATTTTGAGACCCCAAAATCCCACCAAAATCCCATTAAAAAACCCCAAATCCACTCCAAAATCATATAAAAATCCCCCCAAAACCCACCAAAATCCCTACCCCAAAACTCCCTCCACAATTCACTGCAAATTCCTCCAATTTATGAATTATTTTTATTTCCTTCACATAGAAAACGTTTTCTTACATTTTCCAAGTTTTCAGTATTTTCACTGATATGCACAAGTTCTCTTTCTGTGCGTGATGTCGTGTGGGATTTAGCAAAGAATCTTGAGTTTCTTCCAGAGCCACCATGCACATAACCCTAAACCTGGCAAAAACCCTAAACCTGGCCCAAAACCCTAAACATGACCCAAAACCCTGAACCTGGCCCAAATCCTGAATCCTAAACCTGGCCCAAAACCCTAAACATGACCCAAAACCCTAAACCTGGCCCAAAACCCTAAACATGACCCAAAACCCTAAACCTGGCCCAAAACCCTAAACATGACCCAAAACCCTAAACCTGGCCCAAACCCTAAGCCCTAAACCTGGCCCAACCCTGAACCCTAAAACTGGCCCAAATCCTGAATCCTAAACCTGGCCCAAATCCTGAATCCTAAACATGACCCAAAACCCTAAACGTGACCCAAAACCCTAAACCTGGCCCAAATCCTGAATCTTAAACATGACCCAAAACCCTAAACATGACCCAAAACCCTAAACATGACCCAAAACCCTAAACCTGGCCCAAACCCTAAACCCTAAACCTGGCCCAAATCTGGATTCCAGCTCCAAAATTCCATCCATTCAGGGATTGCTCCCAGGTGAAGCTGCCAGGACAGACAGGGGACACTGGGGACAGCGTCACCCCAGGTCACTCGTGGGAGAGGGGACCACAGTGTCCTGTGTCCCCGTGTCCCCGTGTCTGTCCCCGTGTCCCTGTGTGTCCCCGTGCCCAGCTGACACGCAGGCCCTTCACCAACCGTTCCTTTACTCTCCTCAGCAGCACGAGCCCCGTGGGCAGAGGCAGCTGCTCCATGTCCCGTCCCTGTCCTGTCCCTGTCCCCCCCTTGTCCCTGTCCCTGTCCCCTCACGGCCTCTTCATGGTGCTCTCGATGAACGCCTCCAGCACAAAGATGGTCTCATCCACCTGGTTCTCGCTGGCGTCGATCCTGGGGGACACACGGGGACGGGCAGCCCCCCACGAGGTCCCCAACACCCCACGAGGTCCCCAACCCCTGTCCCCAACCCCCCACGAGGTCCCCAAGCCCCCCATGAGATCCCCAACACCCCACAAGGTCCCCAACCCCTGACAAGGTCCCCAACCCTCAATGAGGTTCCCAACCCCTGTCCCCAACCCTTGATGAGGTCCCCAACCCACCACGAGGTCCCCAACCCCTGTCCCCAACCTCCCCACAAGGTCCCCAATCCCTGTCCCCAACCCCCCCATGAGGTCCCCAACCCTTGACGAGGTCCCCAACCCTCAACGAGGTTCCCAACCCCTGTCCCCAACCCACCACAAGGTCCCTAAGCCCCACATGAGGTCCCCAAGCCCCCACGAGATCCCCAACCCTTGACAAGGTCTCCAACCCCCGATGAGGTCCCCAACCCCCACGACGTCCCCAACCCCTGTCCCCAACCCACCACAAGGTCCCCAACCGCCCCTCACTTGTTGACGTTGCGTTTGAGGTTCTCCAGCTGCTGCCTCTCGGGACCCGTGATCATCTCCTCCACCTCGTGCAGCTGCGCCGCCTCGGCCCCCGTGGCCTGCATGGAGGCCAGGATGGCCTCCACGCGCTGCGACTTCTCCAGGAGCCTCCTAGGAGGGAGCGGCGGGCGCGTGGGGACGTGGCACCGGTGGCTCTCGTGGCCACCACCCCCGGCCCATGGAGCTCACTTGTTCTCCCGCATCTCGTGGTGTCTTCGCTCCATCAGGTTGGCCACGCTCTGGGGGAGGAACAGGTGAAGGACAGGTGAAGAACAGGTGAAGGACAGGTGAATGACAGGTGGAGGAATAGGGGGAGGAACAGGTGAGGAACAGGTGAAGAACAGGTGAAGAACAGGTGAAGAACAGGTGAAGAACAGGTGAAGGAACAGGTGAAGAACAGGTGAAGGAACAGGTGGAGAAACAAGGGGAGGAACAGGAGGAACAGGTGAAGGAACAGGTGAAGAAAGGTGAAGGAACCGGTGAAGAACAGGTGGAGTAACAGGTGAAGAATAGGTGAAGAACAGGTGAAGAACAGGTGAAGAACAGGTGAAGGAACAAGGGGAGGAACAAGGGGAGGAACAGGTGAAGAACAGGTGAAGGAACAGGTGAAGAACAGGTGAAGAAACAGGTGAAGAACAGGTGAAGAACAGGTGAAGAAACAGGTGAAGAACAGGTGAAGAACAGGTGAAGGAACAAGGGGAGGAACAAGGGGAGGAACAGGTGAAGAACAGGTGAAGGAACAGGTGAAGAACAGGTGAGTGCTGGGGGGCACTGAAGAACCCCGTGGTGGGACACGGGCACAGTCACTGCCACCCCTGTGCCACCACCAGGAAGGGGACTGTGACACCTGGACCCTGGAGCAGGAAGGAGCTCCAGAAGGACAGGAACCAGGTGACAGCCCTGCCCAGGTGTGCTGGGGGGGACACCAAGGGACCCTCCACTCCCAAAAACCCAGCAGGGGGACAGGGGGAGGACGGTCACCAGGACGTCACCAGGATGGTGACATCTGGACATGGGGGCTGCAATAGTTCCCTGGAGCAGGGCCTGGATTCCCTGGAAATTCCTGCATGGATGGAGAAGGATTTGTGGTCCTGGGGGCCCAGAAGGTCCTTGGGATTCACCTGGTAGCACCTGTGGAGCAGCATCCGAGCAGCGGCCATCACGTTCACCGTGTACAGGTAAAAGGTGCGGGAGGGAGCGTGGTCAGGAGTCTTGGGAATCTCCTGGGGAAGGACAAAGGATGGTGGCAACCAAATGGAAGTGTCTCCTTCTCCAAGGAGGAACCTGTGATCCCTCCCCAGATGGTTCCTCATGCCCAAATTCCAGGTGGGATCACTCGGAAGTGCCCGGCAGTGCCCATCACACCTGGGCAATCTCTGAGATCCCAGAGCTGGGAATCTCCTGGGAATCATCTCCTGTGGAAGGGCAGAGGGATGGTGGAAACATCTCCTTCTGCAAGGAGGAACCTGTGATCCCTCCCCAGATGGTTCCTCATGCCCAAATTCCAGGTGGGATCACTTGGAAGTGCCCAGAAATATCCATCACTTGGCCAGCTGTCACACCTGGACAATCTCTGAGATCCCAGAGCTGGGAATCTCCTGGGAATCATCTCCTGTGGAAGGATGGTGGCAACCAAATGGAAGTATCTCCTTCCCCAGGAGTGTCCACGATTTCCCTGTGCCCAAATTCCAGGTGGGATCACTTGGAAGTGCCCAGCAGTTCCCACCACCTGACCAGCTGTCACCTGGGCAATCTCTGGGATCCCAGAGCTGGGAAGGGCAAAGGATGGTGGGAACCAAATGGAAGTGTCTCCTTCTCCAAGGAGGAACCTGTGATCCCTCCCCAGATGGTTCCTCATGCCCAAATTCCAGGTGGGATCACTTGGAAGTGCCCATAATTGCCCATCACACCTGGGCACTCTCTGGGATCCCAGAGCTGGGAATCTCCTGGGAATCATCTCCTGTGGAAGGGCAGAGGGATGGTGGAAACATCTCCTTCTGCAAGGAGGAACCTGTGATCCCTCCCCAGATGGTTCCCCATGCCCAAATTCCAGGTGGGATCACTCAGAAGTGCCCAGAAATTCCCATCACAGAAGTGCCCATCACCTGTCACAACTGGACAATCTCTGGAATCCCAGAGCTGGGAAAGGCAAAGGATGGTGGGAACCAAATGGAAGTATCTCCTTCTCCAAGGAGGAACCTGTGATCCCTCCCCAGATGGTTCCTCATGCCCAAATTCCAGGTGGGATCACTCGGAAGCTCCCAGCAGTGCCCATCCCACCTGGGCACTCTCTGGGATCCCAGAGCTGGGAATCTCCTGGGAATCATCTCCTGTGGAAGGATGGTGGCAACCAAATGGCAGTATCTCCTTCCCCAGGAGTGTCCACGATTTCCCTGTGCCCAAATTCCAGGTGGGATCACTCGGAAGCGCCCGGCAGCGCCCATCCCACCTGGGCAATGCCTGGCACCCCTCACCTGCAGTGCCACCAGGTTCTCGGAGAGCATCCTGTAGAGCATGTCCTTGGCCTCCTTGGCCGGGATCATGGCGAAGTCCTCCACCTGCTTCTGCTCCAGGTGCTTCTTGCGCAGCAGCAGCCGGAAAATTCGGGCGCAGCGGGAGCCGAACCTGGGCAGGGGGAGGGGGGTGAGGGAGGGAGGTGGGGAGGGGCTGGGGGGTCTCCAGGTGCCCTCCCCTCACCTCTCCTCCACGATGGATTCCAGCGTGGCCGTGGCCAGGGACACCAGGGCCTTGTGCAGGTCTGCGGGGGTTGAGGTCAAGGAGAATTCCGGAAAAAAAATCCACCCCAAAAATCTGCCCAAAATTCACCCAATAATCCCAAAATCTCCCAAAAATCCCCCCAAAATCAACAAAAGATCCCCTGAAAATCCCCCACAAAATCACCAAAAGTTACCCTGAAAATCACCCCAAAATCACCCAATAATCCCCCAAATCTGGCCAAAAATCACCCCAAAAATCCCAACATCCCCTGAAAATCCCCCCCAAATCAACAAAAGATGCCCTGAAAATCACCCAAAAATCACCCAAATCTGCCCCAAATCACCCAGAATTCCCCAAAATTCCTCCCAAATCATCCCTACATCCCCCCCAAAATTCTCCAAATTCCCCACAAAATATCCCCCAAATCTGCCCAAAATCACCCCAAAATTCCCCAAAAGATACTGACAGTGTAGGTGCCCCCTCCACTGTCCCCCGCCTTCCCCACGAACTCCAGCTGCAGGGACAGAGGACACAGAAAATGTGGAATTTTCCTTTAAAAAATTATTTTTCCTTAAAATTTGGAGTGGGAAGAGAAAGGTTTCAGGAAAAAAAAATATCTTTAATATATAACATAGTGTAATGTAATACAATTAATATAATTTAACATATATTATATATTATTACATTACATTATATTATATATTTATATTGCATATTACATTATATTACATTATATTACAATATAAAACAAAATATTATAATATATATTACAGTATTCATTATAATAATATATTATTATATATTACATTATAATATAATTAATATGATATAATATATTTTTATATATTTATATATATTTCTATATTATATTATTTATATATAATATATTATATAAATTACATTTATATTTTGTTTATATGTTATATATTTATCTATGTATGTATTATACATTACATTTATACAACATATATTTATATATTATATTATAATATATTATATATTTATAAATAATATACAAATATTTTTCTATATTATATTTATATATATTTTATATTATTTTTATATATTATATTTTGTTATTATTTTTATATATTTATATCTTATATTTTTATATAAATTGGAAAATCTCACCGGATCATCGGCCAGCAGCGCCAAGTATTGATCCAGCACAGCTTTGCTAATGTTGTACCCGGCAGGGAGAGACCTGAAAATCTGAAAAACGGCAGAAAAAAGGTAAAAACCACAGAAATAAAGGTAAAAAACATAGAAAAAAGGTTAAAAACACAAAACACAAACAAAAGCAGGAATGGGAAGGGATGCCAAGGGCTGGGATGGATTTTGGGATTTTTTTGGGGTATTTTTGGGGAGGGATTTTGAGTCATTTTTGGGGTGGGTTTTGGGTCATTTTTAGGGTGGGTTTTGGGATTTTTTTGGGGTTATTTTGGGGTGGGTTTGGGGATCTTTTTGGAATTTTTTGAGTTGGTTTTTGAGGTGCTTTTTGGGTGGTTTTTTTTGGGTATTTTCGAGGAGGGATTTTGGGTTATTTTGGTGTGGTTTCTGGGGTGTTTTTTAGGGTTATTTTGGGGTATTTTTGTGGTGGTTTTGAGGGTATTTTTGGGAGGGATTTGGGGTTATTTTGGGGTATTTTAGGGGTGTTTTTTGGGATGTTTTTGGGGAGAGATTTGAGGTTATTTTGGGGTGGTTTTGGGGTGGGTTTTGGGATGCTTTTGGAATGTTTTGGGCTGCTTTTGGGATGTTTTTTGGGGTATTTTCAGGGTTATTTTGGGGTGGTTTCTGGGCTAGTTTTGGGGTATTTTTGGGGTTATTTTGGGTAATTTTGGACCCACCTCATTGGAGGAGAGGGGCTGAGTGTGGGAGGCGCCCGAGGCCGTGGTCACCTCGCTCATGCGAAGCATCGTCCTCACCACCTCACTGCTGGTCTGTGTGGGAAAAACAGGAATTAGAGAGGAAAAGCAGGAATTAGGGTGGGAAAATCAGGAATTAGAGAGGAAAAGCAGGAATTAGAGAGGAAAAATCCGGATTTAGGGTGGGAGCACACACCTGGTCCATCCTGCTGGCCACGGCACTGACCAGAGCCTGGTCTCGGAAATGTTGGTGGAAACGTTCCAGGTTCACCTGCCAGTAAATTCCATCATCTGGGGGAGGCTGGGGGGGAAAAAAAAAAGGCAAAAAAATGAGGAAAAAGAGCCAGGAAAAATGAGGAAAAGGAGGCACAAGAAATGAGGAAAAAGAACCTTGAAAATGAGGGAAAGGAGCTATGAAAAATGAGGGAAAAGTCACAAAAATGAGGAAAAAGAGCCAGGAAAAGGGAGGGGAAAATGAGGAAAAGGAGTCTTGAAAAATGAGGAAAAAGGCACAAAATGAGGGATGGGAGGCAGAAAAAAAAAGGAAAAAGCCACAAAAATGAGGAAAAAGAGCCTTGAAAATGAGGAAAAAAAGCCTCGAGAAATGAGGATAAAGAGACATAAAAATGAGGAAAAAGAGCCATAAAAAACAAGGAAAAGTGTCCCCAGAATTTTGGGAATTTGGATCTCAGGACCTCGGAGCTTCCTCCCTCCTGCTTCTGCCTTTTGGCTCTGTGCTCGCCCTCCTCTTCCTCATCACACGAGTGTCTCCTCTTCCCTTTGCCTGAAAACCCAAAATTATATATGTAAACTTTATGAACTGACATAAAAATGGTATTTAAGTTGTACAATAATTATATAGAAAGTATATTAAATTTGTATGTATAAATTATATACAAGTGATATTAAAATTATATAGAAAGCATATATAAATTATATATAAATTGTATACAAATACACAAATTATATATAAACAACAGAAATGATAAAAAATATATATAACATAAAATTATATATAAATGATATATAATACACAAATGACATATAGATAATATATTATATAAAATTATATATAAAAATATTAAAGTATATAAAAATTGTATAAAACTAGATATGAAAATATAAAATTATATATAAATTATATACAACTACATATAAACAATATATAAGTAATGCAGAAATTATATAAATTATATATAAATGATACTTACATTTTATAAAAATTATATATAAATTATATAAAATTATATATAAACTATACATAAATTATCTATAAAAGTATATTAAAAAGTTTAAAAATTAAGTTTAAAGTATAAATATAATTTTTAAAAATATATAATAATTTTAATTTTTAAAATTTATTTTTAATTCTAATTTTAAAAAATGCAACAATTAGAATTTTTACGAATCATTTCGACATAACAAATAATTTTAATTGATGTTTAAAATTTAAACGGATTTTTACAAAGCCGGGGCTGTGTCTCACCGCCGAGGCCGAGGCGCGGCACGAGGAACCTGTCCTTGTCCTCGCTGGCCGGGGCAGGCGGCGGCACCCTGGCATCAGGGGGCACCTCGGGGGGCAGCGCGGGGGGCGCGGGGCAGCGCTGGATGAAGTGTGTGTCGGCCAGGCGCACGAAGGTGGCCGAGACCTCGCTGACATCCATGGACTTCCCGTCTGGAGGGAGGAGAAACATCTGGGGTGGGGCTGAGCGTCAGGAGGGACACTCAGGGTGGGGCTGAGGATGAGGAGGGACACGTTGGGTAGTGAGGAGGATGAAGATGGGCACGTTGGGTGGTGAGGAAGATGAGGAAGGACACGTTGGGTGGGGCTGAGGATGAGGAGGGACACTCAGGGTGGGGCTGAGGATGAGGAGGGACACGTTGGGTGGTGAGGAGGATGAAGATGGACACGTTGGGTGGTGAGGAGGATGAAGATGGACACCTTGAGTGGGGCTGAGGATGAGGAGGGACACGTTGGGTGGGGCTGAGGGTCAGGAGGGACACCTTGGGTGGTGAGGAGGATGAAGATGGACACGTTGGGTGGGGCTGAGGATGAGGAGGGACACGTTGGGTGGTGAGGAGGATGAAGATGGACACATTGGGTGGTGAGGAGGATGAGGAGAAACACCTGGGGTGGGGCTGAAGATGAGGAAGGAGAGGTTGGGTGGTGCTGAGGATGAGGAGGGACACCTTGGGTGGTGAGGAGGATGAGGAGGGACACCTTGAGTGGTGCTGAGGATGAAGAGAAACACCTGGGGTGGGGCTGAGGATGAGGAAGGACAGGTTGGATGGGGCTGAGGGTCAGGAGGGACACCTTGGGTGGTGAGGAGGATGAAGATGGACACGTTGGGTGGTGCTGAGGATGAAGATGGACACCTTGAGTGGTGCTGAGGATGAGGAAGGACACAGTGGGTGGTGCTGAGGATGAAGATGGACACCTTGAGTGGGGCTGAGAATGAGGAAGGACACATTGGGTGGTGCTGGGGATGAGGAGGGAGGAGAGACACATTCCCACCTTCCATGGTCTCGGTGAGGCGCTCGGCCACCCTGACCATGGCATCACTCATGGGGAGGTGCCCATGGAGCAGAAATCCCTCCACCAGTTCTCCAACATCCTACAGTGCCTCCAATCCCGCTCGCCAACTAAACCTCATCCCAAATCCCATTTTTTTTGCGGAAGGAGCTTCCCTCTCACCTTCCATGGTCTCGGTGAGGCGCTCGGCCACCCTGGCCACGGCGGCGCTCATGGGGAGGTGCCCGTGGAGCAGCAGCTCCTCCACCAGCAGCTCGCCGGGGTCGCCGTAGAGCGTCTTGGCCGTGTAGATGTAGCGGGGGTAGCGCAGGAGGCGCAGGACGCGCCGGCTCCGCGCCTCGTACTCCACCGGGCCCCGCGGCTGCGGCGCGTAGCGCGCCAGCCCGTGCTGCAGGAGCACGCACAGCGCCTTCTTCACCTGCGGGCAGGGAGGGAATGCCCAGCTTTTCATGGGAATAAACCGTGGGAATGGCAGTGCCACTCGTGGGGATAAAGCGTTCCTTTTAGTGGGAGTAGTGGGAATTACGCCGTGGCTTTTTGTGGGAATTATGGGGATTACCCCGTCCCTTTTAATGGGAATTACCCCGTCCCTTTTAATGGGAATAACGGGAATTAACCAGTCCCTTCTAGTGGGAATAATGGGAACTACCCCGTCCCTTTTAATGGGAATAACGGGAATTACCCCATCCCTTTTAATGGGAATTACCCTGTCTCTTTTAATGGGAATAATGGGAATTACCCTGTCCCATTTAATGGGAATAATGGGAATTACCCCATCCCTTTTAATGGGAATTAACCAGTCCCTTTTGGTGGGAATAATGGGAATTACCCCGTCCCTTTTAATGGGAATAACGGGAATTACCCCATCCCTTTTAATGGGAATTACCCTGTCTCTTTTAATGGGAATAATGGGAATTACCCCGTCCCTTTTAATGGGAATAATGGGAATTACCCTGTCCCTTTTAATGGGAATAACAGGAATTACCCCATCCCTTTTAATGGAAATTAACCAGTCCCTTTTGGTGGGAATAATGGGAATTACCGTGTGCCTTTTAATGGGAATAATGGGAATTACCCCATCACTTTTCATGGGAATAAACCGTGGGAATGGTATTGCCATTTGTGGGAATAAACTGCTCCTTTTAGTGGAAATAGTGGGAATTACCCCATCCCTTTTAATGGGAATAATGGGAATTACCCTGTGCCTTTTAATGGGAATTAACTGGTCCCTTCTAGTGGGAATAATGGGAATTACCCCGTCCCTTTCAGCGGGAATAATGGAAATTACCCTGTGCCTTTTAATGGAAATTACCTTTTAATAGGAATAATAGGAATTACCCTGTGCCTTTTAATGGGAATAATGGGAATAACCCCATCCCTTTTAATGGGAACAACCCTGTCCCTTTTCATAGGAATAAACCCATATTAATTTCAAATTAATTTTAAACCCCATATCAACTTCAAATAATTACAAATCATTTCTTATTAATCACAAATTAATTTTAAAATTCATATTAATTTCGAATAATTTCTTCTTAATTTCCAATAACATGCAATTATTTTAATTCTTTTTTAAATTTAAACCCTTTCTCCCGTACCTGATCCGGCAGCAGCCCCGTGTCCCCCACCAGCAACCGCAACGGCCGCGGGCCGGTCCGGAGTAGAGAATTCCCAACTTTTTCCACAATTTCGCCAAAATTCTCCCGCAGCAGGAGGGAGCAGAGCCGGAGCTCCGCTTGAGTCATCCCGGCGGCTCCGGTAAATCCAAGGAACGGAACGGAACGCGAGAGGAAAGGAGAAAGAGGAAAGGAAAGGAGAAAGAACAGCTGAGGGGAGAGAGAGGAGACATGGCTGACCTCGCTGCGGATCCCCTCCCGGGGGGGAGAATCAGCCGCTCCCCAGGTAGGATTTCCCTTTCCGTGCCCTCCCACGGGTGGGATCCTCGCCCCGTCCCGGTTTCCCGGAGTCCCCTCCGCCCTCACCGCCAGGCGCGGCCTAGGCCGCCATCACCATCACGGCCGCCATCACCGTCACCATGACAACGGCTCCGCGCCGCCTCCACTTCCCGTACGTCACTTCCGCCACCGCTACCCCGCCTCCCCCATTGAGACGCCACCACCAGGGGGCGCCACGCCGCTGCCCGCCCCGCTGGGGCCGCTCTAGCCCGCCCCGCCGCGCTTTGCTTGGCCGCGGGCGGAGCAGACGAGTTGACCGGAAGTTCGGGGCCGCTCTGGGCTGCGCTCGCTGCTCCCGGAGGAGTGACGGCAGAGGAGGCCGTGAGGGAAGATGGCGGAGGCGGCGGCGGCGGTGCAGCAGCACCGGTTCTTCTGCCACAGCTGCAAGGGAGAGGTCAGCCCCAAGCTGCCGGTGAGCCGCGGGAAGGGAGGGTCGCTGAGGGGGAGCCCTGAGGTGCCGGGGAGGATCCCCTCAATGGCTCCTGGAGTCCCTGAGGAAGGGGCGACCTCCGGGCCCCCCGAAGTTGTTCCCACACGGAACGGGTGAAATGTGGCCGGTGTGGAAAGGGACGGGAGGAATGTCCCGTTCCTGAGGGAAAGGATCATTCCAGAAGCCAGGACTGCAGGAATGTCCGTTCCTGAGGATAAAGGATAATTCCAGAGCCCTGGATGGGAGGAATGTCCATTCATGAGGGAAAAGGATCATTCCAGAGGCCACGACTGCAGGGATGTCCCGTTCCTGAGGGAAAAGGATCATTCCAGAGCCCAGGACTGTAGGACTGTCCATTCCTGATGGAAAAGGATAATTCCAGAGCCCTGGATGGGAGGAATTTTCCTGATGGAAAAGGATAATTCCATAGCCCTGAATGGGAGGAATTTTCCTGATGGAAAAGGATAATTCCATAGCCCTGAATGGGAGGAATGCCGTGTTCCTGAGGATAAAGGATAAATCCAGAGCCCTGGACTGCAGGAATGTCCATTCCTGAGGGAAAAGGATCATTCCAGAATCCTGGACTGCAGGATCTTCCCAGATCCATGAGAGGTTTTTTTGAATTTTGGGTTTTTTTTTTCCTCCAATCTGGGCCAAAACTGGGAATGGGAGCAGGGAAAAATCTTCTTTTTGGACAGAAATTTCTTCCAGACTTCTGCATTTTCCCCCAAATTTTAAGGGATTTTTGGAATTTTTTTGGTGTTGTTTGGGAATCTTCCTGAAGGGGAGGATTTTTTTGAGATTTCCAAGGATTTTGTGACTAATTCCAGTTTTTTTTTGTTTTCCCAGGAATACACCTGCCCCCGTTGTGAGTCTGGCTTCATCGAGGAAGTTACTGATGATTCCAGGTACAGGAAATCCAAACAATTAACAAGGCGAATCAGGGAAAAAATGCTCTCATTATTTTTTATGTTTGCCTTTTTTTTACCTTTTTTGTTTTTTTCTTATTCTTTTTCATATTTAGGAGGAAAAAACTCCTTTCCATTATTTTCTGTGTTTGTCTTTATTTTTTTTTACCTTTTTTAGTATTCTTTTCTCCTTTATAATTTTTTCCTTCCTTTTTTTTTAACCCTTTTTCCTCCTTTTTTTTTTTTTTTTTTTTTACCTTTTCTGGGAAGATTTCAGCAAACAAAGTTGGGAAAATTTGGGAAGCACAGGGAGGGATTTTAAGCATGATCTTTGCCCTAAATTTCCTTTTCTTCCAGTTTTTTTGACAGCAATTCCCTGGACAACAGCCCCTCCTCACAATTCTCAGAGGTGAGTTTTCCTGATTTTTTTCCTCTTTTTCCTGCTTTTTTCCCCTTAATTTTCCTGCTTTTTCCTCCCTCATTTTCCTGCTTTTCTTCCTGCTTTTTTTCCTCTCATTTTCCTGCTTTTTTTCCCTCTTTTTCCTGCTTTTTCCCCTCAATTTCCTGCTTTTTTTTAACTTCTTTTCCTGCTTTTTTTTCCTCTTTTTCCTGGGAGTTTGCAGGATTTGGGGCAGTTTCCAGGAGAATGAAAATTGCCATTTGGACTCAGGGAAGAGCCTGGTGCTGGCAAATCCTGGGATTTCTGGGAGGATCAGGAGGTCTCTCCCTGCTCCCAGATTTTCCAGAATCCAAATCCATTTTCGAATCCAAATTTGCAGGAAATCCTGGGCCAGAAATTTTAGTATAAAATCTGAAAATTTTAGTATAAAATGTGTAAATTTTAGTATATAATGCATAAATTTTAGTATGAAATGTGAAACTTTAATATAAAATCTGTAAAATTTTGTATAAAATGTGTAAATTTAGTATAAAATTTGTAAATTTTAGTATAAAATGTGTAAATTTTAGTACGAAACGTGAAATTTTAGTACGCAATTTGAAATTTTAATATGACGTGTGAATTTTAGCATAAAATGCGTAAATAAAATGTGTAAATTTTAGTATAAAATGCCCTAGAGGGCAGACACAATGCCATGGCCAACCTGCAGGTCAGAGAAAAAATGTTCTAGAAAATGAAAAATAAGCAACCTTGAGAAGCTGATCCTCCACATTCAGAGTTATTCCTTGGCTGGGAAACCAAACTTGGACATTCTTGGGGTCACCAAGATCTTCCTTCTCCCCAGCTTTGGGACCACCTGGATCACACCATGTTCTTCCCGGATTTCCGACCCTTCCTGAGCAGCAGCTCCTTGGATGGAGAGAGCAGAGAGGTGGAGAGGGGTCCCCCAAATGAGTTTTGGGGTCCCGGGCGTCCCCCACGGCTGCCGATGCCGCGGAGGTACCGGGCCCGCGGCAGCTCCCGCCCGGATCGATCGCCGGCCATCGAGGGGTGAGTGAGGCCTGCTGGAAAAGCAGAGAAAAAAAATGCATTTTTAGGGAGGTTTGAGGGATTTTAGGAGGTCTGGATGGTTTGGAGTTGTGTGGAAAATTGGATGATGGATAGATGGATGATGGATGATGGATGGATGGATGGATGATGGATGGATGGATGATGGATGGATGGATGGATGGATGGATGATGGATGGATGGATGGATGATGGATGGATGGATGGATGATGGATGGATGATGGATGGATGATGGATGGATGGATGGATGGATGGATGGATGATGGATGGATGGATGATGGATGGATGGATGGATGGATGGATGATGGATGGATGGATGGGGGATGGATGATGGATGGATGGATGGATGGAAGATGGATGGATGATGGATGGATGATGGATGGGGGATGGATGGATGGATGGATGGATGATGGATGGATGATGGATGGATGGATGATGGATGGATGATGGATGGATGGATGATGGATGGATGGATGGATGGATGGATGGATGGATGATGGATGATGGATGGATGATGGATGATGGATGGATGATGGATGGATGATGGATGGATGATGGATGATGGATGGATGGATGGATGGATGGATGATGGATGCATGGATAGATGGATGGATGATGGATGGATGATGGATGGATGGATAGATGGATGATGGATGGATGGATGGATGGATGGATGGATGGATGGATGATGGATGGGGGATGGATGGATGGATGATGGATGATGGATGGATGATGGATGGATGGATGATGGATGGATGGATGATGGATGGATGGATGATGGATGGATGATGGATGGATGGATGATGGATGGGGGATGGATGGATGGATGGATGGATGATGGATGGATGGATGATGGATGGATGATGGATGGATGGATGATGGATGGGGGATGGATGGATGGATGGATGATGGGTGGATGGATGATGGATGGATGGATGGATGGTTTAAAGATGTTATGGGGTAAGTGTTGATGGGAGAGAACTGGAGGAAAATGAGGGAGGAAAAGCAGGAATTCCTTTCTTCCACCACTTAACTCTTCTTCCCCTATTCCTCCTCCTTTCTCAGGATAATCCAGCAGATCTTTGCTGGCTTTTTTGCCAACTCAGCCCTTCCTGGCTCCCAGCACCCCTTCTCCTGGTGAGTAGCCCAGATCCCCACCAGTAACTCCCAGTAAGCTGTGCCCGCTTTGGCACTGGGGGGGAATTCCTGGCCTCTCCCCTTGGCAGGAGCGGGATGCTGCACTCCAGCCCCGGCGATTACGCGTGGGGACAGAGCGGCCTCGACGCCATCGTCACCCAGGTGAGTGCCACCTGTGCCAGGAGAAGGGTGAGAGCTCCAGTGCCACATCCATTGTCCATCCATCATCCATCCATCCATCCATCCATCCATCCCCCATCCATCTATCCATCCATCCATCCATCCAATTGATCCATTCCATCATCCATCCATCAATCATCCATCCATCCATCCATCCATCCATCCATCCATCCATCCATCCATCCATCCATCCATCCATCATCCATCCATCATCCATCCATCCATCACTCCAACCATCAATCCATCCATCATCCATCCATCATCCATCCATCCATCCATCCATCCATCCATCATCCATCCATCCATCCATCCATCCATCCATCCATCCATCCATCCATCTTCCATCCCTCCTGCTCCTGAACCTGGAATTTTTTCCCCTCTCCACAGCTCCTGGGGCAGTTGGAGAACACGGGACCACCTCCAGCAGACAAGGAGAAGATCTCCTCGCTCCCAACAGTGCTGGTGACACAGGAACAAGTTGGTGGGTGATGGATCCCCCCCAAATCCAGGGGACATCCCAAGCTCCGCTTTGTCCCCCTGGAAATGGGCTGGCAGCTCCCAAGCTTTGCTGGTGTTCCCTTCTCCCAGGAATTTTGGAATCCTGGCATTCTCCAGAGGGTTTGGGGAGTCCTAAAGTGTGCTCTTCTGACTCTTCATGGTGGTTTCCCCATCCCCATTATGATTTTCCATCAGAATTACGATTTTCCCATCCCCATGATGGTTTTCCCATCCTCATTATGATCTTTCCACTAGAATCATGATTTTCCCCTCCCCATGATGATTTTCCCATCTCAAATCCCTGTCTATGCTCTCAACTCGTCCCTTCTTCCCTTTCAAACACTCTGCTCTGGAAATCTCATGGAAATCTGCCAGCAGGGGCCTGAGGGGAATGTCTCTGAGCAATCCTGGCTTTGCAATTAAAACTCCATGAATTTTTCCCTCCCCCTCCCAGCTGCTCTGTTACCATTATGCTTAAACCAGACACTTCCACCCAGGATATTTTTATCCTGTGGTTTTCTGTCCTCCTCCTTTCTGGGAAGCCAAGGACCGGCTGGAATTCCACATGTCTGAGCCCACAAAGCGGGCTAGAAATCACAAAATTTCGGAATATCCGAGTTGGGTGGGATCACCAGAGGAGCTCAGCTCCTGGTGGTGTCCAGGACAACATCAAAAGCTTGGAAAAGGGAGAGGAGGAGTTGGATTTCAGCCGTCTCCCATGGGATTGGGATCTTCAGCCCGTGTTCCAGGCTGGGAAGTTGTGGCCGGCACCCAAACACCTTCCTTTGGTTTTGGTTTGGTTTTTGTTAACGATGACGTGCGGAGAACATGGGGAATTCCTTCTGCTCCCTGGGGGTTGTGGGTGGAGCCCAGAGCTCAGCAGGAATTCCTGGATCCCTGGATGAGCTCATGGTCCCAGCAGGATTTTCTGTGGATGGATCCTGGCAGGAATTCCTTGATCCCTGGGTGCTCCATCCCCAGAGGATTTTGGGTGGATGGATGGAAGGATGGATGAGGGATGGATGGATGGATGGATGGATGGATGGATGAGGGATGGATGGAAGGATGGATGAGGGATGGATGGATGGATGGATGGATGGATGGATGGATGGATGGATGAGGGATGGATGATGGATGGATGATGGATGAGGGATGGATGGAAGGATGGATGAGGGATGGATGGATGATGGATGATGGATGGATGGATGATGGATGGATGAGGGATGGATGATGGATGGATGGATGGATGATGGATGGATGGATGATGGATGGATGGATGGATGGATGGATGGATGGATGGATGGATGAATGGATGGATGGATGGTTGATGGATGGATGGATGGATGGATGGATGGATGATGGATGGATGGATCCTGCCAGGAATTCCTCTCTCCCTGCATTCTCCCTCTCCACCCCACACCTCCCATCCCTCATGAGCTCCCTGTGTTCCCTCCCACCCCACTCCCAGCAAACCCTCCAGAAGTGCCTCCCAAGGAGCAGATCCCTTTTTTCCTGCCCCTCATTCCCACTTTTCCCCAGACACAGGCCTGGAGTGCCCGGTGTGCAAGGAGGATTACGCCGTGGCCGAGCAGGTCCGGCAGCTCCCCTGCAACCACGTCTTCCACAGCAGCTGCATCGTGCCCTGGCTGGAGCTGGTAAGATCCCCAAAAAACCCCATAAATATAATATTTTTATATATGTTTTTTTTATTAGGATGTGTAGGAGACGGAATTTTGGGTTTGGGCTCAGATGTTTATTAATTGTTATCTATATTACATGCATGCAATATAACATATTACATATATTGTATGCTGAGTTTTAAAGTATTCAACTAATGAGCTACAAAATAACCCTAACCCTAATTAACTTTTTGTCTAAGATCTTTTAAGGCTAAACAGTACAATTAAGAATTGAAACTTCAATTATTTTTATTTTTAATCTAATAACTAATCACCCCAAGCCCACAGTGAGCAATTTTTTAGCTAATTACATAACACTGCTCAAACTCATGAAGAAGAAAGTGACAAAACTCCTAAAATTAAACTAAACTCTCCTAAAACTTCTCTCTATGACTGCATTTTAAAACCTTAAACACTTCATTGATGTTTCCCACTTCTATTCAAACTGACCTCAGCCTTCCAAAAAAATTTTGGGATTTTCCTCCAAGGATTCAGGTCAGATGTGACATTTCCTTGTGGCTTGGTGATTTTCAGCACAGAAAGTTGAAAATTCTCAGCATCCAGAGGGGATAAATCCCTGGAGTTGAAAATTTTGAGCATCCAGGGAGGGGATAAATCCCTGAAATTGAAATTTCTGAGCCTCCAGGAGGGGATAAATCCCTGGAGTTTAAAATTCTCAGCATCCAGAGGGGGATAAATCCCTGAAATGGAAAATTTTGAGCATCCAGGTGGGAATAAATCCAGGATCACATCTCTGATTCCCCCACAGCACGACACGTGTCCAGTCTGCAGGAAGAGTTTAAAGGGAGAAGATTCCACCCGGCAAATCCCGAATCCCGACCCTGCCGACAGCCCAGTGCAGGAGAGTTGGACTTTCTGACCCTTCTGAGAAATTCCAGAACCTTCCAGAACCTTCCAGAAGCCAAGAACATCCCAGCTGGAGGTCTACATTGCCTGAAAATTCCAACAAAACCCCACCCTGAGTAGCAGGAATTTTGGGATTTACAGCACCAAGCGTTCTCCTCCCAGGAATTTCTCCTCCTGCTCCGTGGAATTGCATAAATTGGGAATTTTTGGGAGCGATTTGATTTGATTTTTGTAGCGGAAATGTTGGGGTGTTTTTGGTTGTTTATTTGTTGGCTTGTTTTTTTTTTTTTTTTCCAGTAAGGAAGAGGAGATTTTATATCTCCCTCATAGGCTCCTCTGGAAAAAAAAAAAAAAAATTTTGGGATAAAAATTGATATTTTTTGGGGGATTTTCCCCCACGTTTCAGGAGATTGGAATTGCAGCCACGAGAGATTTTTCTTTGCCCTGTTTGGGATGGAATCCTTGGGGCTCCAAAAATCATGGCAGGCGGAAGATGGAAAATTCTGGAACTTTCCTAAGGGGGGGGGGTTGGAGCACCCTGGGAATTCTGTGCCCTCAGCAGGATTTTCTCTCATCCTTGGACTATTTTTTGGGGCTTTTTTGGGTTTTTTGGGGTTTTTTTCAGACCCTTTTCCACGTTGCCTGTTGGCCCCAGGTGTGTCCAAAGCTCCCTCTGCTCATTCCAGGACCACTCCCTCGGAATCCCCCCAGAACTTAAGGAAAATCTTGATTTTTTTTCCTCATTATTTGGTTGTTTTGGGATTTTTTTCTCATTCCCTCTGAATTTTTTTCCAGGTCTGCAGCCTGAAAAAATTTCCTCATCCTCGTGGTATCCTGGGTTTATAAATTTATAAATTTATCCTTGGGTTTATACATTTATAAATTTATAAATCCAGGATATCTTTGGGTTTCTAAATCTATCCCTGGGTTTATACATTTATAAATTGATAAACCCAGAGGTAAAGCCAGGATATATTTATAAATTTATAAATTTATAATTTATATCTATAAATATATATTTATAAATTTATTTAGCCAGGATAAATTTATAAATTTATCCTTGGGTTTATAAATGTATTCCTGGGTTTATTTATAAATGTATGCCTTGGTTTATAAATTTAGAAATATAAAAAATTTATAAATTTATCCCTGGGTTTACATCTCCCCCATCCCTCTGGGTTACATTTGGGGTCATTCCAGAGTTTTTTTTGGTTTTTTTACCCTGGATTCAGAATCATTCCTGCTCCCCTGTCCACAGGGATGCAGGACCCAGCAGCTCCCCAGGCTGGAGCTTTATTTTATTTTATTTTACTTTATCTTATTATTTATATTTTTTATTTTATTTTATTTTACTTTATTTTATTTTAATTAATTTTTTAAATTTTTTATTTTATTTTTAATACTATTTATTTTATCTTTTATATTTTACTTTTATTTTATTATTTTATTTTTAAATTTTTATTCTAAATTTTTTACAATTTTATGTTATTTATTAAAATTTTTATTTTTAAATTTTATTTTATATTTTATATTTTTATTTTATCTTATTATTTTTATTTATTTTATTGGGTTTTTTTTGTTTTTATTTATATTTATCTGTTGCATTTTATATTTTTTCTTTTTATTAAATTTAGTTTATTTTTTTATTTTATTTTTATTATTTATTTTATTTTAATTTATTTATTTATTTTCATTTATATATATTTTAATTTTTTTCATTTATTTTATATTTTTTTAATTTTAATTTTTATTTCATTTATTTTATATATTTTATTTTTAAATTTATTTTATTTTATTTTATTTTATTTTATTTTATTTTATTTTATTGATTGATTTTCCAGTTCATTCCCACTTTTCCCACTCCCAGCTCCATCCTCGGGGCTCCAGCGTCGTTCCCTCGTCCCTTCCCCAATCCCAAATCCCGGAATGTCCCGGGGGGAAGGGGCTGGGACGTCCTCGGCCACCTCAGCGCTCTTCATCCTCCTCCTCCTCCTCCTCCTCCTCCCGGGGGGGCTTCGGGCGGGAGAAAAATCCCATCTGGAGAGGAAATGGGAATGGGAATGGGAATGGGAATGGGAAATGGGAATGGGAACGGGAATGGGAATGGGAATGGGAATGGGAATGGGAAATGGGAATGGGAACGGGAATGGGAATGGGAATGGGAATGGGAATGGGAATGGGAATGGGAAATGGGAATGGGAAAGGGAAGTGGGAATGGGAAATGGGAATAGGAATGGGAGCAGGAGTGGGAATGGGAATGGGAACAGAAATGGGGATGGGGAATGGGAATGGCAGATGGGAAAGGGAAATGGGGATGGGAAAGGGAAATGGGAGTGGGAAATGGGAATGGGAAATGGGAATGGGAAATGGGGATGGGGAATGGGATTGGGAAATGGGAATGGGAATGGGAATTGGGAAAGGGAAATGGAAATGGGAATAGGAATGGGGAATGGGAGTGGGGATGGGAAATGGGATTGGGAGATGGGAAATAGGAATGGGAATGGGGAATGGGAAAAAGAATGGGAGTGGGAAAAGGGAACGGGAATGGGAAATAGGAATGGGAACAGGGAATTGGGAAATGGGAACGGGAATGGGAGATGGGAATGGGAAATGGGAAATGCCACCGTGTCCCCCGCATTGTCACCCCAAGGTGTCACCCCAAGGTGACATCATCCCCCCCCAGTGCCACCCCCGGTGTCCCCCCAGTGCCACCCCGGTGTCCCCTCACCCTCCAGAGGCCGAGGCTGAGCAGGGCCAGCAGCAGGAGCCCCCCCAGGGCGCTGCCCCCCAGGATCCACAGGGACACCGGCACCGGCCGGGCCCGGAGCAGCTCCAGCTCCAGCTGGGAAAAAAACGGGAATTCGGGGGAAAATTGAGACTTTCGGGGGGAAAATAGGGAATTTCAGGGGGAAAATGGGGAATTTCGCAGGAAAAATGGGGAATTTGGGGGGAAAAATCGTGAATTTCAGGGGGAAAATGGGGAATTTCAGGGGAAAAATGGAGAATTTTGCAGGAAAAATGGGGAATTTCGGGAGGGGAAATGGGGAATTTGGGGTAAAAAAATCGGGAATTTCGGGGGGGAAACGGGGAATTTTGGGAAAAATGGGGAATTTGGCGGAAAAGTGGGGGATTTCGGGAGGGGAAAGGGGGAATTTGGGGGAAAAACTGGAATGGTGGGGATGAAATGGGGAATTTGGGGGGAAAATAGGGAATTTGGGGGGAAATTGGGGTGGAAATGGGGAATTTGGGATGGGGAAACGGAATTTGAGGAGGGGAAATGGAATTTGGGGAGAAGAACCAGAATCTGGGGAGGAAGACGAGGGTGAGGATGGAATTTGGGGTCCCACCTCCCGGCACTGCGCCCCCTCCTCCAGCAGCAGCAGCTCCCCCACCACCCCCAGGCAGACGCTGCTGACGAGCCTCAGGCTCCGGAATTTCACCTGGAATGGGAAAAGGAGGGAAAAAAAACAGGAATTGAGGGACAGAATGAAATAAAAGGATAATGGAAGAGGAAAAAAGAATGATAAAGTGAAATAAAAGGATAATGGAAGAGGAAAAAAGAATGATAAAGTGAAATAAAAGAATAGTAAAATGAAATAAATTAATAAAATGAAATAAAAGAATAATGAAATGAAACGGTAATAAAATAAAATAATAAAAATTAAATAATAGAATTAAATAATAATAAAACTTATTAACATTAAATAAAAATAAAACTAAATAATAAAAATGAAAATAAAATTTAAAAATAAAAATAATGTCATTAAATAATAATAAAATTTATTAATAACATTAAATAATAATAAAACAATAGTAAAATTAAATGAAACAATAATGAAATTAAACAATAAGGAAAATAATAAAATTAAATAATAAACATTAAATAATATAATTCAATAATAACAAAATTTAATAATAACATTAAATGATAATAAAATTAATAAAAATAAACAATAAAAATAATATAATTAAATAATGATAACATTCAACAATAACATTAAATAATGATAAAATTAAATGAAACAATAGTAAAATTAAATAAAACAATAGTAAAATTAAATGAAATAATAAAATTAAATAAAAATAATAAAATTAAATAAAAATAATAAAATTAAATAAAACCACGAGAGATTTTTTTTCTCGGAATTTGGGGGGTCCCGCTGCCCGGAGCCCCCCGGAGCCCCCCGCGCTCACCGGGCCCAGGGCGGCCCCGCGGAGGCTCCGCCGGAGCTCGACGGACGCGGCCGCGCCGCGCTCCAGCCCCGCCAGGGCACAGCGCAGCTCCCGGCAGCGAGAGTTGGAGCAGTCCTGGGGGGCAGAGATTTGGGGATCCCCCCCCGAACCCCGAAATCACCCGGCTGGGATCCCCCATAACCCCCAAAATCACCCGGCTGGGGTCCCCCAAAATCACCGGGCTGGGGTCCCCCAATATCACCCGGCTGGGATCCCCCAATATCACCGGGCTGGGGATCCTCCCCGAACCCCAAAATCACCCAGCTAGGGTCCCCCAATATCACCCGGGTGGGGATCCCCCCCCTAAACCCCCAAAATCACCCGGCTGGGGTCCCCCAAAAACACCCGGGTGGGGTCCCCCAAAATCACCCGGGTGGGGTCCCCCATAACCGCCAAAATCACCCGGCTGGGGGTCCCCCAAAATGACCCCACTGGGGATCCTCCCCTGAACCCCCAAAATCACCTGGCTGGGGGTGGGGTTCCCCCCCTGAACCCCTCCAAACCCCCAGGAAATTACGGGGGGCCCCCCCAAATCTGGGGGCACTGCCATCCCTCCCAGCCTGATCCCCCCTGAACCCCCAAATCCTGAGGGGACCCCTCAAACCCCCCCAAATCCCGGGGGGATCCCCCAAATCTGGGGGCACTGCCATCCCTCCCAGCCTGATCCCCCCTGAACCCCCAAATCCCAGGGGGACCCCCCAAATCCTGGGGACCCCCCAAATTCCAGGGGGACCCCCCAAATTCCAGGGGGACCCCCCAAATTCCGGGGGACCCCCATCCCTACCAGCCTCTCGCTGTGCCGCAGATCCTCGGGGGGCACCGGGGGCACTTTGGGGGTGCCCCCATCGGGGGGGCTCAGCCCGCAGGTGGCCTGGGGGGCACAGGAGGGTCAGAGGGCACCGGGGGAAATTTGGGGAGAAAAACAGGAAAAAATCCTGGAATGTGGAACCTGGAGATTCCTGAATCCAGAATTGAAGATTTTTTTTAAATCCAAAATTGATTATTTATTAAATCCAGAATTAAAGATTTAAGGTTGTTTTTAATCCAGAATTGAAGATGTATTGACTCCAAAATTGAAGATTTTTTTAAATCCAGAACTGAATATTTATTAAATCCAGAATAAAAGTTTTTTTTTTTAATCTAGAATTGAAGCTAATTTTTTTTAAATCCAGAATTGAAGATTTATTGAATCCAGAATTGAAGATTTTTTAAAATCCAGTATTCAGATTTATTGAATCCAAAATTCAAGATGTTTTAAATCCAGAATTGAAGATTTCATGAATCCGGAATTGAATATATAATTTTTAATCTAGAATGCAGTTTGTTTTTTAAATCTAGAACCTGACGCTATTTGCATCTAGAACCTGAATATTTCTGAATGTGGAATCTGAAGATTTTTGAATGTGGACAAACAAAAGCAATAAACTGCATCTTGGATACAATAAAGTGAATTTTGGATACAATAAATGCATTTTGGACACAATAAAGTGAATTTTGGGCACAATAAAGTGAATTTTGGATACAATAAATGCATTTTGGACACAATAAAGTGAATTTTGGACACAATAAAGTGAATTTTGGGCACAACAAAGTGAATTTTGAAGAGCAAATCCCCAGACTCACGTTCTCCGCCAGGACCCGGGTGACAGCCAGCGCCGGCAGGGCCACGCGCAGGGTGACGTTCTGCAGGGGGAAGCACCCCAAATTCTGCACCTGGATTTTGGGGGGGACACCAAATTCAGTCAGGGGGGGTCCCCCCAAATTCCTGAGACCCCCCATCACCTTCCTCATCCTCTCACCTTGAGCCTGGTGATGAACTCGGGGCTGGGGGTGGAGGTGCCCGGGGGGGGCAGCTCGTAGCGATGGGGGCTGGTGGCACTGGGGGGGCACGGGGGGGGTCACAGCCCCTCCTGAGACCCCCATTTTGGGGGTCACAGCCCCTCCTGAGACCCCCGTTTTGGGGGGGCACATCCCCCTCCTTGACCCGCCCATTTTGGGGGTTACATCCCCTCCTTGACACCCCCACTTTGGGGGTTACATCCCCTCCTTGACCCCCGCCCACTTTGGGGGTCACATCCCCTCCCTGAGACCCCCATTTTGGGGGTCACATCCCCTCCTTGACCCCCAATTCTGGGGATCACATCCCCTCCTTGACCCCCCCACTTTGAGGGGGTCACATCCCCTCCCTGAGACCCCTGTTTTGGGGGTTACATCCCCTCCCTGAGACCCCCAATTCTGGGGGTCACATCCCCCTCCTTGACCCCCCCACTTTGAGGGGGTCACATCCCCCTCCCTGAGACCCCCAATTCTGGGGGTCACATCCCCTCCTTGACCCCCAATTCTGGGGGTCACATCCCCTCCTTGACCCCCCCACTTTGAGGGGGTCACATCCCCCTCCCTGAGCCCCCCCACTCTGCAGGTCGGTGTTTTTTTGGGGGTGGGGGTCACATCCCATTCTAGGACACCCCCCCACTCTGCAGGTCGGTGTTTTTTGGGGGTGGGGGTCACATCCCCCTCTGTGACCCCCCCCCACTCTGCAGGTCAGTGTTTTTTGGGGGTGGGGGGCACACGGTGGGGGGGGTCACCCCCATCACGATGTGCCCCCCCAGCCCCACCTGGACAGGAACGGGTTGGCCTCGTAGCGGACGGGCACCGACACCTTGACCGTGTTGTCCTCTGGCGTGGCCTCGGCGCTGTCACTGGTGGGGGGGTGGGGAGGGGACACTCAGGAGTGTCCCCAAATTCCAGCCAGGCCCCCCCAACCCCCCCCGGGGGTCTCAGCCCCCCATTCTCCCCCCTACCTGGTGGCCCTGAGCGTGACCTCGGCGCGGTCCAGCAGGACGGAGCAGCTGAACTCCAGCTCCAGGGTGAAGGACACCTGGTGGGGTGGGGTGGGGTGGGGTGGGGTGGGGGGTCTCAGAGGGGCGTGAGGGGAAATTTGGGGGGTCCCGGGGGGTCTCTCGGGGGTCCTACCTTGGCCTGTGAGCGGAAGACGGGGTAGCCCACGCTGCAGCGCCGGCGGTGTCCCCCCAGGGCTGAGCACTCCAGCTTGACCGAGCTGGGATCCTGCCGGGGGACACCACGGGGACATTGGGGACACGGCGAGGTGGCAGCGATGGAACCCCCACTATGGGGTTCTGGGGGTCACAGGGGACCAACAGAACGTGGTCACCCACCTGGGAGGAGCTGGGGACACCATGGACCCCCTTGTCCCACCCCTGGGAGAGGTTGGGGACACCATGGACCCCCTTGTCCCACCTTGAGAGGTTGGGGACACCATGGACCCCCTTGTCCCACCTGGGAGAGGTTGGGGACACCATGGAGCCCCTTGTCCCACCTGGGAGAGGTTGGGGACCCCACGTAACACCCCCATCCCCTGTGGAATGGGTTTGGGGACCCAAGGGACTCCAACCCATCCCACCTGCAATGGGCTGGGACAAGAATGACCCAGAGGTTCTCCAAAGCCCTGGGTCTCCATCTTCACCCTGGTGGGACAGTTTGGAGGGGCTCCTCAGGGACTTGGTGGAGAATTTGGAGGGGTTCCTCAGGGACTTGGTGGAACATTTTGCAGGAACTCCTCAGGGATTTGGTGGGAGAATTTGAAGGGGTTCCTCAGGGATTTGGAGGGGTTCCTCAGGGATTTGGTGGGACAGTTTGGAGGAGCTCCTCAGGGACTTGCTGGGAGGGTTTGGTGGGGTTCCTCATGGATTTTGAGGTGCTCCTCAGGGATTTGGGCTCCCCCCAGGCCGTACCTGGAGCACAAGGCTGGAGAAGTGCAGGTTCCCGGGCAGGTGCAGCCACAGGCTGGCGTTGTAGGCGTTCTCCCCCCGGTTCTCCAGCTCCACCTCCACCAGCATCCGCCTCCGGCCCTTCCGCACGACGTGGGGGCTGTGCCTGGAGGCCAGGGGGGTCACAGGGGGGTCACAGGGGGCTCCTGGGATCCCGGGGACACCGTGAGGACGCTGGGGGGACACCAGGGGTACCTGGAGCCCACGATGTCCGTGGTGGCCTTGAGCACCAGGTCGGCGACGCACTCGTCGTCGTCCCCGCAATCTTTGAAAAACGGGATCTGCAAGGAGCCGGGGGTGATTCCGGTGTCCAGGGGTGATCCCGGTGCCCCAGGGGTGATCCCGGTGCCCGATCCCAGCACCCCAGGGGTGATCCCGGTGTCCGGAGGTGATCCCAGTGCCCAATCCCAGTGCCCCGGGGGTGATCCCAGTGTTCTGGGGTGATCCCAGTGCCCTGAGGGTGATCCCAGTGCCCAATCCCGGTGCCCAGGGGTGATCCCGGTGCCCAGGGGGCAATCCCAGTTGCCCGGAGATGATCCCAGTGCCCAATCCCAGTGCCCCGGAGATGATCCCAGTGCCCAATCCCAGTGCCCCGGGGGTGATCCCAGTGTTCTGGGGTGATCCCAGTGCCCAATCCCAGCACCTCAGGGCTGATCCCGGTGCCCGGAGGTGATCCCAGTTCCCAATCCCGGTGCCCAGGGAGCGATCCTGGTATTCTGGGGTGATCCCAGAGCCCAATCCCGGTGCCCAGGGGGTGATCCCAGTGTTCTGGGGTGATCCCAGTGCCCTGGGGGTGATCCCAGTGCCCAATCCCGGTGCCCTGGGGGTGATCCCGGTGTTGTGGGGTGACCCCGGTGCCCGAAGGTGATGCCGGTGCCCAATCCCGATGTCCCGGGGGTGATCCCGGTGCTCAATCCCGATGTCCCGGGAGTGATCCCGGCGCCCAGGGAACCTCCCAGTACCCTCCCAGCACACACCAGTTTGCGGACGCTGGTGGGAGACGCCTCATCCAGCACCGCCCTCGCAGCCGCATCCAGCGCCCAGGTGAGGCTGAGGCTGAGGGGCCGCAGGTAATCCGAGGTGTCCTGCACAATTCGGGGGTTCCATCAGCTCCGTCCCGCCCGGAGCCCGGGAAGGGGGGTGGGATGAGGGTGGGATGAGCCCGGGGCTGACCAGGACGTGGAAGGGGACGCGGGTGCAGCTCTGCCCGCCCAACCGCAGCTCCGTGCGGCGCTGCAGCAGCCGGCGGCCGCCGGAGTCAAAGGCGGCTCGGGATCCCGGGATCCGCTCCTCCTCCAGGGACACGTTGTACCGGAGATCTGCGGGAAAGGGGGCGGTCAGCGACCGGGATACCTGCGCGAGTGGATGCTCCGGGGGGAGGGACTCCGGGGAAGTCCGGGAATGCTCCAGGGACACGCTGGGTTGCACCGGTGGGACTCCAGGGAAGTCCGGGAATGCTCCAGGGACACGCTGGGTTGCACCGGTGGGACACCAGGGAAGTTTCAGAAGTTCCAGGATGTCGGGGGATGCTCCAGTGGGGCTCCAGGGATGTTTCAAAGGCTCCAGGATGTTCTGGGATGCTCCAGGGACACGCTGGGTTGCACCAGTGGGACTCCAGGGAAGTTTCAGAAGCTCCAGGATGTTGTGGGATGCTCTAGCGGGGTTCTAGAGAAGCCTAAGAGGTCCAGGATGTCGTGGGATGCTCCAGTGGGGCTCCACAGAAGCATCTTTGATCTGTTGATATTCAAGGGACACTGCAGGATTCTCCAAGCGTGATCCAGGACCCTTTGGAATGCTCTGGGATGCTCCAGGGATGCTTCAGGACCCTTTGGGATGCTCCAGAACCCTTTGGGATGCTCCATAACCCTTTGGGATGTTCCAAGGGATGCTCTGGGATGCTCTGGAACACTTTGGGATGCTCCAGAACCCTTTGGGATGCTCCAGGAGCCTTTGGGCTGCTCTGGGATGCTCCAGAACCCTTTGGGATGCTCCAGGAGCCTTTGGGCTGCTCTGGGATGCTCCAGAACCCTTTGGGATGCTCCAAGGATGCTCCAGGACCCTTTGGGATGCTCCAGAACCCTTTGGGCTGCTCTGGGATCCTCCAGGAGCCTTTGGGATCCTCCAGGACCCTTTGGGCTGCTCCAGGACCCTTTGGGCTGCTCTGGGATGCTCCAGAACCCTTTGGGATCCTCCAGGAGCCTTTGGGCTGCTCTGGGATGCTCCAGGAGCCTTTGGGATGCTCCAGAACCCTTTGGGATCCTCCAGGACCCTTTGGGCTGCTCTGGGATGCTCCAGAACCCTTTGGGATGCTCCAGGAGCCTTTGGGCTGCTCTGGGATCCTCCAGGACCCTTTGGGATGCTCCAAGGATGCTCCAGGACCCTTTGGGCTGCTCTGGGATCCTCCAGGAGCCTTTGGGCTGCTCTGGGATCCTCCAGGAGCCTTTGGGATCCTCCAGGACCCTTTGGGCTGCTCCAGGACCCTTTGGGCTGCTCTGGGATGCTCCAGAACCCTTTGGGATCCTCCAGGAGCCTTTGGGCTGCTCTGGGATGCTCCAGGAGCCTTTGGGATGCTCCAGAACCCTTTGGGATCCTCCAGGACCCTTTGGGCTGCTCTGGGATGCTCCAGAACCCTTTGGGATGCTCCAGGAGCCTTTGGGCTGCTCTGGGATCCTCCAGGACCCTTTGGGATGCTCCAAGGATGCTCCAGGACCCTTTGGGCTGCTCTGGGATCCTCCAGGAGCCTTTGGGCTGCTCTGGGATGCTCCAGAACCCTTTGGGATCCTCCAGGACCCTTTGGGATGCTCCAAGGATGCTCCAGGAGCCTGTGGGATGCTCTGGGCTGCTCCAAGGACACTCCCAGCACCCTGCATCCCCCCACAGCCCTCACTCACCCAGATCCACGTCCCCGGGGCCGCTCCGCGCGCGGCTCCGGCCGCGGAAGCAGATCCTGGCACGGAGGCAGACGGCACCGGAGCCGCCGCGGCGGCAGTTCCGCCGGGTGACACTGACGGCCGCCGGCTCCACCGACACCCCCGCGGACACCTGGACAATCCAGCGGGACCTGAGGGACACAGTCACACCCGGCAGCTCAGCGTGGGGTCCTTTATTTCGTTATTATCACCCGCTGGAATATTGCACGGAGCAGTTTTTGTGTTGCATTAAGTGGTTTGTTTGTATCACACGGGTTGTTCTGCACACCTCTCCTCCTCCTCCTCCCCTTTTCCCCTCTCATCAGTTGTACCCCTGTGGTTGTGCCCCCTCTCCTCTGCCCCCCCGGGTTTAAAATCCCCCACCACCAGACCCTGTGTCTCTTTCTCCTCTGGGACTCCTCTTTACTCCCTGGAGTTGGTGTTAGGGCTGGGTTGGGCTCGATGGTCTTGGAGGTCTCTTCCAACCCAGTGATTCCGGGGCTCTGTGAATGGAGAGCCCTGGGAGGATCCCGGGAGCATCCCAGGTTCTCACAAGAGGAAACTGAGGCACGGGGTCCCTTTTCCCCTGAATGTCCCCATGGCCCACATGTCCCTGTCCCCAAGGTGTCCCTGTCCTTCTCTATGTCTCCTGTCCCTTTTCCACGTCCCTGATCCTGGGCTGTCCCTGTCCCCTCTCCTTGTCCCTGATCCGGGGGTGTCCCTGTCCCCTCTCCATGTCCCTGTCCCCTCTCCTTGTCCCTGATACGGGGGTGTCCCTGTCCCTTTTCCACGTCCCTGATCCAGGGGTGTCCCTGTCCCCCCTCCTTGTCCCTGATCCTGGGGTGTCCCTGTCCATTTTCCATGTCCCTGATCCTGGGGTGTCCCTGTCCCCTCTCCATGTCCCTGATCCCAGGGTGTCCCTGTCCCTTTTCCATGTCCCTGTCCCCTCTCCATGTCCCTGTCCCCTCTCCATGTCCCTGTCCCGAGGTGTCCCTGTCCCCTCCCCATGTCCCTGTCCCTTTTCCATGTCCCTGTCCCCTCTGCATGTCCCTGTCCCCTCTGCATGTCCCTGTCCCCTCTCCATGTCCCTGACCCGAGGTGTCCCTGTCCCCTCTCCATGTCCCTGTCCCTTTTCCATGTCCCTGTCCTCTCTCCATGTCCCTGGCCCCTCTCCATGTCCCTGTCCCCTCTCCATGTCCCTGTCCCCTCTCCATGTCCCTATTCCCCGGGGTGTCCCTGTCCCCTCTCCATGTCCCTGTCCCTTTTCCATGTCCCTGTCCCCTCTCCACGTCCCCGATCCCGGGGTGTCCCTGTCCCCGACCCCTGACCCCCACTCACCGCAGCAGCACGGCCGCCCCCTGTGCCCCCACGGCCACGTCCACCAGCCCGTCCCCGTCCATGTCCACCCGTCCGTCCACGCTGATCCCGAAGTACCGGAGGCTCCAGCCCAGCGCCGCCGCCTCGATGCGCTGGGAACGGCAGTTTTTGCTGGATTAAAACAAAATCCCCCTTTTCTGACCCAGAGAGCTGTTGTAAAAACTCCTGGTTTTAGTCCCACGTGAAGGGTGAGACAATACAGATGTCATAATTCTTTCTTTCTACTTCTTGTACAATTTTCCTGCTGACAAATCTTACAGCTACTGCTTAGCTCTAATCACCATCCTGCCGTCTGTGAGGCCCCACCAAAATTTTGCAACATGTCCAAAACCCTCTGTGTGAGAACCCCGGGATTGGTTCAGGGGTTCCATGTGGTGGAAAAGTCTCTCCTCCAACCTGAGCTTCCAAAGAAAAGCTTTGCAGCCTCTTGTTGCTCGGTCTAAAGGCAGTTTATTGCTAATTATCTAAAAGATTTTCTTCTCAGGCTGCTGTGGTTTGCTCACAGCTCAGGCAGAGGCACACACACACCCTGACATCCTCTCTGACTCCCTGCCCAGGGCTGCTGCTCTCTTTTATATTATATATTACGTGTTAAATGTTTAGTTTTCCCCCCAATGCCTACTATCTATGTTACAAGGTGCTTTTCTACACTAAACCAATCCATGAGTGCCAGCATCACCAAAACACGGAGGTAAGGAAGAAGAAGGAGGAAGAACAGGATCAGGCCCACTTTCCTCCATCTTAGAACCTCTGACCCCCCTGTACAAAGTAAAAACCCCCCTGTACAGGTGTTAAAACCCCCCTGTACAGGTGTTAAAACCCCCCTGTACAGGTGTTAAACCCCCCCTGTACAACACTAAAAAACTTTCCCCTCTATTTTGTAGCTACTTCTACTATACCATCTAACCCTCTGTGACTGCTTGCTCCACCTTCAAAGTTGGTAACTCATTCCATGGCTCAAACCCAAAATCACAGCTGTTTCCAGCTGCTTGCCAGGGTCTAAAATGCTTCTGACCAAGGCCTGGAACCTCTGAAAATGTCTGAGGGACATTGTGAGTTCCAACACCTCTGATTTTAAGGAACCCCGCAGGGCTTGGTGAATTCTCCACGGATCAATTCCCAACAGGTTTTGGCTGCACTCACCTGCTTGCAGCGGGGCAGGAGCGAGCCTGGGGCTGTGTGGAACACGTAGAGAGCCCCACGGTGCTCATCCTCCAGCGGAGCCCCCACCACGGCCCCGGCCAGCCCGTCCTGGCCCAGCTCGGGCACCGCGCCCAGGGCGGAACCGAACCGGGAATCCTGCGGGCTCGGCTCGGGGAGCAGCGACCCCGCGGGGCTCAGGCGGTCCTGGGGGTGCGGAGGGAGGGGGTCCCTCGGTACCCCCACGGGGTGGGGACCCCCCCCACCCAAAGCCCCCTCAGTGCCGCTGTGTTCCCCTGGATCGCCTCAAATGGCCTCGGTCCCTCTGCGCCCCAGTGCATCCCAGTGTGCCCCAGTGCATCCCAGTGCACCCCAGTGCATCCCAGTGCATCCCAGTCCCCTGCCCCAGTGCATCCCAGTGCATCCCAGTGTGCCCCAGTGCGTCCCAGTGCATCCCAGTGCGCCCCAGTGCATCACAGTGTGCCCCAGTGCATCCCAGTCCCCTGCCCCAGTGCGCCCCAGTGCATCTCAGTCCCCTGCTCCAGTGCATCCCAGTGTGCTCCAGTGCATCCCAGTGTGCCCCAGTGCATCCCAATCCCCTGCCCCAGTGTGCCCCAGTGCATCCCAGTGCATCCCAGTGCATCCCAGTCCCCTTCCCCAGTGCACCCCAGTACACTCCAGTGCATCCCAGTGCGCCCCAGTGTGCCCCAGTGCGTCCCAGTGCGCCCCAGTGCATCACAGTGTGCCCCAGTGTGCCTCAGTGCATCCCAGTGTGCCCCAGTGCATCCCAGTGCATCCCAGTCCCCTGCCCCAGTGCATCCCAGTGCGTCCCAGTGTACCCCAGTGCATCCCAGTCCCCTGCTCCAGTGCATCCCAGTGTGCCCCAGTGCATCCCAGTGCATCCCAGTGTGCCCCAGTGCATCCCAGTCCCCTGCCCCAGTGCATCCCAGTGCGTCCCAGTGTACCCCAGTGTGCCCCAGTGCATCCCAGTGCGTCCCAGTACACCCCAGTGCATCCCAGTCCCCTGCCCCTCACCTGCCCCACACCCCCAGGGCCACACCTGCCCCCTCACCTGCCCCACACGGTACACATAGACCCTGCCCATCTCCCTGCTCTGGCCCCCCAGGTAGGTGGGCGCTGCCACCAGCAGCAGCTCGCTGTCCCCATCTCCCTCCAGGTCCAGGGCCAGCACCTCGCTGCCGAAGTAGGAGCCGATCTGGGGGTGCAAGGGGCTGTGAGGCTGAGGTGGGGAGGGGTAGGGGGCCCAAACTCCCCCCGGCACCCCTCACCTGCTCGCCCTCCAGTGCCTGGGCCACCGTCACGCCGCCCGTGGGGTCCAGCTGGAAGAGGACGACCTTGCCCTTGTGCTGGAAGCGGGGGGCACCGGCCACCAACAGGCGCTGCCCCCCCGGGAGCTGCAGCGAGGACACCGAGTACCCTGCGGGGGAAAAACGGGCTCAGAGGGAGGCACAGCCCCAGGAGACAGGGTGTTCCTGGGGCTCCCCAAATAGCCAGCTGTGGGGCAGCCCTGAAACGGCCTTGGGGCACCCCAAATATCCAGGTTTGGAGCATCCCTAGAGTGTCCCCAGGGCACCCCAAATATCCAGGTTTGGAGCATCCCTAGAGTGTCCCCAGGGCACCCCAAATATCCAGGTTTGGAGCATCCCTAGAGTGTCCCCAGGGCACCCCAAATATCCAGGTTTGGAGCATCCCTAGAGTGTCCCCAGGGCACCCCAAATATCCAGGTTTGGAGCATCCCTAGAGTGTCCCCAGGGCACCCCAAATATCCAGGTTTGGAACATCCCTAGAGTGTCCCCAGGGCACCCCAAATATCCAGGTTTGGAGCATCCCTAGAGTGTCCCCAGGGCACCCCAAATATCCAGGTTTGGAGCATCCCTAGAGTGTCCCCAGGGTACCCCAAATATCCAGGTGTGGGGCATCCCTGAAGTGTCCTTGGGGCACCCCAAATTTACAGGATGTTTCTGCATCACCAAGGATCCCAAATATCCTTTCCATGGAGCATCCCCAGGGCACCCCAAATTTACAGGATATTTCTGTATCATCAAGCACCCCAAATATCCATCCCACAAAGCATCCCCAGGGCACCCCAAATTTACAGGATGTTTCTGCACCACCAAGCACCCCAAATATCCTTTCCATGGAGCATCCCTGGGACATGGAGCATTTCTGTATCACCAAGGATCCCAAATATCCATTCCATGGAGTACCCCCAGGGCACCCCAAATTTACAGAACATTTCTGTATCACCAAGCATCCCAAATTTACAGGACATTTCTGTATCACCAAGCCCCCCAATATCCATCCCACGAAGCATCCCCAGGGCACCCCAAATTTATAGGATATTTCTGTACCACCAAACCCCCCAAATATCATTTCCACGGAGCATCCCTGGCACATGGAGCATTTCTGCATCCCCAGTCCCCCCCAATATCCATCCCACAAAGCACCCCCACTCCGCCCCTGACCTCCAGCCCACGGAACATCCCTGCCTGACCCCGAATCTCAGCAGGACGCGGTGCCCGCTCCACCGGGGACACGCCCGTACCCAGGTAGGCCGCGTGGTCCTTCAGCTGCGGCGGGAATTCCTCCTGGAACGCCTCCCGGGCTGGAACCACGCGGCCCCGCCGCCTCTCCTCCAGCACACTCCCCTGCCAGCCGTGGGCTCCGACCATCCCGAAGAGGATCCCGTCCTGCCGGGATGGGTGGGACACGTCACCGCCGTGCCTCAGTGTCCCCAAGCTGTCACCCTGCCACCCCGCCGGGATGGGATGGGCTCAGGGTTGTTTTCCTTTAGGGAACAGGTAAATCTCCCAGGGAAAGGGAAAGTTTCCTTCTGGGAAAGGATGTGAGAAGCTCAGAGAAAATAATTATAGCCATTATAATGAGACAAAAATTATTTTTTATAATTAATTCTTAACAATTATAATCTATAATTATATAATTACTGTATAATTGTTAAGTTGTTGCACCTGGTGTTTGGGATCGTGTTAAGGTGTGCTAGGTGATGTTTACAGTCAGGTTGATCACCAAGGGGTGGTAATTATATAATAATATATATATTATAACTATTATATATTATAACAAGTGAAATATATTTGGGATCATGTTAAGGTGTGCCAGGTGATGTTTACAGCCAGGTTGATCACCAAAGGGTGGCTTTGGTAATTTGATTACCAAAGGTGGCTGTGAGAAGCTCAGAGAAAATAATTATAATAACAATTATATAATAATTATAATAATTTTTATCTTAACTTGCTGTTCCTATTTTTTGGGATCATGTTAAGGTGTGCCAGGTGATGTTTACAGCAAGGTTGATCACCAGAGGGTGGCTTCTTAATCAGCCAAAGGTGTTTTGATTAAAGGACAAACCAGGTCCACCAGCAGCGAACTAGAATATAAAAATTAATGAGTGTCCTAACAAAGAGGACTCATCCTCCTGATTTGTGTCATTTCTGACTCGACAGGGACAGGCTCACCTCGAGGTGGTGGATGGAAAAGCCGATCTGGGACATCTCCAGCTCGAAGGCGCTCTCGTTGTCGCCGTGGGTGCCTGAGCGCGGGAGGAAGGAGGCTCAGCTCCTCCAGCCGTGCTTCCAGCCCTTCCCACACCCCAGCCTCCAAGCAGCACCTTCCAGGCTGAAGATCCGATCTCCCAGAGCGTCCACGATGTCATTGAGGGCGGCCTCATCCGTGACATTGAAGAAATATTTCTCATCGGGATCGCTGGCGATGGATTTGATCTCCCGGATGAAATCCTCGGGATCCTGCTGGCGCCGCAGGTAATGCCCCAGCACCTGAGGGAGGGACGGGGGGTGAGCAGGAGCTCCAGGGGAAGGCAGGGGCGGTGGGGATGGCTGGCAGGGCCCTCACGGCGATGGCGTAGCGGGTGACGTTGCGGCGGTCGCACTCGGCCAGCGCCGCGGGCAGCTCGTCGCCGTCGTGGGACTCCCCGTCCGTCACCACCAGCAGCAGCCGCGCGGCCCCCGGGCGCCCGCCCCGCGCCGGGCTGAAGGACTGGGTGCTGCGGGGACGTGGCTGGAGAATCAGCCCCTGGGCATGCCCATCCTAAAGTCTTCCCAGTCCTGATCCTGATCTCAGCTCCAGCCCTGACCCCAACCCCAACCCCAACCCCAGTCCAAATCCCAACTTGATCCCAAGCCTGATACCCGTTCCAATCCCAGTCCTTACTCAAATCCCAACCCAACCTAGACCCTAAATCCAACTCTGACCCCAATCCCAATCCTGAACCCAATCCCAGCCCCAGTTGTGCCCCATGCCCAGTCCAAATCCTGACTTCATCCCAAGCCTGGTACCAATTCCAATCCCGATCTTTATTCAAATCCCCATTCCAACCTAGACCCTAAATCCAACTCTGACCCCAATCCTAACCCCAACCCCAACCTCAATTCAAATCCTGACTTGATCCCAAGCCTGATATCAATCCCAACCCCAATCAATCTAGACCCTAGTCCCAACTCTGATTCTCATCTCAGCCCCACTCCCTCTCCCAACCCCAACCCTGACTTGATCCCAAGCCTGACACCAAGTCCAATCCCAATATTTATTCAAATCCCTATTCCAACCTAGACCCTAAATCCAACTCTGACCCCAACCCCAACCCCAACCCTGACTTCATCCCAAGCTTGATACCAATTCCAAACCTGATCCTTATCCAAATCCTGACTTCATCCCAAGCCTGACACCAATTCCAAACCCAGTCCTTATTCAAATCCCCATCCCAACTCTGACCCTAACTCCAACCCTGACCCCAGTCCGAATCCTGGCTTGATCCCAAGCCTGACACCAATTCCAAACCCGATCCTTATTCAAATCCCGACCCCAGCCTTGCCCCCAATCCCAGCTCTGACCCCATCCCCAGCCCCAGCTGTGCCCCGTGCCCCTCCCCAGAGCCCACCATGCCTCCCTGATGGCCATGGCCGTCCTGGTCTCCTTCCCCTCCTGCCGCGTCAGGTTCCGCGCGGCCTCCAGCAGCCGCTGGGCCGTGGGGTGCTGCCCCAGCGCCCACTCCTGCACCGGCTGCTCCCCGTACTGCAGCACCCCCACCTGCAACGGGGACAGTCAGAGCCAGAGGGAGCCCCGAAACCTCCTGAAACCTGCAGGGAACCCCCAAACCCACAGGGAATCCCCAAAAGCCACCCAGGGAATCCCCAAAACCAGCCAGGGAATCCCCAAAACCAGCCAGGGAATCCCCAAACCCACCCAGGGAATCCCCAAAGCCAGCCAGGGAATCCCCAAAGCCAGCCAGGGAATCCCCAAATCCACAGGGAATCTCCAAACCTGCAGGGAATCCCCAAACCCACAGGGACATCCCTCAAACCCCAGGGCATCACCCCAAGGGACAATGCCATCACCCCAGGGACAATGCAATCACCCCCGTGACAATGCCACCACCCCCGTGACAATGCCACCACCCCAAGGACAATGCCATCACCCCAGGGACAATGCCATCACCCCAGTGACAATGCCACCACCCCAGTGACAATGCCACCACCCCCGTGACAATGCCATCACCCCTGGGACAATGCCACCACCCCAGGGACAATGCCATCACCCCAGTGACAATGCTGTCACCCCAAGTCTGCCATCACCCCAAGGACAACAACCCCAAGCCTGGCACCACCCCAGGGACAACAGCACTGCCCTGGAGACAGCCCCCTTCTCCTGGGGACACCAGCCCAGCCTTGGGGACACCGCAGTGGTGCCACCAAGGTGCCAGGCCCCAACCTGGGTCTGCCCGGGGCCGATGAAGAAGCGCGCCAGGACGTTGCCGAGGAAGGCCTGCACCTCCTCCCAGGGGTAGATGCTGTTGGAGCCATCCAGAACCAGGACGATGTCCATGTAGGTAGAACAACCTGGCAGGGGACACGGTGACACCGGGGGGTGGCACATGCCAGGGCGTGCCGGCGGGTGCCACCCCACTCACGCTGGGCTGTGGGCGCGATGGTGCCCACGGGCCGGAGCTCCTCGTCGAGCCGGACGCAGCGGCCGGAGCTGAACGTGGAGGTGCCACATTCCTGGGACCAAAGCGGGGCGCACGCCTTTTTTTTGGGGGGGACAGGGTAGCGGTGACAAGAGGTGGTGGTGACATCGTCTCCCCTCCCCACCCTCTCCTGCCTCAGTTTCCCTCCGCTCACCACAAACCCCCCATCCTTGGACTCCACCAGCGTCATCCCCAGGTGGCCGGCGCTGCTCCTGAGCCACGGAACTGCGGCCCCTTGGGGAAAAAAACACAAAATTTGGGGGTTTTGGAGGGGTCAGCACCCCCAAAACCCCCAAATCTCACTGTCACACCCCTCCAAACCCCCCAACCCCCGCCCAGTACCGAGGTTGGCCTTGGCACAGGAGGAGTTTTGGAGTCCCACGTCGCACTTGTAGATGTCACCTCGGCCATCCCCATCCCACGGGGCCCCCACCAGCAGCCTGGGGGGACACAGAGGGGACATTGGGGATGTCACCACCCCACCCCTCCCCTCCCCCGGCCACGTTTTTGGGGGACACCATGCCAGGCTGTGCCACCCACGCGCTGCTTCCTGTCCGTCCGTCTGTCCAGCCTCCTGCTCCTCCCCTCCCTGCCTCAGTTTCTCTTTCCCACCACACTTTTTGGCTTCCCTGCCTCAGTTTCCCCCCTCCTCTCTTCTCCAGTTTCTCCCTCCCTCCGTCCCTTTCCTACCTCCGTTTCCCTTTTCCTGCCTCAATTTCCCCTTTCCCCCCCTCAGTTTCCCCCTTCCCACTTCAGTTTCCCCTTTCCCACCTCATTTTCCCTCTTCCTACCTCAATTTCCCCTTTCCCGCCTCAATTTCCCTTTCCTGCCTCAGTTTCCCCTTTCCCACCTCAGTTTCCCCCTTCCTGCCTCAGTTTCCCCTTTCCCCCCCTCAGTTTCCCCTTTCCCCCCCTCAGTTTCCCCCTTCCCTGCCTCAGTTTCCCCTTTCCTGCCTCAGTTTCCCCTTCCCCCCTCAGTTTCCCCTTCCCCCTCAATTTCCCTTTTCCTGCCTCAGTTTCCCCGTTCCTGCCTCAGTTTCCCCTTCCCCCCTCAATTTCCCTTTTCCTGCCTCAGTTTCCCCGTCCCCCCCGGGGGTGGGGGGTCTCTCACCACTTGTCCCCATCTCCCCCCCGCTGCAGCACCCGGTAGCCAAACTGGGATTCCGGTGGCCCCCGGAAAATCCGCGCCCGCCGCGCGTCGAGGCTGAAGCCCTCGCCGAGCCCTGCGGAGGAAGGGCGGGGGGAGAGAACCCCAAAAAAGAACCCCCCCAGCACCCCAAACACATCCTCGCCACCGTGCCTCAGTTTCCCCCGACCCGCAAAGGGTGGAAATTCCCCTTTTTTTTGTCTTTTTTTTTTTTTTTCCCCACAAAAAATCCCCCATTCAAAATAAGATTTTCCATTAAAGCCAGGTTTTAGTTCCTCTTACACATTCCCCTTCCCTTAAACCCGCCCTAATTCCAAAATTTTGGTGTTTTCACCCTCAAAAAAAAAAAAAAAAAAAAGAAAAACAACAAAATAAATTTTGGCCGGGGGCAATGACCAAATTTGGTTTTATCCCAAAATCCCCCCCCACAACTGGATATTCAAAAGGGAACCACTGGGATTCTTCAAATCCCAAATTCTGATCCCAATCCGAGCCCCAAAACGGCCCAAAATTGCCCCAAAATCTGGGGATTTTTGGGATAAATCCCTATTTTTTGGGGGGGGATTTACCTGGGAGCAGGAGCAGCGCCAGAAGCACACCCGGGTTCCTCACACCCCACATCGCTGCAGCTCGAAGGTGACTCTTTGACAAAATCCCGGGTTTTTTTCCCCTTTTTTCTTTCCTCTTTTTTCAGTATTTTTTCCCTCCTCCTTCATCTTCAATTGGCTGCTAAAAATAAATGTGGTTTTGGAGGGTGGGGGGAGGCAAAATTTCGGGAAAAAAACAGGCAAAGTGGTAAAAACACAGGAAAAAGAGGAGGTGGGTGCAGGAATTTTTTTTGGGGGGGGGTTCGGGTGTTTGGGGGGTGCTGAAAATGGGATTTTTCCACTTTTTGGGGGGAAAACTGGGTGAAAAAAATGTGCATTTACCCCAAAGAACGAACCACGCAGATACCTGTGGGGACAGTCAGGAGTAGGGGGTGGAAAAAAGAGTTTTGGGGTTTGGGATGGGGGGTTTTGGGCGGATTTTGGGTGGATTTAGGTGCGTTTTGGGTTGCCACGTCCTCCGGGTGACACTGCCACCAGCCGGGCTGAGCTTTTGAAAAAAAAAAAAATTAAAAAAAAAAAAAAAAAAGGAAAAAAAACTCTGCGATTTTAGGACAGAGGGAAACTTGTGCTGCCAGCGGTTGTGGGATGGGCTGGAATTTTTGGGGGAATTAAAAAAAAAAGACCAAAAAAAGAAAAACAACCCAAGGAATGAGGAGAAAAACAGACAAACAGCGAGTGTGCAGCTCCAGCTGCAGCCCCGCCCAGCAGGTGGGTCACGGGGGAAACTGAGGCACGGTGCCCCCAGTTTGGCCCAGTGCTCCCAGTCCAGCATTCCCAGCCCACCCCAGTGCTCCCAGTCCATCCCAGTGCTCCCAGTTCAGGGTTAGGTGGGCATCAGAACCAGGGTTAGTACCAGAACCAGGGTTAGGTGGGCATCAGAACCAGGTTTAAGGGGGGTCAGAACCAGGTTCAGTATCAGAACCAGGTTTAGTATCAGAACCAGGTTTAGATAGGGATCAGAACCAGGGTTTAGTACCAAAACCAGGGTTACGTGGGGATCAGAACCAGGTTTAGGTGGGGATCAGAACCAGGTTTAGGTGGGGATCAGAACCAGGTTCAGTATCAGAACCAGGATTAGGTGGGCATCAGAACCAGGCTTAGTATCAGAACCAGGTTTAGGTGGGCATCAGAATCAGGGTTAGTATCAGAACCAAGTTTAGTTGGGCATCAGAACCAGATTTTGGGGGGGGGATCAGAACCAGGGTTAGTATCAGAACCAGGTTTAGGTAGGGATCAGAACCAGGGTTAGTACCAGAACCAGGGTTAGGTGAGGATCAGAACCAGGTTTAGGTGGGGATCAGAACCAGGTTCAGTATCAGAACCAGGTTTAGGTGGGGATCAGAACCAGGTTTAGGAGGCAAACAGAGCCAGGTTTAGGTGTGGTCTGTGCAGCACCAGGAGCTGCTCTCAGTGATCCACTGGGTCCCTTCCAGCCCAAATTCTGCAGATTCCCAGCCCAAATTCTGCAGATTCCCAGCCCAAATTCTGCTGATTCCCAGCCCAAATTCTGCAGATTCCCAGCCCAAATTCTGCTGATTCCCAGCCCATCCCAGTGCCCTTCCCAACATCCCAGGACACAGGGACTGGAGGCCGCTGCACTTTAATAATTAAATTATTCATTAATGACACTGTGGGATCCCCTGGAGTGCTTCCCACCCATCCCAATTCCCACTGGGAATTCCACACTGCTCCAAAGCCTTCAGTGCCTGCTTTGCCCAGGAAAAAAAAACCTTTGGCACAGCCCAGGAGTGGGCAATGTCTCAGTCTGGAGCTCCCAAAAAATCCTTCCAGAGGATATTCCTGCTCTTCCCAGGGACAGATCCAAGGGCAATCTGCCTCTGGAATTTAATAATTCCCAAAAATTTTGGCGTTCCCAAAAAATCTTTAATTTCCCAAACATTTTGGAGTTCCCAAAAAACCTTCAAGAAGATATTCCTGCTCTCCCAGGGACAATCCGCCTCTGGAATTTAACAATTCCCAGCTCCTAAAAAACCTTCAAAACTATTCCTGCTCTCCCAGGGACGGATGCAAGGACAATCTGCCTCTGGAATTTAATAATTCCCAAAATCGTTGGAGTTCCCAAAAAACTTTCAAGAAGATATTCCTGCACCAAATCCACATCTTCCCACCCCAAATCCGCATTTTCCAGCCCCAAATATTCCCAGTTAGCTGGCTCCACGTGAAAGGCTCCTCCCAGAGAGAAAGGCGGAACGTTGAACCTCTAAAATTGCTGGAAAAGTCAATGGGGGAAAAACCACATTTTGAGAGCTGAAGTCCCAAAATCCCATAAATCCCATAGTGGGATCCAACGCTGGAACCTCGTGGCTCCAAGGAGTCAGGAATGATGGGAATGGCACAAGCCAGTCACCTCCAGAGGTGCCACAACCACAATTTTGGGATAAACCCCCACAATTCCCAAAGGTCCCCAGGATAACTATGGCTTCAGCTTGAGCCAGGGGTGGAGGACGGTGATGATGGGAGGGGGTGAGACCCCAGAAATTCACATTTTCCAGCCCCAAATCCACATTTTCCAGCCCCAAATATTCCCAGTTAGCTGGCTCCACGTGAAAGGCTCTTCCCAGAGAGAAAGGCGGAACGTTGAACCTCTAAAATTGCGGGAAAAGTCACATTTTGGGAGCTGAAGTCCCTGTGGGATCCAACGCTGGAACCTCGTGGCTCCAAGGAGGGAATGATGGGAATGGCACCAGCCAGTCACCTCCAGAGGTGCCACAAACCCCCCAAAATTCCCAAATATGGGAATTTCGAAGCCAGGATAACTAGGGCTTCAGCTTGAGCCAGGGGTGGAGGATGGTGATGATGGAGAGCACGGAGGAGGTGAGCCCACAGAACCCCACGATTCCAGGGCTGCTCCTGCACAAGCCCAGCTTTTCCAGAGGGATCACCAGGTCGCAGGCATTCCTCAGCAGGTCCAGCAGCAGTGGGGGGTTCTCCCGCAGCACCTGCAGCAGGAGCTGCAGCTGGAGCTGCAGCTGGAGCCGGAGGTGCTGGATCCTGCCCTCAGCCTGGGGCTGGGGGCTTTTTTGGGGGCTTTTTTGGGGGCTCTTGCCACGTTTCCTGGCGGCCTCGGCGCGTTCCAGCAGCAGACGGATCTCGTAGGCGTCCCTGCTGAGGTTCACCACCAGAGCAAACAGGTAATACCTGGGGAGAACAGGGGGGAAAGTGGGAGACAGGGAAGCAGTGGCAGCAGAAGGCTCTGGCTGCTCCCAGCAGCCACAGAAATGTGGGGGAATGGAAAAGTTCAGCTCTCCCATGGGATTGCCTTGCTTATTCTCTCCAGGGGAACCCCACTCCCTGCTCTCCCTGAGGAATTCCATTGCCTTATTCTCCCTCAGGAGACCCATTCTCTGTCCTCCCTTGGGAATTCCATTCTTTATTTTCTCCAGAGGAACCCCATTCCTTGCTTTCCCTGAGGAATCTCATCCCTTATTCTCCCCACGAGAACCTCATTCCCTGCTGTCCCTCAGGAACCCCATTCCCTTCTCTCCCTCAGGAACCACATTCCTTATTCTCCCCAGGGGAATTTCATTCCCTTCTCACCCTCAGGACCCCCACTCCCCGGTCTCCCTGAGGAATTCTATTTCCTGCTTCCCTTGGAAACCTCATTCCCTTATTCTCCCCAGGGGAACCCCATTCCCTGCTCTCCCTCAGGAATTCCACTCCCTGCTCTCCCTGAGGAATCTCATCCCTTATTCTCTCCAGGGGAATTCCATTCCCTGCTCACCCTCAGGAATCCCATTCCCTGCTCTCCCTCAGGTACCCCACTTCCTGCTCACCCTTAGGAATTCCACTCCCTGCTCCCCCTCAGGAATTCTATTCCCTGCTCCCCCTCAGGAATTCCACTCCCTGCTCCCCCTCAGGAATTCTATTCTCTGCTCCCCCTCAGGAATTCCACTCCCTGCTCCCCCTCAGGAATCTCATTCCTTATTCTCTCCAGGGGAATTCCATTCCCTACTCTCCCTCAGGAACCCCATTCCCTGCTCACCCTCAGGAATCCCATTCCTTATTCTCTCCAGGGGAATTCCATTCCCTTCTCACCCTCAGGACCCCCATACCCTTCTCTCCCTTAGGTACCCCACTCCCTTCCCTACTCTCCCTGAGGAATTCCATTCCCTGCTCCCCCTCAGGACCCCACTCCCTGCTCTCACTCAGGAATCTCATTCCTTATTCTCTCCCTCAGGATCCCACTCCCTGCTCTCACTCAGGAATCCCATTCCTTATTCTCTCCAGGGGAATTCCATTCCCTGCTCCCCCTCAGGACCTCACTCCCTGCTCTCCCTGAGGAATTCCACTCCTGGCTCTCCCTCAGAACCCCACTCCCTGCTCTCCATCAGGACCCCACTCCCTGCTCTCCCTGAGGCATCTTCTCCAGCCTTCCCCCCCCAAATCCCCTTAGCAAACCCCCCACCTCCCCAGGCTCACCTGAAGGCCCTCTGGCTCCACTTCTCCAGGGCCAGGCCGGGCAGGAGGCCGCTCTTGCCGGCCCACAGGACGTTGTCGCAGGCCAGGAACAGGGCGCGGTTGAGGTGGGACAGCGTCAGGCAGAAGCGCAGCACGGGGTCGGGCAGGTGCAGCGAGCGCTGCGCCCCCCCCAGCGCCTCAGCCGAGCCCCCCAAGCGCAGCACTGCGGGAGGGGGACATGGGGGGTCACCGGGGACGGAGGGGGTGCGGACCCCCAAACTCCCCCTCAAACCTCCCCTCAAACGCCCACCCCTCACAACCCACTCACGCTTGCGGCCCAGGCTCAGATGAGCCTCCAGCTGCTGCAGGCGGCTCAGGCTCCCGGAGCTGCCCCCGGCGCGGCTCAGCGCGGCCCCGGTTAAGGTACAGGCGTACTGGGCGGCCCTGCGGACAACGAGGGAGTCAGCGGCGGTACCGGCGGCATCACCCCGGTGCCGCGGGCCTCCTCACTCCGTTCATCCCCGGGCTTTTGGGACCCTCCGTTGTCACCCCTGCTGGACCTCCCCGACCCCCGGGGAGCCCGGGCTGCACCTGAGGAGGCGCTCCCGAGCCTGGCTCTGGGCGCTGAAGCGCACCCAGGCCTCCATGGCGCGGGCCCGGTACCGAGCCCGGTACAACGGCGTCACTTCCGCTACGCCCGCGGCTCCTTCGCACTGGTTTGAGCGCGGAGCCGCCCGCTGCTACCAAAACAGAGCCCGTGAATGGGCGGCGGGAGGAATCTCCGCCTCTAAATCGTTGTCGAAGAGTTCGGTTGGTTTCTTTGGCCATTAATCGCTTCTCCTGGTCAATAAGAGTGTGGCTGTCATCCCCTACCGTCATCTCTGCTGGTCCGTGCTGCTTGCGTTTTGATTCGTCTATTCCCTTGTCAATCTAAGAAACCCCGCAATGCGATTGGACAATGGCACCCAAATCCCCGCCCCCGCGGCCACACACCGCTATTTGTGTTAGTGGGCGAGTGCGCCGCGCCCTGACCCCGCCCCTCGAGCCGCGCACGGCGTTGTGATTGGTTTACTGATGATGTCCCCGCCTCCCCCTCCCCGATCCAGCGCTCCTATTGGTCCGCTGGGCGCTGATTGACAGCGCGGCGCTGAGGAGGGAGCGCGGCGATGGAGGCGGTGCGGGCGCAGCGGCTGCAGCCCGGGGTGGGCGCCGGGCCCCGCGGGGCTCGGCCCGGCCTCACCGGGGCCCCCGCGGGGCTGGGGCCGACACCGGCAGCGGGCTCGGGGTTGGGGCCGGGGCTGGGGCTGCCGCCGCCGCCGCCCCCGCTGGGTCTGCAGGGCCCCCCCGCGCCCCCCGGGGCCGGGGCCGGGGCCGGGGCCGTGCCCGGGCCGCCCGCGGTGCTGCGGGAGGCGGTGGAGGCCGTGGTGCGGAGCTTCGCCAAACACACGCAGGGCTACGGCCGCGGTGAGCGGGGCCGGGGGGAGCCGGGGATGCCGACGGACCGGGGTGAGGGGGGGGGAATCGGTTTTCCCTTATTCCCTTTTTTCACTTTTCCTTATTTCCGTGTCCCTTTTCCTTCTTTCCATGCCCTGTTTCCTTCCTTCCTTCCATTCCTTCCTTCTTCACCCCCTTTTCCTTATTTCCATTCCTTCCTTCCTTATTTCCGCGCCCCAATTCCTTCTTTCCATGTCCCATTTCCTTCCTCCCTCCCTTCCTCACCCCCTTTTCCTTCTTTCCATGCCCAAATTCCTCCCTCTCTCACCCCCTCCTCTTCTCCCCTTGCCCCTTTTTCTCCTTTCCATTCCTTCCTTCCCTTCCTCACCCCCTTTTCCTTCTTTCCATGCCCAAATTCCTCCCTCCCTCACCCCCTCCTCCTCCCCCCTTGCCCCTTTTCCTTCTTTCTGTTCCCCATTTCCTTCCTCCCTTCCTTCCTCACCCCCTTTTCCTCATTCCATGCCCCATTTCCTCCCTTCCTCATCCCCTTTTCCTTCCTTCCTTTCCTCCTTTTCCTCATTCCATGCCCCATTTCCTCCCTTCCTCACCCCCATTTCCTTCCTTCCTTTCCTCCTTTTCCTCATTCCATGCCCCATTTCCTCATTTCCTGACCCCTTTTCCTTCTTTCCATACCCCTTTTCCTTATTCCATGCCCCATTTCCTCCCTTCCTCACCCCCATTTCCTTCCTCCCTTCCCTCCCTTCCCTTCCTTTTCTCCTTTTCCTCATTCCATGCCCCATTTCCTTCCTTCCTCACCCCCTTTTCCTTATTCCATGTCCCATTTCTTTCCTCCCTTCCTTCCTCACCCCCATTTCCTTCCTTCCTTTCCTCCTTTTCCTCATTCCATGCCCCATTTCCTCCTTTCCTCACCCCCTTTTCCTTCTTTCCATACCCCTTTCCTTCCTCCCTTCCCTCCCTTCCCTTCCTTTTCTCCTTTTCCTCATTCCATGCCCCATTTCCTTTCTTCCTCACCCCCTTTTCCTTATTCCATGTCCCATTTCTTTCCTCCCTTCCTTACCCCCATTTCCTTCCTTCTTTTCCTCCTTTTCCTCATTCCATGCCCCATTTCCTCCCTTCCTCACCCCCTTTTCCTTCTTTCCATACCCCTTTTCCTCATTCCATGCCCCATTTCCTCCCTTCCTCACCCCCTTTTCCCCCTTCCCATGCCGCATTCCCCCATCCCGGCTGTTCTCCCGGCCGATGCCGATGATGCCGAGCAGTGAACGTGGTGGAGGCGCTGCAGGAATTCTGGCAGATGAAGCAATCCCGCGGGGCCGAGCTGCGCAACGGAGCCCTGGTGCTCTACGAGATGGTCCCGGCCGCCAGTCCCCCCTACGTCTGCTATGTCACCCTGCCCGGGGGCAGCTGCTTCGGCAGCTTCCAGGTGAAAAACGCCACTCGCTTGTTTTTTTTACAATTTTTTTTTAAGTTTAAATTAAAATTAAATTGATTCTTTTAATTTAAAGAATAAAAGTTTAAATAAGAATAAAGAAATAATATTTATTCTTATTTTTTTATTCTTAAATAAGAATAAACCTCTTAATTTTTATTACTCTAATTGCATTACTATTTTTATAAATAGTAATCTAAATTTTTATTACTCTAATTGCATTACTATCTAAATTTTTATTACTCTAATTGCATTACTATTTTTATAAATAGTAATCTAAATTTTTATTACTCTAATTGCATTATTATCTAAATTTTTATTACTTTAATTGCATTACTATTTATAAAAATTGTAATGTAATTAGAGTAAGAAAAATAAGAATATATAAATAATAAATAAATAAAAATTAATAAAAATAAGAATAAATATATATTTATTTATATTAATATGCATTAATAAATAACACATAATAATATTTATTTATTAATAATAAATATTAATAAATCCCACTGAGGGGTGTTACATTGGCACGTTATTGTAAATATAGCACATGTAGTAACATCCCACTGAGAGATGTTACATTGGCACATTATTGTAAATACAGGACAGGCAGTTTCTGGTGTATAATGTTTGTAACATCCCACTGAGGGGTGTTACATTGGCACATTATTGTGAATATAACACACGTAGTAACATCCCACTAAGAGATGTTACATTGGCACATTATTGTGAATATAACACACGTAGTAACATCCCACTAAGAGATGTTACATTGGCACATTATTGTAAATATAGCACAGGTAGTTTCTGGTATTTAATGTTTGTACCATCCCACTGAGGGCAGAGCCCCACACGCTGCCCTGCAGGACAGAGCTGCGGCAGGGCAGCAGAACATGTTAGAGATAAACAGAATAAACAACCTTGAAACAGCACAGAGGAATTATGGCTTCTGCTTTGGCAGCGGGGCTGACAGACAGAGACTTTCTACAATCTCAGAATCAATACCACAGATTCCGACAGTGTCCCCACCGTGTGTTTTGTGTGACACTTTGTCCTCGTGTCCCCAGTTCTGTCCCACCAAGGCCGAGGCGCGCCGGAGCGCGGCCAAGATCGCGCTGATGAACTCGGTGTTCAACGAGCACCCCTCGCGCCGCATCACCGACGACTTCATCGAGAAGAGCGTCTCCGAGGCCCTGGCGTCCTTCAACGTGAGCATGGCTCTGGTGTTTTTGGCCTTTTTTTGGGTCACGTTCAGCCCTTTTCTCACCCTGAGGTGGGGTGACTTAGAGGCGCTTGAAAGAATTTTAATTCTGTTTTTTGCACAGGGTGAGGCAATGCAGACAAATGGGATAATTCGCACCCGTCACAGTCAGAAGCCAACTGTTTCTACTTTCTAAACTTTTTTCCTAATTTCTAAATTTTTCTTCTCATTTCTAAACTTTACTTCTGTTCATTTCTTTCTAATTTCTATTTATTTATTTCTAATTCCATTTTCAGTCTCATGCGTAGGGTGAGGCAATACAGACAAATGTGATCATTCGCACTCATCACAATCAGAAGCCAACTATTTCTCATTGCTAAACTTTCCTTCTCATCTCTAAACTTTCCTTCTCATTTCTAAACTTTATTTCTATTTATTTCCTTCTAATTTGTTTCTAATTATTTCTAATTACTATTTATTTATTTCTAATTTCTATTTATTTCTTTCTAATTCCATTTTCAGCCTCGTGTAGGATGAGGCAATACAGGTGTTATAATTCAGACCCATCACAATCAGAAACCAACTGTTTCCTCATTTCCAAACTTTTTTCCTCATTTCCAAACTTTTTTCCTAAAAGCAATTTATCAGTTTATATTCTTCATTATAAACCCAGCTAACTCAACATTGTGCTCACAAGCAATCAATTATTAGTTAACTACTAACTCTTAACTTCATCAAGGCTTACTAATTGATTTTAATTAACTCTAGTAAGGCTTATCTTGAACTAAAATCTCTAAAATTCCTTCAAATTTACGTTTCACCCAGGGGTGGGAATGGCAGCTCCATGTCTGGAATTTCTCTGCAGGGCGACCGAGAAGAGGCAGATAATCCCAACACTGGCATCGGCGCCTTCCGCTTCATGCTGGAGTCCAACAAGGGAAAATCCATGCTGGAATTCCAGGTTTGTGCTGATCCCGTTCCTGTTCCCATTCCTGGCTTGGTTTTGGGATGTTTGGGTTGGTGTACCAGGTGTATTTTTATTTTTTTCCCACTGGAAATCAACTCAGGGTTTCATTTTGATCGGATCTGGCGTAATTCCGTTACCACCCTTGGAATTGGGTTTCTCACTGGGATATTTCCAATTGTCCTAATTGCAGTGGTGCAGTTAATTAGTGGGATTTATCCCTGAAAATGGGGGGAGCAAGAGCTCCCACAGGATGGGAAGACGTTCCCCCCAAAGTGGAATTTGGGGTGTTGTGACCCCAAACCACAGTCCTTGTATACCACTGGAATCTGGGAACAACATCAGGACAAGGGGAGGCCAAAGGAAGGTTCTGGAATGTGGATCAGGAATTAGGAGAGCAGTTTGGAGTGGATTATCTGCTCTCATGCAAACACACACATATATACAATTACAGATATATTTGCAAAGCAAATATCCACTGAGAGAGTGAATATTTAGTTAGCCCCCACTTTAGAGAGTGTTGTGGTTGTTTTAAAAGATTTTCATTTTAGATTTCTGTATTTTCCTTTCCTTTTTTTTTTCTTTATAATAACATAGTAGTAGCTTAATAAGTTTTTTTTTCCCCTTGTTATTAAGTTCAATCCTGCTTTACTCTGTTCTCAATTACATTTCACAGCATTCAATTAAAAGGTTACATTTTTATGAGGGCGCTAACGTTATGCCAGTGTCAAACCATAACAGAGAGTCACTGCATTTAAATTTTATTATTTGCCTTTATTTTATTATTTTCCTTTAATGTAGAATTCCCTAATGAGAATTCCCTATATTCTATCACCCTGCTGCTGTGAGCATTTATGACAGTTTATTTCCACGCATCAAACAACATTTTATGCTACCAACCTTCCAAAACACAGAAGTGGAAATCATCCCAGCGCACGCAGAAATGGTGATTTTTGTGTTTTTAAACCCTCTCCTTTTTGTATTTTAAACCACCCCAGGAGCTGATGACAGTTTTCCAGCTGCTGCACTGGAATGGGAGCCTGAAGGCCATGAGGGAACGTCAGTGCTCGCGCCAGGTGAGTCCAGGGCTCCTTCCCATTGCTGAGCTTCCCCCAACACCTTGGGAAGGACAGCTGACCCAAATCCCAGGCCCAAGAGCACAAACAACGTGGGCTGAAGAGAGAAAAACAAGAAAAATGGGATTTCGTGGGCTGGAGATGTAATTGGACAATGAACTCCAATGTGCAAATGGAGCAGAATTATAAAATTAGAGAGAATCTGCGACCGGTTGTGCATTTTGTGACCATTTTGTGTTCTTTTTGTGACCATTTGTGTTCATTTTGTGACCATTTTGGTTCATCTTGGGTCCGTTTTGGGTCCATTTTGTGACCATTTTGGGTCCATTTTGGTTCATCTTGTGTGTAGCCCTGGCTGAGCTCTCACACTGAGCTCTCACAATGCCCAATGGACCATTTTGGTTCATTTTGTGACCATTTTGCGAACATTTTGATTCATCTTGGGTCTGTTCTGTGCCCATTTTGGTTTCATTTTGTGACCATTTTGGTCCATTTTGTGTTCATTTTGCGACCATTTTGGTTCATCTTGGGTGTGTTTTGTGCCCATTCTGGTCCATTTTGTGTTCATTTTGGTCCATTTTGTGCCTATTTTTGACCATTTTAGTTCATCTTGGGTGTAGCCCTGGCTGAGCTCTCACACTGCCCAAGGTACATCCATTAAGGAGATCCTTTTAATAAATCCCTACTTAATTAATTAACCATGTCTAACCTCTGTCCTAGCCCAACCTTTCAGGTTATTTTTCCCCAACCTTAACAATTCCAATGCCTCCCCCAAGGTTTTTTCCCTGATTCCAATGCCTCCCACGAGGTTTTTCCCCCAATTCCAATGCCTCCCACGAGGTTTTTCCCCAACTTTAACAATTCTCTGCCTCTCATTCCCACCAGGAGGTCCTGGCTCACTACTCCCACCGTGCTCTGGACGATGACATCCGAAACCAGATGGCCCTGGACTGGGTGAACCGGGAGCAGAACATTCCAGGAGCCCTTTCCCGGGAGCTGGCGGCCACCGAGCGCGAGCTGGACGAGGCCCGGCTGGCTGGGAAGGAGCTGAGGTTCCACAAGGAGAAGAAGGACATCCTGCTGCTGGCAGCTGGCCAGCTGGGCTCAGCACACTCCTCTGGCTGCTGAACCCCAAAATCCCACCCCAGCTGATCCCAAAACCCTTCCCCAATCCCGGCCCGTTTGCACGTTTGAAAGAAATTTAGGGAAAAAGAGCTGCTCTTCATTCTTTCATTTCTCCTTTGAGAGCTTCTTATTCCCTAGGGAATTTTTTGCATTCCTCTGGTTGCTGAACCCCGAAATCCCCACCCTGAGATCCTCCCTGGTGGATCCCAAAATCTTACCCTGAATCCCGGCCCATTTGCACATTGGAAAGAAATTTAGGGAAAAAGTTCTTTGAATGCATTGTAGGAAGTTTAGAGCTGCTCCTCATTCCTTCATTACTCCTTTATTCCCTAGGGAATTTTTACACTCCTCTGGTTGCTGAACCCCAAAATCCCACCCCAGCTGATCCCAAAACCTTTCCCCAATCCCAGCCCGTTTGCACATTTGAAAGAAACGTAGGGAAAAAATCTCCTGATTAGATTTTATCAAGTTTTATCCTGATTTTTAGAGCTGCTCCTCATTCCTCCCTTCAGAACTCCTTATTCCCTAGGAAACTTTTTATTCCCTCATTCCCTACAGATTTTTTTTTTGGGGTTCAAAACAAAACCCATTGGATCCCCTCCCTCCTGCAGCAGAAAGGGACCAGTTAAAGCTCCTTGATGAGCTCCTTAATTAAATGAGCAGATGCCAACGCCTGCAATATCCAGATTTAATTTTGGAATTGCCCTTTCTGTGCCCAAAAATCGGCATTGGAAGTTTTTTTCCAAGAAAAGTCTTGGAAAATTTGTGGATGAGGGAGGGATTTGCACTAATCATTCCTTATCCCTTGTATCCATATGGAATTTAGATTATATTTACCTTTAAATCCCCTTTTTTGGGCATGGAATTCTTCAAACAGCTCCCCAGAAAATGTCAGTTTATCCATGGAAATTCCCATTTTGCTCCCCTTCTCCCCCAGCAATACAAACTGAATTCCAAGCCAGAATTCCATTTTTTCACCCCAGATTTTTAGAGCTTTTTCCACTTCTTATCCCCTGCAGATTCCACTGTTCCCACCCTCCTCCTTCCCTCTGCCTGACCACAGCATATTCCAGCAATAATCATTATTTTAGGCTAAAATTGGAATAATTCCATTATCTGTAGGTACCCCATTTTTTATATCCACATCCTAACGAACCTATTTTGGGGGGTTTATATATTTTTTTATACTTTCTACAAACACTATTAACGTTTGATGCCGCTAGAAATTGGGTTTTAAAAGGGATTTTTTGGGGGGTGGGGGGGTTGTGGGGTGTCATTTTCTTGAAATGGGGGAAAATTTGATTTAGGATTTGTTTAAATAAAGGATTTAAATAAGGGAGGACTTTGGGAGTTCCCATCGCTGTGGAAGGAAAAAAAAAAAAATAAAAGGGAAGAAAAAAAATAAAAATAAAATATTCCATTGCTTGCGGGATCAGGGCACCGGTTTGGAGGTTCCAGATCTCCGTGGAAGGTGTAAAATGAACAAAATTCAAATTTTCTCAGTTGTTCTTCTTGTTGAGGCGATGGAATTATGGGATAAATGCTGCTGTGGATTTTATACAATAAACCCAGCGATTTTGGTTAACTTTGGTGCTCTTGCTCGTTGGTTTTTTTTTTGAGGGAGGGCAGTTGTGCCCAAAAACTGCTTTGAGCCGCCTTGGTGTGGGCTTGAGAATTCCCGGGGTTGGGAATTCCTGGGATTCAAAATCCCTGGGATTCAAAATTTATGGGGTTTAAAATCCCTGGGGTTTAAAATTCCCGGGATTCAAAATTCCTGGGGTTTAAAATTACCAGAGTATGAAATTCCCGGGGCTCGGAATTCCCGGGGCAAAGTGACCCCGCCCGCCCTTCCCATCATGGCGGGACGGGCCCGCCCGCCCGGTGCCCTTCCCAAAATGGCCGCGCTGGCGCTTCCGCCGCCTCCCGGCCCGGTGCCCTTCCCAAAATGGCCGCGCCGGCCCTTCCGCCCTTCTCCCGCCGCTTCCGGCGCCTCCCGGCATGCCCCGCAGTTCCCGGCAAGATGGCGGACGTGCTGGACCTTCATGAGGCGGGCGGGGAGGATTTCGCCATGGACGAGGATGGCGACGGTGAGCGCGGGGCTGTGGTCATTGCGGCCGGCCCGGAGCGGCCCCGCCGAGCGATCCCGGCGGGTCCCGGTGCAGCGCGGCCGCTCCCGCCGCCTCCAGCCGCGCCGGCCTCAGGGACGGCCCTGGCCCGCGGCTGGGGGTGCTGTGGTTCCCAGGGGGCTCCTGCTCGGTGCTGGGGGGTCGTTTTCATCTTGGGGGTCATTCCCAGCTTGGGGGGGTCATTCCCAGCCCAGTGGCCACTCCCAGCCGGGTTGGGGGGTCCCTGTCCATCCCGGGGTGGTCTCTGCCCCTGCTGACCCCCAGTTTCCCCAGAGAGCATCCACAAGCTGAAGGAGAAAGCCAAGAAGCGCAAGGGCCGCGGCTTCGGCTCAGGTGAGACCCCAAAACCCCCCCCAGAACCCTTTCTCTGGCGCTCTGGGTGACCCCTGAACTTCGGGGGTCCCTTGGTTCCCCCCTATTTTTCCCCTTTTTTTGTTTTTCCAGAGGAAGGCTCCCGCGCTCGGGTGCGCGAGGATTACGACAGCGTGGAGCAGGACGGGGACGAGCCGGGGCCACAGAGATGTGAGGGGGATTTTGGGGACCTGCAGGGCTTTCAGGGGGGCTCCCTTCCCTTTCCCTCATTCCCAGGATTTATTTTAGGGTAAATCCAAGGTGGGGATTTGGGGGAGATGCTCCTTCCTTGGAGGGGGAATGGGATCTGGATTTGGGGTTCAGCTTTCCCCCAACCATGCCCAGGATTTGGGGGCTCTGGGCCTCCATTTCCTTTTCCAAGCTGTGACAAATGAGTGATTTTGGGGTGACAAACCCTTTCCACCACAGCCAGGAGGAATTAGGGTCACACTGGGATGATTCTTCCTCACTTTCCTGGGATCACTTTTGGGTCAACCCCCCACAAATCTCCCCCCTGAGGGGTCCGTGTCTCACCCCTCCCCAAATTTGGGGGTGTAAATCTCCACTCCCAGCTCTGTGACACCCCCTTTTCCTGCCCAGCCGTGGAGGGCTGGATCCTGTTTGTGACAGGGGTGCACGAGGAGGCCACGGAGGAGGACGTGCACGACAGATTCGCTGAATTTGGGGAGATCAAAAACATCCACCTGAACCTGGACCGGCGCACGGGATACCTCAAGGTGGGGAGGGGACACTTTTGGGGACCCCCAAACTCCATCTCAGCCTGGGGGGAGGCTTCAGGGTGGGAGGTTACAGGGGTACACCCCAAAACTGAGCCAATGCTGGGGGTTATGAGAGTATCTGCACCTCAAAATTGATTTATTGGGAGGTTCCTGCACCCCAAAACTGAGCTGGGGGTTGGGCTGGGAGCCTGGGTTCATTCCCAGTCCTAAACTTGGGGTGTCAGGGGGGTCTGTGCACCCCAAACCTGAGCTGGGCTCATTCCTAATCCTAAACTTTGGGTGTCAGGGGGGTTCTGTGCACCCCAAACCTGAGCTGGGCTCCTTCCCAATCCTAAACCTGGGGTGTCAGGGGGGTCTGTGCACCCCAAACCTGAGCTGTGCTCATTCCTAATCCTAAACCTGGGGTGTCAGGGGGGGTCTGTGCACCCCAAACCTGAGCTGGGCTCATTCCCAATCCTAAACCTGGGGTGTCAGGGAGGGTCTGTGCACCCCAAACCTGAGCTGGGCTCATTCCCAATCCTAAACCTGGGGTGTCAGGGGGTCTGTGCACCCCAAACCTGAGCTGGGCTCCTTCCCAATCCCGTTCCTGACCCATCCCACCCCAGGGCTACACGCTGGTGGAGTACGAGACCTACAAGGAGGCGCAGGCGGCCATGGCGGGGCTCAACGGGCAGGAGCTGATGGGGCAGCCGGTCAGCGTGGACTGGTGCTTCGTCAGGGGCCCCCCCAAGGGCAAGAGGAGGTGAGGCAAATCCTGGCAGTTCCAGGGAATTCCTGGAGCTGGGAATGGGAGGGATTTGTGGGATTTCCCTCGGTGAGGGGAATGGGGGAATTGTATGCAGCGTTATGGGGGTGGCGGGGTTAAAATAGGGATAAACACCCCAAAATGCTCTTCTGCTGGACTCCTTCCTTCCCTCTTCTTCCCCCATTTCCTGTACCCTTTTCTCATTCATTTTCCCCATTTCCTGTACCCTTTTCCCTCCTTTTCCCCTCTTTTTCCTTCCCCTTCCTCCCCCTTTCTTTCTTTACTTTCCCCATTCCTTATCCTCTTTTCCCTTTCCCCCATTTCCTCTTTCCTCCCACTTTCTTCCCTGTTCCCTTTTCTCTCTTTCCCCATTCCCTTATCCTTTTCCCCTTTCCCCCCTCTTTCCCCCCTCTTTCCCCCCTCTTTCCCCCTCTTCCCCCCTCTTTCCCCCTCTTTCCCCCTCTTTCCCCCTCTTTCCCCCCTCTTTCCCCCCTCTTTCCCCCCTCTTTCCCCCCTCTTTCCCCCCTCTTTCCCCCCTCTTTCCCCCCTCTTTCCCCCCTCTTTCCCCCTCTTTCCCCCCCTTTTCCCCCCTTTTTCCCCCCTTTCCCCCCTTCTTTCCCCTTCCCCCCTTTTTTTACCCTTTCTTTCCCCCTTTTCCCCCTTCCCCCCATTTCCCCCCTTTTTCCCCTTTTCCCCCCTTTTTCCCCTTTTTTCCCTTCCTCCCTCCACTCTTCCCCCCCTTTCTCCTCCCCTTTTTACCACCCTTTTCACCCTTTTTCCTGCTTTTTCCCCCCTTTCTCCTCCCCTTTTTACCACCCTTTTCACCCCCTTTTTTTGCCCTTCCCCCCCTTCTCCTCCCCTTTTTACCACCCTTTTCACCCCCTTTTTCCTGCTTTTTCCCCCTTTTCACCCCTTTTCTTTCCCCTTTAATTCCCCTTTTTTTTCCCCCTTCCCCCCCCCTTCCCCCCCCTTTTTTCCCACTTCCCCCCCCCCCTTTTCCCCCTTTCTCCCTCCTTTCTTTCCCCTTTAATTCCCTTTTTTCCCCCCTTTTTTTCCCCTTCCCCACCTCTTCCCTGTTTTCCAGGGGCGGGCGCCGGCGGAGCCGCAGTCCGGACCGGCGCCGCCGATGATGGATCCAAACCTCCACCCCTTTGTGTCCCACCTCCAAACTGGGGGGAAACTGGGAAAAAACTGGGCTTTGTACACGGCCTCGAGGAGCCAAAGCAGCTCCATCCCCTGGGGGAATTCGGGTTTTATGGAATTTTATTGTTTTCAAAGGACAAGTATGAGGGAAGCAGCAGTTTCTGAGGGTTGGGGGGGGAATTTCCCACGGTTTTGGGGGATCCCTCCCTGCCCCCCATCCCAGAACATCCCAGAGTTGTTTTTTTTCCATGCCCTAGGCAAACCTAAATCTCCCATGGTATTTATCCCACCTGGAAATTCCTTGTTTTGTGTTAAATAACAAGATTTTGTCTAAGTTTGTCTTCTTGGTTCTTCACCCTTCATTAAAGCTCCCTAAAATTTCCCTAAAATCCCTCCCCATCCAGGCTGCTGGATCCCTGAGGATCCCCAGCCTGGCACTAGAACAACTCAGCTCTTGGAAAATATATATTTTTTTTACTCCTTAAAACTGACTGCTGAGCTTGGGGGGATCCCAGATGTGCCAGCGTCCAGCTGTGCCCCCCAAACCCACAGATGTGCCCACCACCCCCCACACTGACACCTTTAATTCCAGACCCTGGTGGGGAAAAAGCTGCTGGGAGGATGAGGCAGGAGCAGGACGAGGATACCGAGGGGAGGCCCTGGGAGTTGGGGTGCACCAGAATTTGGGCTGGTGCAGAGTCGATGACAAAGGGATGGAACCTCAGCGGGGTTCAGAGCATCCTGGCTTTGGGGATGGGGGATTTGGGTGGGATTTGGGTGGGACTGGGGGGTCCCTAAGAGCCAGGCTCGGGAGCCAGCCCCCCGCAGAAGGCTCCGAGGTGCCGCAGAGCCTCGGGCTGCATGGAGTGCCGGCGGAGCAGCGCTCGGGGCGGCAGCGGCGGCAGCAGCCCGGCCCTGCCCGGCTCCGGTGGGAGCGTCCCGGAGCCGCGGCGCTCCGGTAGCCCGGCCGTGTGCCGCAGCGGCCCGGGAGGGGTGGCGAGCTCAGGGTCCCGCCGCTGGGCTTTGCCCCGTGGAGGATCAGGAGGGACCCAACGACCCGCGGCGGGCACCGGGGGCACCCGTTCTGCCCAGGTGGCTCCGGGCAGCCCCGAGACCTCGCGTCCCTCCACGCTGTGGCGGCGCGGCCGCAACCGCAGCCCCTCCAGCCCCGCCGCCAGCCGCTCCGGGGGGAGCGATGTCCCTTCCAGGGAGCTCTCGGGACACCCCCACGACCCTTCCGAGGGGCCCCGTGTCCCCTCCAAGGGTCTCCGTGTGCCCTCCGCGGGTCCCCATAGCTCATCTAAGGCTCTCCGTGCTCCCTCTGCGGGTCCCTGGGTGCCCTCCGAGTGTCCCCGCGTCCCCTCCACCGCCAGCCCCCAGGGCTCCGAGTTCAGCCTCTTCAGCTGCCGCTTGGGCCCGGCCCGGGAAGGTTCCGGAGCGGGGTTGGCGGGCGGGAAGCGGAACACATCGCGCTCCTCGTCCCTCCCGCCGGCCCCCGGTGACGCCGCCGCCCGCACCTGCACCTGCGAGGGGGACGCGCACGGAGCGGGCGACGGGGGCGAGTTCAGGTACTGCCGGGTGGTTTTGGTGCCTCGGGGCGACGTGGCCGAGGTGATGATGATGACATCGCGCCCGCGCTCCCGACACGCGTCCAGCAGCACCTGCAGCGTGTCCCGGTCGCCGCTCTCCAAGGCGTAGAGCAGCGCCGAGCCCCCGGTGTAATCGCGGGCGCTGGGGTCTGCCCCGTGGGCCAGCAAGGTGGAGACCACCGCCGGGCCGGCTCGCTCGGTGCAGGCGTGCATCAGCGCCGTTTTGCCGGTTTTGTCGGGGATGTTGGGGTCGGCGCCGTTCTCCAGGAGGTACTGCACCATCCGCGGCTGCTCGGGAGGCTCGGTGTAACCGGCCCGGCACGCTGCCATCAGCGGCGTGGTGCCCGCGGCGTTGCCTTCGTTGATGTAGGCTCCCCCTTCCAGCAGCAGGCGGGTCAGGCGGAATTTCCCTTGGGAGACGGCGCGCAGCAGCGCCGAGCCCTCGGCGGGGATCATGGGGAGCCCCCCCGGTGGCACCGAGGCGCTGGGCATGGCCGGGCTGGCGGGACGGGGGGCAGGGACGGGGGTGGCACTCGCTCACTGCAAGGGGAGAGGGTGAGGTGAGACCCCGCCGGTCCCCCGGGATGGGGTGTTCCCCCTCCGTGCCTCAGTTTCCCCAGTAAGGGAGGGTTGCTGAGCTCTCCGGGCTGTGTCCCCTCTGCCCGCACCCCCAAACCCCACCTGCCCTTGCCAACATTCCTCAAATGCTTTTCTGCACCCCCTCCTCATCCTCTTCCCGCTCCTCCTTTTGCCCCACCTGCTTCCCCTGCCCACAGCCCCATCCCTACCTGGTCTCCTACACCCTGGGGGTACCCCCATCCCCGCGTGTACCCCCATCCCTGCGGGTACCCCCATCCCTGCCCGCACGGTTCCCATGGCGACGGCCGCTCATCCCTCTCCGACCAGCCGGGAAAATGCGGGACAATCCCGCACCTTCCCGCTCCCCTCGGTCCCCTCGGTGAGACACCCCCGAGCCCGGGCCTGGGGGCTGCCCCGTCACCCCCCCCCCCCACCTCAAGCAGCGAGGACACGGACCACCCCATCCAGCCCCTCTCCATCCCCGTTTTTACCGTGGCCACCGGAGCGTGGGGTCCCTGGTCCCGGTTCCCGCGGCCCCGGGGATGGGGCTGTCGGGGACAGCGGCCCGTGGCCGCCATCCCGGCCTGCCGCCGGTGAGGCGGGGGGGCGGGAGGTGATGTGGAGGGTCCCCCCCCTCCCGCAGCGCTATTTTTGGCAGCTGGCGGCGCCGGGGGGGGCTGGAGCGGGATGAATCAGCCACGGCGCATCCAGAGCCCGGCCCTGCGTGGGAGCCAGGAGGGGGGACCGGGGGCTGGGGGGCACGGGGGGCTCTCGGGGGGCAGCGGGGCTGGGGGGCACAGCCCAGCAGGACCGCACAGCGGGGCTGGGGGTGGCCGTGCAGGGCGGCTGGAGCATCGGACACTGGGGGAGGCCAGGGGGCAGCGGGCCTGGGGCTCCCAAAGCAGAGGGGCTGGGGGCAGTGGGGCGGCGGGACTGGGGGGCACAGCATGGCCGGGCTGGGGGCCGGGGTGGCGCTAGTACCGGGGGGACGAGGTACCCCAGGGCAGAGGGGCTGGGGGGTCCGGGTGTGCGGGACATTTTGACCCCCTTTTGATGCGTTTTTCATCCATTTTTTATCCGGTTTTTAATCCCCCTTTGGATTCCCCCAGTTCGCGCCCCCGGCCCCGCCCCCTCCATGGGTGTGTCTCCAGGCCCCGCCCCTCGCTCTGACCCGCCAATCAGCGCGGGGCTTGCGCCCAAGCCCCGCCCCCTCCGCGCGGGGCGGGGCCGCGGCTCCCGCGGACATGTGGGGAGCGACTGCGCCTGCGCGGAGCGGCACCGGGACCGGAACCGGAACCGGCACCGGCACCGGGGCTACGAGGGGACATCGGCACCGGGACCGGGACCGGGGGTAGGAGGGGACATCGACACCGGGAACGGGACCGGGGGTAGGAGGGGACATCGGCACCGGGACCGGGGGTAGGAGGGGCCATCGGCACCGGGACCGGGACCGGGACCGGGGGAGCGGCACCGGGACCGGGGGTACGAGGGGACATCGGCACCGGGAACGGGACCGGAACCGGCAGCGGGGGAGGGGACATCGGGTTCGGGGGTACGAGAGGACATCGGCACCGGGACTGAGGTACCAGCGGCTGTCGGGACCGGGGATACGAGTGGACATCGGCACCGGGACCGGGGGTACGAGGGGACATCGGCACCGGGAACGGGACCGGGGGTAGGAAGGGACATCGGCACCGGGAACGGGAACGGGACCGGAGGAACGACACCGGGACCGGGGGTAGGAGGGGACATCGGCACCGGGACCGAGACCGGGACCGGGGGAGCGGCACCGGGACCGGGGTATGAGGGGACATCGGCACCGGGAATGGGACCGGGACCGGGGGTACGAGGGGACATCGGCACCGGGAACGGGACCGGGACCGGGGGTACGAAGGGACATCGGCACCGGGAGGGCCACCGGGAGGACCCAGGAACGGGGATGGAGACGAGGCCCGAGACCGGGGGAGGCCACCGGGACCGGGTGATGCACACCGTGACAGGACCCGGGACAGGGACTGCGGGAACGGGGCACACACCGGGACCGGGATCCGGACCGACACCCGTTTTCGGCAGGGGAACGAAGCGACACCGGGGAGCACCGGGTGGAACCGAGACTGGGGGGGAACACCGAGAGCAGAACGGGGCATAACCGTACCCAGCGGGACAACCGGGAGCGGCCCGAGGCGGGGGGAACCGGGCTGGGGAAGAGGGAACGGGACTTGGGGCATCACCGGCACCGGGCAGGGCGGAGCTGACCGGAGGTGTCACCGTGTCCCCGTTGTCCCCAGCGTCCCGGGGCTGCCGGTATGGCGGGCCGGGGCCGCGGCCGCGGCCGGGGGCAGATGACGTTCAACGTGGAAGCCGTGGGCATCGGCAAGGGGGACGCGCTGCCGCCGCCCACGCTGCAGCCCGCGCCGCTCTTCCCGGTGAGTTCCCCGGGAACTGGGGCATCCCGGGAATTCGGGCATCCCGGTGGGGTCTCCGGGAATCTGGGCATCCCGGGAATTGGGGCATCCTGGTGAGAATTCCCTGGGAATTTGGGCATCCCTTTGAGTTCTCCGGGAATTTGGGCATCCCGGTGAGAATTCTCTGGGAATTTGAGCATCCCAGGAATTTGGGCATCCCGGTGAAAATTCCCCGGGAATTTGGGCATCCCAGTGGGTTTTCAGGGAATTTGGGCATCCCAATGAGAATTCCCTGGGAATTTGGGCATCCTGATGAGAATTCCCCGGGAATTTGGGCATCCCAGTGGGTTTTCAGGGAATTTGGGCATCCCTTTGAATTCTCCGGGAATTTGGGCATCCCTTTGAGATTTCTGGGAATTTGGGCATCCCAGGAATTTGGGCATCTTGGGAATTTGGGCATCCCGATGAGAATTCCACAGGAATTTGGGCATCCCGGTGAGAGTTCCCTGGGAATTTGGGCATCCTGGGAATTTGGGCATCCCAATGAGAATTCCCTGGGAATTTGGGCATCCCTTTGAGTTTTCTGGGAATTTGGGCATCCCAGGAATTTGGACATCCCGATGAGAATTCCACAGGGATTTGGGCATCTTGGGAAATTGGGCATCCCGGTGAGAGTTCTCTGGGAATTTGGGCACCCTGGGAATTTGGGCATCCCAATGAGAATTTCGCAGGAACTTGGGCATCCCAGGAATTTGGGTATCCGGGTGGCTTCTCAGGGAATTTGGGCATCCTGGTGAGAATTCCCCAGAAATTTGGGCATCCCGGTGAGAATTCTCTGGGAATTTGGGCATCCCGGTGAGAGCTCCCCGGGAATTGGTGCCCCCGCAGGCCCTGGAGCGCCGCGCTGCGCCCCTGCCTGGGGGCGAGGAGGGCGAGTACATGCTGGCCCTGAAGCAGGAGCTGCGCCGGGCCATGAGGGGACTCCCCTACTTCGTCAAACCGGGGGCTCCCCGCAGAGGTACCAGCCCCGGACCCCCACCCCGTGTCCCAAATGGATTTGGGATGGGTTTGGGAATGGAGCCCATCCCAGTCCTCCTCACCCTGCTGCTCCACGGCCTTTCCAGCACTGTCACCCCCCCCCCTCAGCACCCACCCCACCAGGTTGGGATCCCCCAGCCCCCCCATTTTATCCCCCCCATTTTATTCCCTCCATTTTATTCCCCTATTATTTATTCCCCCCCATTTTATTCCCCTATTATTTATTCCCATTATTTATCCCCCCATTTTTTCCCCCCATTTTATCCCCCTGTTTTATCCTCCCAGTTTTATTCCCTCCATTTTATTCCCCTATTGTTTATTCCCATTATTTATTCCCCCCCATTTTATTCCCATTATTTATCCCCCCCATTTTATCCCCCGTATTATCCCCCCAGTTTTATTCCCTCCATTTTATCCCCCCTGTTTTATCCCCCCATTATTTATTTCCCCCATTTTATTCCCCCCGCCATTTTATTTCTCCCATCATTTTATTCCCCATTTCATCCCCCCATTATTTATTCCCATTATTTATTCCCCATTTTATCCCCCCATTTTATTCCCCTCATTTTATCCCCCCATTATTTATTCCCCATTTTATCCCCTCATTTTATTGCCCTCATTTTATCCCCCCATTATTTATTCCCATTTTTTATTGTCCCCCACTGTGTGTCCCACAGGTGTCCCCAGGGGTGGGTGTCCCCTAAATCCCCCCCAAAGTGTCCCCAAACCCCCCAGAATGTCCCTAAATCTCCCAGAATGTCCCCAAACCCCCCAAAATGTCCCCAAACCCCCGTGCCCCCACAGACATCGAGCGCTACTCTGACAAGTACCAGCTCTCCAGCCCTGTGGACAACGCCATTGACTGGAACCCAGGTGAGGGACACGGGAGGGGACCCAGGGGGGGACACGAGAGGGGTCTTGGGTTTTTTGGGGTTTTTTTGAGAGGGGGATCCCCAACCTCCTGTTTTGCCCCCCCAGACTGGAGGCGGCTCCCACGGGAGTTGAAGATCCGCGTGCGGCGGGTGCGGAAAGGCCGTGAGTGACCCCTCCCTGTCCTCACCCACCTCTGTGTCCCCTCCTTGTCCCCTCCCCGTATGTCCCCTCCCTGTCCTCACCCACCTCTGTGTCCCCTCCTTGTCCCCTCCCTGTCCTCACCCACCTCTGTGTCCCCTCCTTGTCCTCACCCCTTGTGTCCCCCCTGTTCTGGTTTGACACAAAACCATTGAGAGACTCCCAAGTGAGAAATTTATTAGGAAAAGGGGAAAAAAATTATTATTATTATTATTATTATTATTATTATTATTATTATTATTATTATTATTATCATTATTACTATTATTATTACTATTATTACTATTATTACTATTATTATTATTATTACTATTATTATGTTATTATAATAATAATTATTATTATGTTATTATTAACATTATAATTATCATTAATAATAATAATTTCTTATTATTGAATTATTCATAATTAAAATATAACACAATCATTTGTAATTGAAATATAATACAATGATTTATAATTTAAATATAATACAATCACTTGTAATTGAAATATAATAGATTAATTTATAATTAAAATAGAATCATTTATAATTAAAATAGAATTATCAGAATAGAATAATTTAAAGAAAAAGAAAACACGGAGAGAGTCAGAATCCAACCTGACACCCTTTTTGGTCAAGGTGTGGAATGGGAATTGGTCAGGAAATTGGTCAGGAAACTGGAATTGTTGCAATCCTCCCGATTCTTTGGGAGCAGTGATCCTCTAGAAGGGTGTGCTGAAAACCCAGTGGAAAACCCAGGTGTTCCTCTGGGAAATCCATTGGAAAGGCTGAGTCTGGTGTCCCAAAAATCCAGATTATATCCAGGTAGGAATTCTTGGCTCCTCCCATGTCACAATGGGATAATTTTTTCAGCCATGCAGAGACATTCAATATTCCATTAACAGCAGATGTCTCCCCAAGGGGAGGATTGAAATATATAAAAGAGATAAAGAAAACTTCCCAATGAACAGAACTGCCACACCTCTGATGGATGGCAAATAAAATAAATATTGCCTGGCAATCTGGGACACCCCCTGTGTCCCCACAGGGACCACTGCCCTTGTCCCCAAGCAGCGCGTGGCACTGGACAAGGAGGAGGCTCTGAAGAAGCTGGAGGTAAGGGGGTGAAGCTGGATTTTGGGGTGGATTTTGGGGTGGATTTTGGATTTTTTCCCCCCCACCAAGTAACTCTGAGCCCCCCAGAGCCTGGAGAAGAAGGAGGAGGAGGTGACATCAGAGGAGGAAGAGGAGAAGGAGGAGGAAGAAGAGGGAAAGGAGGAGGAGGAGGAGGAGTACGATGAGGAGGAGCACGAAGAGGTGAAATGGGGGGACACCGGGGGGGTTGGTGGGTGCTCAGGGATCCCTGGGGTGTCACCGTGTCCCCCCCGTGTCCCCCACAGGAGACCGACTACGTCCTGTCCTACTTTGACAACGGGGAGAGCTTCGGCCCCGACAGCGACGATAACGGCGATGAGGCGGTGTACTGAGCTCCAAAACGGGGACACCCCAAAACGGGGACATACCAAAAGTGGGGACACCCTGAAATGGGGACACTCTGAAACGGGGATACCCTGAAACAGCAACACCCCAAAAATGGGGACACACCAAAGCGGGGACACCCTGAAACGGGGACATCTGAAACAGGGACACCCGGAAACGGGGGCACCCGGAAACGGGGACACCCCAAAAACGGAGACACACCAAAAGTGGGGACACCCTGAAACGGGCACGGCCCCATAGCCCTGACACCCCATCCCTGGGTTGTGGGGCACCCCAAAAACGGGAACACCTCAAAACGGGCACTGCCCCACAGCCCTGGCACCACTGTTACCCCCAGGCTGTGGGGCACCCCTGTTATCCCTTGGGGACATTGGGGTCCCTGCCACCTCCCCAGGACAGTGGGGACACCCTGTAACCCCTTGGGGACATTGGGGTCCCTGTCCCCCCTCTGGGGGTCGCGGGGTCCCCTGGCTGCCTGTCATTCTCCTTTTCACCACCAGGTGGCGCCGGTGGCCCAGGCCCGGAGGGGCGGGACCCCCCCCAAACCCCCAAATTTTGGTTTGGTTTTTGGGGGGTTTTTTTGGGTTTTTTTTTATTTTTTATTTTGGTGGATTTTGTGTGAATCAAAGAGAATTTGGGTATTTCTGGCTCAGCTCTTGGTGATTTTCACGCGTGGGGGGGGGTTGGATAAGGGGGTTACCACCTATAAATGGAGACAGGGGTTTTGGGGGGATAAAATGGGGGTTTTTTGAGGTGGAAAATGCATTTCTATGAAGGGAAAAGTGGTTTTTTTGGGGGGGAGGGAAGGTTTTATGGGGAGGGAAAGGTGGGTTGTTTGGGTTGAAAAAAAGTGGGTTTGGGGAGATAAAGGTTTTTTGGGGGAGAAGGGTATATTTTTGGGTGGGAAGGTGGATTTTTTGGGGCATAGAGGTATAGTTTTGGGGAGGGGAAGGTGACTTCTTGCAGGTCAAGCTATCTTTTTGGGGGAAAAGTTGTATTTTTGGGGAGGGAAAGGTATGTTTTGGGTGGAAGGTGTGTTTTTGAGGGAGGAAATTTTGGTTTATTGTAGGAGATGTGTTCTTTGGAGGGACACGGTTTATTTTTTTAATAATATTTCAGGGGTTTAGGGGATAAGGTGGATTTTGGGGGAGGGAAAAGTTGGGGTTTTTTCCCCCAGGATGAATTTTTGGAGTGAGGAAAGGTGATTTTTTTTTTGCAGGGAGAGACATTTTGGGGGGGGTGGGGAGTTTTTTGGTGGGGATAAAGATTTTGGGGCGGGGGGGAGGTGATTTGGGGTATTTTAGTTTATGTTTTTGAGGAGGAAGGAGTGTTTTTTTTTCTCACAAGGGGTGTGTTTGTGCCGCAGGATGGGGTTGCTCACATGAGCGTCACATGCTGGCCCTTCTCCCCCCGCCTTGGGCCAGGAACACTCCAGAAAATGTGAATTTCCAGCTGCTCCCATGCCCTTTTTATCCCTGTTTTCCCTATTTCCAGGCATTTTTGGGAACCCAAATGCTTTTAGGGGTTGGGATCTGTCCCCCCACTGAGCTTGGGGAAAGATTTGGGATTGGGCAAAGTGCCCAAATCCCTTTGATACACATTTTATCCATCTGCGTGCCTCAGTTTCCCCGGTGCTGGGGGGACGCCCCCAATTTTTTGGGGTCCCCCTGGTGCTTCCAGCTTGATCCCATCCCAATATTCCCACCCCATTCCGAGCCTGGATCTTCCCACTACTCCCAGTTCAGCCCCTTTGGCCCAGTTGGAACCAGTCGGGAATTCCGGAGCTGAGAGCTGCCCTGGAGTGGGGGGGACCCCCCAAAAAAAAACAGGGAAAAACCCCCCCAAATCCGTGGGGATCCTGCTCTGACACAGAGTGGGGGAGGTTTATGGCTTTAATTATCTTAATTAGAGCTGTAAATTGGGCGGGGGGGGCGGTGAGTGCAGGGTTCAGCCCCACGGTTTGGGGTGGGGGGTGGCAGAACCTTTTCCAGGGGGGAAAAATCAACAATTTCAGGGGACTGGCGAGTGTCTCCCAAATTTTTTTGGGGGGTGTCTGTGCCCTCCCCCTTTTCCCACAGCCCTCTCAGCCCAGCCCATCCCTGGCCCAGAGCGGGATGACTTTTTGCCTACTTGGCCAGTAGCCAGAATGGCTCCATTCCAAAGGGAAACTGAGGCACGGACTGGGATAAGGATTGGGGGGGTGGGGGGGGCAAGGCAGAGCAATTTTGGGGGGGCTCCAAGTGGGAGAGAGGGTGGGAAGCAGAGCCAAGGTCACGGCCTTGTTATTCGACAGCAGCAACCTTTCACCCAGATCCCAAAAAAGGCAGGAATAGCAGGAATATTCCCCTGCCTCAGTTTCCCCACTCTGCACCCGCCCCCGCCCTACCCCAGCCTGTCTCTGTGCCTCAGTTTCCCTTCCTCTGTGCTTATTTTTTTGCTTTTTCCCCTGGGAAAAAAAAAAACCAAAACGGGAGATTCCACCAGAGCTGCTCCCAGAAAATCCAGAAGTTAGGAAAAAAAAAAAAAAAAAAAACCTGTTTTATTTATTTATTTTAAATTTTAAATTAAGTAATTATTTTAAAAAATAAAAACCCACTCCAAGGGAGGGTTCCTGTCATCCTCCCACCCCCCCCAGAAGAGACAAAGAGATCCGGGCACCATTTCATTAGTTTATTACAAACTTTGCCCCCCAGGGGCCACAAAAAAGGTACAAAATTTGCATTTTTGTGCTTCCCCCCACCCCCAAACACTATGTACAAAACCCAAGAGTACAAAAGGTCGCGATAGCGAGCTCTGTGTCACGACAGGACGGATTCGTGATGTCACAGCGTCCCCCCCACCTCCTCCCCGGGCGGGAGTGCAGGGCAGCCAGAGCAGCACCCAGAGTTAGAAAATCAGGATGGAATTAATTCAAACCACCATTTCCTGCCACCACATGTCACGACAGGCAGCGTTTGTGTCCCGACAGCTGAGTTTTTCCTGCTGTTCCCCAGCTGGCTTTGCCTCGAGTCCCCCCCTTCCCCAAATCCTTTTGAGGGTTTTCTGGGGAATTTTCAATTTTCCTCGAGGCTCTCGGGACGAGCGGCGGCTCCTCGGGAATTCGGCGGTTCCCCGGGAATGCAGCAGCTCAGTCCCCTTCTCCAGGTGTACTGGCCAGATGTGCTGCAGGTGTGCGGCACAGCCCAGCTGCGGTGCTCACTGGACGTTGTTGTTGCTGTTGTTGTTGTTGTTGTTGATGCAGGGATCCACCTGGGCGGCGGAGCAGGATGAGGGTGAGGGATCCAGGCGGGTGATCCCAGATCCACCCGGCCCCTGCTCCCGTGCCGCTGCCGGGCTCACCTCCGTGTAGGTGGGGGGAGGCATGAACTTGAACTCCGGCGCGTACATGAAGATGGGGCTGTCGAACCCGTCGGGATCGTCCAGCAGCGGCGTGGTGGGGCTTTCCAGCCGGTGATCCTCGGGAACGATGTCCAGGTAGCACGGGGGGGCTGTGGGGGTGCGGGGAGGGACTGGTGAGCTCAACTGGGAAGCCACTGAGGGGCTGCCACCACACTCTGTGAGGCCATCCCACTGTGGATCCCACCACTGTGAGCCCATCCCACTGTGGATCCCACCATGATCCCACCACTGTGATCCCACCATTGTGAGCCCATCCCACTGTGGATCCCACCATGTTCCCACCACTGTGAGCCCATCCCACTGTGGATCCCACCACTGTGATCCCACCACTGTGAGCCCATCCCACTGTGGATCCCACCACTGTGAGCCCATCCCACTGTGGATCCCACCATGTTCCCACCACTGTGAGCCCATCCCACTGTGATCCCCACCCCACTGTGACCCCACCACTGTGGATCCCACCATGATCCCACCACTGTGATCCCATCCCACTGCAATCCCACCACTGTGGATCCCACCATGATCCCACCACTGTGATCCCACCATGATCCCACCACTGTGATCCCACCCCACTGTGATCCCACTACTGTGATCCCCACCACTGTGATCCCCACCATGATCCCACCCCACTGTGATCCCCACTGTGGATCCCACCCCACTGTGGCTCTCCCCCCACTCACCCTCTGGAGCATCGGGGAGGTTCAGGTCCACCCAGCTCATCTCAGAACTGGTCTGACTGGCCATGCTGGAGCTGCGGCTGCCGATGCCGGAGCGGCTCCCAATGACCAACGGCAGCTCCAGGATGATTTTCTTGGAGCCTGGCACGCTGACGTAGATCTGCAGGAAAAGCCAGGATTTAGAGGCTTGGTGGGACAGCACCTCAGGATGAGGAGGAAGATGAGGGCGAGGATGAAGGGTCCCCCCACTCACCTGCAGGAAATACTCCACACGCAGGATGTTGCAGCCCAGGATGGAGGGTTTGAGCTTCCGCACGCGGATGGTTTTGCCACGCCAAGACTCCGAGGTACCGGAGATGATGTGGTTGCCTCGGACACAGGAGAGCTTCTGGGAGAAGACCTTGGTCTGGCCGTTGGCCAGGTAGGTGTGCTTGGCCACGATGGCCGCCTTGGGCACCACGATGCGCGAGCAGGTGTTCTCAAAGTCGGCGTTGATGCAGATCTCGTCGCCTGCCGAGGGAAGGAACCAGATGTTAGGGATGCTGGGGTTTCCAGATGTTAGGGATGCTGGGGGTTTCCTTCCTGGCTCCCCAGCTCCCTGTTCCCACCAATCCTCACCTTCACAGAAGCCCTTCCTGTCGATCTGGGCGCTGACAGACACCCGTCCATCGGGGATGAACATACACGACACTTTCTTCTCCTTTTTGGCTGCAACTGGAGACTGCGGGGGAGAGAGAACGGTCAAACACCGGCCCCATCCTGTCTTTCCCACCCTCCACCCTTCCTTCCTCCTTTTCTTCCTTCCCTTTTTTGCAACCAGCCCTCAAATTCCCCTGGAGTACAGAACACGCCCCACCCAGTGTCAGTTTCTGGAATTATCCAGAACCCTTTAATCCCAACCCTTAATCCCGCTCAGCCCAGATCTGATTAAAGCCACCTGGGTTGGGCTGACCCTCCCCAAGGACTTTTCTCCCCAGCCTCTGAGGAGCACTCGGGGCTCACCAGCAATTCCGGGGTGTTCACATCCACAGGATCCATCACCTCGAAGCGTTTCTTCACCTGCTGTGTGGGGCAGGCCGGGCGCTCCAGAGACGCCTTCACCCAGTAATCCACAGAGCCGTACTTCCCCTTGAACGTGGTGCCCAGCGGCCTGGAGACACGCAGGGGGTCACTCCAGAGCCAAAGCGTGGTTTTGCCATTTAATTCCACCCCCCAGTGCCAGCTGCTGCCTCATACTCACCCCTGGGGCAGCTCAAAGCCGAATTTGTACTCGTACTTGTTGCCAGGTCTCAGGATGACGGAGCCGTCCTCATCTGGAAGGGAGAAAGGGAAGGGAAACATTAGCTGGAGCTCCAAGGTGATCCTCGTTTCCAAGGGCGTTGGGTAACACCTGCCCACACCCCGGGAACCCCGTGTTCTGTCCCTTCACCTCACCAACACCCCGGGGCAGAACACGGTGTCTCACTGGCCCCACCCCACCTCCAGCTCCCCCTTATCTCCACCTCCAGCCCCAGGGTGTCATCTTGTGCCCGTCCCTGACGGTGCCACCGATGTTACCACAGGAAGCTCCCCAGGCTCTGATTTTTTCGTCCTTTAGCTCCCAAACTTCCACTTGGCTTGACCAAACCTCCCAACTTCCTTAAGTTTTCCTCCATTTGGTCATTTTTTTCCCAAGCTCCACACACAGCACCAACTCTGTGCTGGTCATCACTGTGACCCAGGGGTGCTTCTGGTCTTTTTGTCCCCCTCCCAAACCCCCTACCCCCATCCAGCCCGTACGTGGCCAAGCCCTGGGTTGGGCTGGGCTGATAAATCGCTGTTCAAAGTTACTCGCAGCCTCATTCCTCACCCGTGGGCTGCTCCTCCAGGGCCAGCACATCCTCGAAGCGCAGGTACTCCATCTCCTGCCGGCACTGCGCCGGGCCCTTGGCCCAGGTCACCCTGGCCACGCCACACGCCAGCACCTTGACGGCACTGACACGGGTCACCTCGGCCACCTCCACCAGCACACGCCCGGCCACCTTGTCCCCGCTGCAGTACACCTTGTCGGGCTCGCTGAAGGCCACCGCGAAGCTCTTCACCTTCTTGAACATCACCATGGTTTGGGGCAGGACGAGGGCGCACAAAGCAACGGCTCGCAGGGTTTTTATCCCCGTAAAGCAACAAAATCGGCCCGGGCCAAGCAATCAGCGAGGCGGAAAAATATACCACAAAAAAAAAAAAACAAATTAAAAAAATAAAATAAAGCGATGGAAGGCTTTGTTTAGAGACGCTGCGAAGTCGCCACAGGCAGCTCAGTCCCGGGCCCTCAGCGCTCTGCGAGTGCCGCCGCCGCCGTTGCCTTTTATAGGCTCGGCAGCCCCGCCCACCCCCGCCCGCGCCTGTTGCTGCCGGGGCCGCCACGCCGAGGGCGCGTGGCCCGGCGTGCTGCTCGCGTGATCAGCGCGCCCATTGGCTGCCGCTGCCTTGTTTACGGCAGCGCTGACCAATCAGAGGGGTGGCTGAGGAGCGTGGACAGCGGGTGAAGGAAAGCCGCGCGTGTTCAGCGGGGCGGGACGAACGGGGGCGGAGTGACAGCTGCGGGGGCCAATGGGGAGCGAGGATGGGAGGTGGTCTGACCAATGGGGAGCGAGGAACACGATGTCATGTTCCCAGGCTGGGGCGGGGGGGGTGCGGGGTGTTGGTCCCAGTTTGGGACGGGCCGTGTTGTACTGGGCAGACTGGGAGCGGCCCTGAGGGGCGGCGGGGGTGGGGGGATTCATCCCCTTCCTCAGAATCTCCCCACCCAGGGCAGCCTTCAGCCCCCCCGCTGAGCCCTCCCCTGTAAACTGGGGGAAATAAGGGCGGATTTGGGGTGCGGGATGGAACTGGGGGGACTGGTCGGGTTTTGGGCAGGATTTCCCCCCCCCCCTCTGCTGCTTCCATCCCCTGGAATCCCTTCAGGGGTTCCCTCAGCCCCCTGGGTGGTATTCTGCCACCCCCTCCTCCCACACACACTCCCCCCTTTATTTGGGGTAAATAAGGGTGAGTTTGGGGGTTCAGCATCCAAGCCTGGCTTTGGGGGTTCCCTCCCTCCTGGTGTGTTTGTGGGCGCCTCTTTTGCTTCCTACTCTGTCTTGGGGACACTTCCCGCTCCTTCTTCCCCAAAATACCCCTCCCAAACATGGATTTAAGCCTCAGCAAACACCCGCCTCCATTCCACAAACTGGCCCTGGGATTTGGGGAGTAGGACAGCATTTTTCCCCCTCCGCCACAACCCCTCCAAAGGAGACTTTGGCTTCTAAGAAACCTTCAGATGTCACTCCTTGCATCAGCATTAATCCAGGACAGGAATTCACTTTTTACCCTTTTTTTTTTTTTTTTTTTTTTTTTTTTTTCCCCAGTCCTTAGTGCCTTCCCAGCTCGGGAAAATGCTGGGAGCAGAGGAAATAGGAGAACAATGTCCATGGAGCGAGCCAGCAGTGGAAACGGGGGGGCTCCCCACCCTGGGGAGGGACGGGGAGGTGTTTTTGTTGGGAGTTGTCCTTCAGAGGTTGTTTGTCCGAGTGTTCCTGGCACTTTTCCTGCCCTTCCATCGCCTCCTTCCCCCCCCCCAGAGTTAATTCACACCTGATCGTATAAACCGATAAAGCACCGGATAAACTGTGGGCATAAACTGTTCTCCTGCCAAACCGCAGGACAGAATTCCTCCTTGAGAGGGAATTATTCCTTGGTTTGGTACAGAATTCCTCCTTGAGAGGGAATTATTCCTTGGTTTGGTGCAGAATTCCTCCTTGAGAGGGAATTATTCCTTGGTTTGGTGCAGAATTCCTCCTTGAGGGGGAATTATTCCTTGGTTTGGTGCAGAATTCCTCCTTGAGAGGGAATTCTTGGTTTGGTACAGAATAGAGGAATTGCACCTTTTTTCCTCTGCACCCCGTTGTTCTCCCACTAATAAAATGGTTCTGGGTTAGTGGAGAATTAGGGATTTGCAAGAATTTGGTGAAAGGTGGGGAGGTTTTTTCCAGCCTTCCCTGCCATGGGATATTTGACCCCTCAGATCTGAGCCCTGTTTACGCTCTCCCTCTGTGCCTTTCAAAGGAAACCGTTCCCCCCTTCGACACATTCCAGCAAAGCCAAAGGGCCTTGGAGCCCCATGCCAGGGAACACGTCCAGGATATGATCCCAAACGTGTTCCACATCCCAAATCCTCCCTGAAGTCCTCCAGACTTGTCAATCAGTGCTGCCCTTTCCCCTCCTGCCCTCCATCCCGTGGCAATCCCCTTCCAGCACTCTCTGCTGCTGGAATTCCCTCGAGGGTCGGGTTTGCGCTTGGAAATCTGGATGGATCTGGGAGTCGGGAATGCTGTGGGGTTTTTACTTGTAAAAAAAAAAAAAAAAACAACAACTTTCCTACTAGCAAATCTTCAAAACCAAGAAAATCAGGAGAGAAATCACCAGGGCAGGCAGGGACAATGTCCTACACCCACTAAAATGTTATTTAAGGCATTCATCCCCCTCCAAGCTGCTTTCACATGGGGCTCAGAGGATCCCAAATCTCTTTCCCACTGCCGCAGGCGAATAAATGGGGAAGAATCCAGGACCCATTGCTTTTCCCGGAGCTCCTAACCAGGGAAAAAGAGGTGGCCAGGCCACTGTGACTCACTTCTCCTGGGAATAACCCACTTCCAAAGCCACGGGGCGAGAAAATGGGCCCTGAGGTGACTCACTCGGGGAAGGTCCCGAGGAGGGAGCTGGGCATGGCACAAACTTGTTTTTGCCAGCACAACTCTCTGGCGTGCTGATAAGATCCGTGTTTTTTCTGCTCCGGGTTGTCTGGGTTGGTTGCCAGGAGAAGCCACAGCCTGGCCTTTGTCCTTTCTATCGGATCCAGTCGGGATCGCTGGGAAGAAGGAAAGTTCCAGCAGCCCCAAAGCTTCTCCGGGGTGTTTATTCCATATTTCTCACCTTATATGGTCTCTTCCAACCTATTCCAAGCTGGGGAAAGGGGTGGGGAGAGGGATCCACAATGGTTGGAGCGTGGGGACAGAGTGTCCCGGGTGTGCAGCTGGGAGCTGGGATGGAAAAGGCATTTCCTCTGGTTGTTTGTGCACGGGGGAACATTGGGAATAGAGCCCAGCTGGAGGGAAAAAAAAATTAAAAAAAAAAAAAAAGGGAACTGTGGGGCTGGAGTGGCTCCTGGAAAGCAACTGCTTGTCCAATAATGTGGGAAATAAATTTATAGCCTAAGGGAAAAGCCAAAGATTAACAGAAAACTCATATATACAAACATTAAAATGAGAAATACTGGCGTAGAAATGTCATGAAATGAAGCTAATGTTATTAAGGGAAAAAGTTTGACTAAAAAAAAGTTTCAAAATATAAAACTAAATACTTTAAAAACAGAACTGTAAAAAATACCTTTTAATACTTACAGAAATAGAACTATAAAAATACATTATAATAAAACCTACAAAGAGTAATTTTAAATGCGTAGCTTTAAAACATTTACAACAGAGTGCAACTACAACTAATAAACCAAAACACACTTATATAGTATAATTAAAATATAGTTAAATTCTAATTGTAATAACATAAATTATAACATCTATTTTTGTAGTATTTATTTCTATTATTTGATAACATTTATTTCTATTTTTAGAATATGTATTTATATTTTATAACATTAATTTCTATTATTTTATAACATTTATTTCTATTTTTATAACATGTATGTTGCTACAGGACACACATTACACAGGCTACCAGTACATCAAGTTTCTCCACCTCTATAGAGGAATACAAACCAATAGATTATTTACAGAAAATTATGTAAGAAAGTTCTCTACAAGAATATAAACTTAGAAGGCTTTAAAAAAAAAATCTTAAAAATCAAAGCAACACATGTATTTCTATTCTATTTATTATTTATAACATTTGTTTATTTCTCTTGTCTCGCCCATCTCATAAAACTAAAAATAAAATCAAAATTTTTAAAACACCCTCTCAATTGCCTCATCTCTAAGTTGAAAAACAAAACAAACAAATAAACAAATAAAAAACAAACTAACAAAAAAAAACAAACACCAAATAATCTTAATCCAACACGGGGATTTTCAGGAGTGGAGGCTCCAGAGCAGGGCCAGGATAGGATCCCCTTTCCCCCTTCCTTCAGAACTTGCACAGGAAGATTTTCCCCACCAAAATCCCACTTTTCCAACTCCCACTGGAAACTGGGACGTGGAAGTTCTTCATCCAGGTGGGATTTCTTCCCCTGTTTTCTGCCCTAAGGGGGTTTTTGGAGCAGGGAGGAGGAGATAAGGTTCCAGAAGAGCTCAAGGAGGAATTCAGATCTTGGGTCTGGAAGAGGCAGTGCCATCAGCTCCACTCCAGCTGGGAGAGAGGGACTTTTTTTTGTGGATTTTTTTCCTCTTTTTCAGCAGCTGAAACCGCTCTGAGGCTTCAAGCAAGAAGTGGGAGTGTCAAGCTTGGGGAAGAGAAGTGTGACTTGGAGCCATCTGGTGTCTGGAAGGTGTCCCTGCCATGAGCAAGGTGATCGTGAAGGTCTTTTCCGGCCAAAACCAATTCAAAACCTGGAATTCTGTGATTTCTTGGTGATTGGGGTGAGGATGGAAATCGTGGCACGCTGGAGCTCTGACTGTGCCGGAGTGCTGGGTTCTGTGGACATCTAGAGGCTTTCCCAGGAATGGCAGAGGATTCTTCATGCATCCATCCATCCATCCATCATCCATCCATCCATCCATCCATCCATCCATCATCCATCCATCCATCCATCCATCCATCCATCCATCCATCATCCATCCATCCATCCATCCATCCATCATCCATCCATCCATTCATCATCCATCCATCCATCCATCATCCATCATCCATCCATAATTCATCCATCAATCGATCTATCCATCCATCCATCCATTCATCATCCATCATCCATCCATGCATCCATCATCCATCCATCTACCACATCCTCTATCACAAGGCCACCATCTCCTTCTGTCACAAGCCACCACCTTCTCTGGCACAGGGCCACCACCTCCTCTGGACACCCAGCCAAGGCTCAAACCTGAGCCGTAGCCATGCAGGGCTTCAGCTAAATGGCGAAAATGTGCCAAGCCTGGGAAGGTCCTGGCCCATTCCCAAATTATTCCACACCGCTCCTCCTCAGAGGTACACTGAGGCAGGGAACAGACCTCTTTCCCCACCCCGAATCAAGGAGCAGAACGTCGGCGCCAGTCCAAGTTGTTGATGTCAACAAGAGTGATTCCATTGACGTCAGCAGACTTTGGATCGACCCTTCCCCTCCCCGGCTGATGTCACCTGCTAAAAAACACCTCAGCAGCTCCATCCAGCTCCCACTTGGGGTGGGTCAGGAGCTGAGGGGGTTCAGGGTGGTCTCCCAAGAGGGAGAGGCCTCAGGGGAGGGTTTGGGTTGGAAATTTTGGAAATGGTGTCCATGGGAAGGGAGGGCGGACGCTGGAACGGAGCAGTGAACCGTCCTGGATGTGTTCAAAACCAGGTGGATGTGGTAGCTGGGTCATGGGTGGCCTTGGCAGTGCTGTGGGAGAGTTAATGATTAATGACCTCAGAGGTTTCTCCAGCCTTAATGAGTCCATAATTCATCAGCAACAGCTTCTCCGTGCTGAAATCCAGTTGTCACCAGTGTCCGCACTGGGCCACTCCTGGTGGAACTCTGGGTGGGGTGGAGCTGCCGAGCCTCAAAGCTGCAACAAAGGCTCTCCACATCAGAATTCCTGGACATTTTCAGTGTGGGAGCTGCGCTCTAAATTTCAGAGGTGGCTCCTGAAAGCAGGGCTGGCAAGGAAAGCGCCAGGCCCAGTCCTGGTGGCGCAGGTGATGGGCTGTTCAGGAGGAGGGAAGGTCTAGTTCCATTGGAACCCTCCTTTCCCCGTGGAATTCTTGTTGAATGTCTCTCCTGGCCAACAACTAAAGGACAATTAGGTTCTGAATCTTCAAATCCATCCCATTTCCACCAGGAGCTCCAGCACCAGCAACGCTGCTCGAGGATTTCATCCCTTCAGAGAGTTTTATCCCGATGGAGAACATTCTCCCCACGGAGGATTTTATCCCCTCACAGAGGGTTTTATCCCCCCCAGATGATTTTCTTCCCAAAGTGACACATGGAGCACACCAGGAAGCAGCTTGCTTTCCTTTCCCAAAGCTCTGGAGAGTCAAAGGAGCAGGGGAGGAAGGAGATATTCTTATCCTCATCTGCCACTGCCACCCGAAGACGTGAAGAGACAGATGACAGGAAATGAGGACTCAAAAATAGTCCCCTTTAATGTCAAACCCATCAGGGATTATGAGGAGCAGGGTAAAAGACGTGGAGCAGGTCTCCTGCTGCTCATTGTGTGCTCTGAGCACCCCTCCGAGGGGGAACTCGCCGTGGTATCCATGAAATTATCTCCTTTGTGCTCTTGGCACAAAAGAGTCAAGAGAGAAAACCCCGTGGACGTATTGAAACATGAATTCTAGAACCTTCCTTGATGGAGCCTCAATGCCTGGAGGGGCTGAAATTCCCTTTCCCCCACCTCCACAAGCCCTGCCTGCAATTCTGTGGGACAGGGATGGCCAAGTTTTTAATGCTTTATTAAAAATAAAGTCTTCCTTCCCTAAGGAAACTATTTCTCCTGTAAAGCTCCATCTGCTTTACTGAAATCCTCTGAAATATGTGAAATTTGCCCTCCCCTCTGCAGTTCTGCACCTTCCACGGGGCAATACCCTGCCCCTCTGTGTGCCCAGCTGGCTCTTTGCCATCAGGAATTCTGTTTTCCAAGCAAAAGTTCCAGTTTGGGTTGGATTTGAGCAGTGACAGAGAATCTGGGCCCAAGGGAGAGAATTCCCAAGGGGTGTTTTGTCCTCCCTAAAACCTGACACCGGTCCCAAGTCCAGACCCGGCTAAATCGAGTCCACAGCAGGTGCCAAGAAAACAAGGAAAAATAGCAACAGTGGCCTGGGATATAGGAGGTCTCAAGCTCTACAGCTCCCACTGCTGGAGATCCACTTGTTATTTATCCTGGAAGAAGAGCACATGGACAAAACCAGCTGATTTCTACTCAAAAGTCTCCCTCTTGGTCACAACGCTCCCCAAACTGATCTGTGGCCTTGCTTTGCTTTGGGAGCAGCTAGGTGAAAGGGTCCCAAATCCATAAAAAAGCCACTTTTTTTAACTGCTGAAAACTGGGCTTTGAGTCTGTTGTTTCTGGATCTGTAAGGTTCCTGCATGGAATTCTGCTGGATTAACACGGGGGAAAGGTGGGAAGTGAGTTATGGAAAGGCTCTGAGGGACAGAGGGGCTTTCTAACCCAGGGGGTTTATTTTTCTTTGATGCACTGCAATGGCACATCCTTAGGAGAAAAGGAACATGTCAGAATGGAACAGAAAAATTTGGATCTTCAGGAGAGGAGCTGGCAGCAGCTGCACCATCCGTGTGAGACCAGTGGGTGCAAACCAAGGGTTCATCTCTTCCCTCTCTCGGGTCTCTGAGACACCTCCTCAAGGTGAGGAATCTCTCCTGGCTGCAGCTTGGAGCCAGCAGCTCTCACGGGTTCCCTGTGGAGCAGGCAGGGGTTAAAAGTGCAACAAAACAGCCCAAAGTCCACAGGGGAGGAGGAAGAGGAGGGATGGAGAGGTGAGCGGGCAGCCCCCTCCAGCTTGGAAGATGTGGAGCTTCTCAGCATCGGGCAGGAAGAGCCGGGCATCCTCCAGCGCCCCGTGCGCTGCCATGGTGAAGTTGGTGTCCCCTGAGGTGACCACGTCGAAGACGCACGACTGGAAGTAGACATCCTCCACGGGCAGCATCTCCCGGCAGAGCGCCCGCGCCGTCTCCGCGGGGACGCGGCCGCGGCCGCGGGGGCTGCGGGACATGCGCTGGCTGCGGGGACAACCGCCCACGCAGAGCTGCAGGTCCTGCTCCTCCGTGAAGGCCCGGGCCACCTCCTCGGCAGCGCGGATGGAGAAGGAGAGCTGGCGGCCGGCCTGGCGCACGGCGATGGTGGTGCCGATGTAGTCGGCGCGGATCTCCACGTGCCGGCCGGGGCTGCGCTCCCAAATGGCCAAGCTGCTCCCGCCCGGCCGCGCGCCACCGTTGATGGAGCCGTCCTGGAAGGCTGCAGGGACATTGTCCAGCTCGGCCTGGTAGACCTTCTGGTCGATGCATTCCTTCATGTTCTTGAATATGATGGTCAGCTGTGGGGAGCGGGGTAGGAGGGGGATGAGTGTGGTGGTTGTGGTGCCATCCCAGGTGTGTGGGGTGTCCCAGGATGGAGGTGCCACCCCACCTATCCATCCTCAGACCATCCCTGCTACAGTCCTTTGGGGATAACAGCAATCTTTCCTTCTTTTTTACGCAACGGAAAACTCAGGTGGAGCCAAACCCAGCAAGATTCCTCCAGGCGCCCCATGGACCACAAGATTCCTCCATGGACCACAAGATTCCCCCAGGCACGCCATGGACCACAAGATTCCTCCATGAACCACAAGATTCCCCCAGGCACACCATGGACCACAAGATTCCCCCAGGCACGCCATGGACCACAAGATTTGTCCACCACCCCATGGACCACAGGATTCCTCCAGGCACCCCATGGACCACACAATCACCTGACAGCAGCAGGAGTGCTTGAAGGTCCCCTCAACAACGTTCACCACTGTTGTCCCTCTTTCTTCATCCCCCCACCGGGGTTTGGGAAGGATTTTGGGAAGTTTAGGAGGAGCCCCGACCCTGGATTTGGCCACCCATCCTGCGCACCAACGTTACCTTGCTGGTGACCGTTGCGTTGGACCCCTTGGCCACCGGCGAACTGGTGGCTTGCACAAACAGGTAATCGTTGTCCAAGAGCGGCCAGGAGCCCTCCACCCGGCACGTGTGGAAGTCATCGTGGAAGGTTCGGATGTGGGGATCCCCAAAGGCAGCGCAGTGCTGGAAACCGGGGGGGCGGCCGTGCTTGTAGAGGAAACTCCGCTCGTAGTCGCAGATATCGAGCGACTCGAAGCCGTGCGGGTTGGGGGCCGGGGGCCGCGGCCGTGGCGGGGCCGTGGGCCCTTCCTTGGAGCAGTTGTTCTGGATCATGAGGTCCTCGATGCCGTGCACGGCCGAGTGGAAGGCCAGGTCGCCGCGGCAGGTGCGGGCGGTGCGGCGGGTGCACAGCGAGTAGGAGCGCAGCGCGGTGCAGAACGCGGCGCCGCGCTCGGGCCCGCGCAGGTGCAGCGTGGCCGCCACGTAGTCCGAGTTGCAACGGAGGATCTTGCACTGGGAAGAGACTGGGAGACACGGGGTGGCTCCTTGAGACGAGGGGATGGGGTGGGGAAGGGCAGCCTGTCCTCCCCCTGATGGTAAAAGGGTTTTAAAATCATGGGGATTTGGGGTTAAAAGGAAAATTAAGCTTAGTAGGCCCTGAAAAGAAAATAAATACTGTAAGTACATGAAGGCCTTGTACCTTGCTAGAACTGCACCTGTGTATCTAGTAGATGATAAGTGATATAATTATTAAATGTGATGATTGTTTAGTAATTAAATACAATTACTGTTTAATCATGAGAAACTGTGGTCAGGGGCCCAAGAAAGATCACGAGAAACTCATGTCAATGTATACAATAGAACAATATATGTTTAATAATTAATATGTAAGTTATATAATGATAGAATATAAAATACATTCAGCTCCAAAGCTGTGTCGGAGTCAGATTTGGGTCTGTACCCCTGATTTCAGAGCTCTTCATCAATAAAGGCACCTACAGATGATCATATCCTGTGATTATGTGTGTTCCTGAACGCTGCACCCCCACCAGCCCTTGTGGTGTTCACATGCCCTCTGAACAGAGAGAGATTCTCTCAGGATTTCCCCCTGAGAGAAACAGAGAAAAGAGAATCAAAACAATTCTTATCTCATTCACTGTTGGTGCCCGTGTAGAATGTAGTGCAGAGATTGTTTACCCAAAGTGATTATTGATTGAATTCTGATAATAGTTGCTTAGATTCATTGACCAATTAGATCCACGTGTGACTCTCAGGAGGCAGTGATGGCTTTTCTAGTTAGTAGTTACTAATAGCTCTTGTCGGTGTAAATAAATAAAATTATAGTATAATATAGTATAATAAAGTAATTAATTATCCTTCTGAAATCATGAGAGTCCTACAGATCACTCTTCCCACATCAGGGATCCCAGCAGCAATAACCCCCCACCATCCAGGTTCTCATGGAGAGTCCTCCTGGAAGCATTTTTTCCTGGTTTTTACAGGGAACAACTCTGCCCAGCCGTTCCTTACCATGCCGGCAGAGGAAGAGGAGCAGGAGAGCTCGGAGGAAGAGGCCGGAGTTTTCCAGCTGCCCTGGGCTCCTGCTGTGGGCAGCTCTGCCCATTCCCATCCATGTGGAGCCTGGGGGGTCTCTCACCCACCAGCAGCTCCCGGCTTCATTCGGCAGCTCCCCTGGAAGCAGAGGTGGGCTTGGAGAGACGGGACCAAGAGGGGCAGCGAATCCAACCCAGCCCTTCCAAAGGCCACTGCTTGTCCCCTGGTGGCACATCCACATGGCTTTGGACACTTCCAGGGGTGTGACTCCACCCGGGCAGCCCGTGCCATGCCTTGACCACCCTTTTCATGAGGAAATTTCTTGTTATCCAACCTAATCCCACCCTCCCCGGTGCTGTTTCCTCACAGGGGTGGGTGTTGAGCGTTTCTCTCCACCCTCACTTTGGGGACAGCACATGTGGGATCAGAGCCTGAAGCATCCCTGGGTGCCAACAACATCCTTGGACCCTCATTCCTGCTTTCCCACTGCCCCCTCACCTGTCTCAGCCTCCTGAGGAAACGATCTGGCTCCCAGCGCTGGGAGCTCCTTCCCTGCGGGCCACATGGGCGTCCTTGTCACCAGCTCTGCCCCAAGTGCCAGCCAGAGGGACCCATGGCACGAGCCAGGAAAATTCCAGCCCCTCTGGGCTCCTCCATGGTCCTGCAGCCGGATAAAATCTGGGCTCCCAAAAATCCGGGGGCCAAGGAGTGGAGCCCCCCGTGGCTCCTCGTCCCTGGCCACCTTTGCTCTGTCCTTTCCCCTGCGGGGCAGAGCAGAGGCGGGGGGTGAAATCGATCCTTCTAAATTTAGCTGGGCTCTGATCCAGCCGGGAACAACAGCCAGAGCATGGAAAAGGTGGGGCACAGCAGCTCCAGGAGGAGTTGGGAGCCCCCAAACCCTGGGGAACTGTGGGGTTTCATAGGAGCTTTCCTGGAGCTCCATGAGTTTTCCTCCTTGGAAACCTCAGCTGGCACCAGCTGGGAGTGAATCCCTGTGGAAAAGCTTTTCCCTGTGGGATGTGTCCCCCAGGGAATGGGATGTTCCCTGGCAGGGAGGACTTTTCCAGCGATTTGTCTCACAGCCTCCCCTCCTGGGGCACAGCCAAGTCCTGAGCGCAAACATGGCACGGGCCAAAGTTGGCCAATGTCCCCAGGGGTCGATGGCCAGTGTCCCCAGGGCTGGTGGCCAATGTCCCCAGGGATCAATGACTGCCTGACCACGCTGGCTGCACTCCTAAAATCCCATTTACACAGGTGCAGGAAGGAGCTGCACCAACCCCTGCTCCCTGCAAGGAGAAGGAATTCTCAGGAATGTCCAAACCGGGATTTTTCAGGTCCATTCCAGAGGCCATGGAGGAGGACGGGGGTGGGAAGTTGGTCCCTCAGCATTCCAGCACCCAAAAATCCCTTTGGGGACACATTCAGGAAAGCCTTCTGCCTCCTAAACCAAGTTCCTGCTGTTTTCCACACCTGGCTCTGCCCTGCAGGGAGCAAATCCTGGTGCCCACCTGAGCCCAGCGCTGGGACTGGGGTGGGAAAAGAAGTATTTGGTGAAATCAGAGTTTTGCCAGAGAGCTGGAAGAGTGGATCCCTCTTCTTTCCAGGATGGGCCATGTGCACAGTCAATCCCAAAGGATGCACTCTTCCTTCCATGCCATGCTTGCAAGGAAATAAATCCCATCCCTTCCATAAATAAAAGAAATAAATCCCATCCTTTCCATAAATAAAAGAAATAAATCCCATCCTTTCCATAGATAAAGGAAATAAATCCCATCCTTTCCATAAATAAAAGAATTAAATTCCATCCTTTCCATAAATAAAGGAAATAAATCCCATCCCAAGCATAAATCCCATCCCTCCATCCCCACACCTCTACCAAGAATCCAAACACTCCACTTACCCTTTCAAATGCCACTTGATGGGCAAAAAAATCCCAAAATCCCAGAGCAAAACCCTCCAGAGGAAAATCCTGGTCCTCGGTTGGGGTCTGAGAAGGGAATCCCGGCTGTTGCCAGCCAGGCTTGGAGCAGAGGGAGGAAAAAACAGCTGAAGATTCTGACAGGCGGATGGGGGAGCTTTAAAAATAGCCGGGGTGATTTTTGATCCCAAAAGGCGAATTCCAGTGGGGAGGGGAAGGGAGAAGGCAGAGAGAGGCAAAATTCTGTGGAGTTGCTCAGAGCTGCCCATCCTGAGGTTTCTCCAGGTGTGGGAGAGGTTTGAGGAGAGGATCCGTGTTCAGCCATGAAAAAATTTCCTGCTGAGGTCCTGGACAGAGAAACCATGAAAGAAAATATGAGAGAAAATAAGAAAGAGAAAATAAGAAAGAAAGAGAAAAATAAGAAAGAAAGAGAAAAATAAGAAAGAGAAAATAAGAAAGAAAGAGAAAAAAGGAAAGAGAAAATAAGAAAGAAAGAGAAAATACAAAAGAGAAAATAAGAAAGAGAAAGTAAGAAAGAGAAAATAAGAAAGAAAGAGAAAATAAAAGCAAATAGGAAAGAAAGAGAAAACAAAATAAGAAAGAAAGAGAAAATAAAATAAGAAAGAAAGAGAAAATAAGAAAGTAAGAGAAAATAAATGAAAAAATAATAAGAGAAAGCTGCAGCTGCCTATTCCAGTGAGCAATGGAATAAAAAATGAGAGTGAATCTGGGAAATATGAGGGTGATGCTGGAAAAATAGGGGTGAATATGGGAAATTCAGGATAAAAGGAGGAAAATCAGGATGAGTCTGGAAAAATAAGGATGAAAATAGGAAGAGAATAAGGGAAAAAATGAGGAGAAATAAAAAATGTCCCCCCCGTGTCCCCCCGCGCGCGCCTGGCTCCGCCCCCACACCGCAAGCCCCGCCCATTCATTCCATATAAGGAAAAATGGGAGTGGTCTCCTTGTGTGGGTGTGGCTTACGCCGCCTGAGCGTTTCGCGGCGCTGATTGGCCGGGGCGCGGTCACGTGACGGCGGCGGGAGCGGAGCGGGCGGTGAGGGCCGGGACGGGCCCGGGGGCACCGGGAGGGACCGGGAGGGACCGGAGGGGACCGGGAGGGGCCCGAGCGGCACTGGGGACTCGGGCAGCATCTGCTGGTCACGGGGTGTGTCCTGTGGGAGGATCGGGGGGTTCCCGCGGGGGACAGGGGGTGCTGAGGGGAGTCAGGCCCGGCCCTCCTGCCCTCAGGGCCTTCCCCGGCTGCGGGCCCGAGTTCCCGGGGCTGGGCCCTCAGGGCTCCCCCAGACTCGCTGCGCCCAGCACCCCGTTATTCCCGCTTCTGCCCTCTCCAGCACCCCGTTATTCCCCGTTCCAACCCCCAGCACCCCGTTATTCCCCCTTCTGCCCTCTCCAGCCCCCCCTTATTCCCTGTCCCACCCCCCCCCAGCACCCCCTTATTCCCCGTTCCACCCCCCAGCACCCCCTTATTCCCCGTTCCACCCCCCCAGAACCTCGTTATTCCCCAGGTAGGGATCTGGGAGGGTCTCTCACCCTGCGCCCCTCCAAATCCCCTCTCTGTCTTGCAGCCCTTCTCCAATCCGGGGTCCTCTTTGGGACTGGGGTGTTTCTCTGCTTGCACCCCCCAAATCCCCCCTCTGTCTTGCAGCCCTTCTCTGGTACCAGGTGGGGATTTTGGGGTGTCTCTCTCCCTTCACCCCCTAAATCCCCCCTCTGTCTTGCAGCCCTTCTCCAATCCGGGGTCCTCTCTGGGACTGGGGGGTTTCTCTGCTTGCACCCCCTAAATCCCCCCTCTCTCTTGCAGCCCTTCTCCGATGCGGGGTCCCCTCCTGGCGGGGGCCATGGGGGGTCCCCTGGCCCGCACCATCCGTGCCAAGCTGACGGCGGCCCTGCAGCCCACCCACCTGGAGGTTCGGGACGACTCCCCCCTCCACGGGGGTCCCCCCGGAGCCGAGACTCATTTCGGGGTGCTGGTGGTGAGCGGGCGCTTCGCGGGGCTGCCGCCGCTGCAGCGGCACCGGCTGGTGCACGAGGCGCTGCGGGCCGAGCTGGCCGGGCCCCTGCACGCCCTGCAGGTGGTCGCCCGCACCCCCGAGCAGTGGCAGAGCGACCCCCAGAACCCCCCCGCGCCCCCTTGCCTGGGGGGGTCCAAGCGGGAGAAGCGCCGCGGGGCCCGGGAGGAGGAAGAGGAGGAGGCGGGGAAGAAGTGATGGCGCCGGGAGCCCTCCAGGAACAACGTGGGGCTCTTGGGACCCCCCCCCAGGAACAACGTGGGGCTCTTGGGACCCCCCCAGGGACAACGTGGGGGCTTCCAGGACCTCCCCACGGACAACGTGGAGCTGCCAGGACCTCCCCAGGAACAAGACTGCATTCTTGGGAGCCCCAAGAAACAGTGTGGGGATGCCAGGACCCCCCCCCAAGAACAACGTGGGGCTCCTGGGACCCCCTCAGGAACAGCGTGGAGCTCTTGGGAATCCGCCAGGAACAGCGTGGGGCTCTTGGGACCCCCACCCCATAGCACCCCCACCCTGCAGGGGATTTTTGGGGTGTCCCTCCCATTGAATCAATTTAAATAAATGTGTTCTGTGGGCAGCAGAGTCTGGGGAATCCTTTTTTTTTGGGTGGGGAGGGGGAGGGAGGTTTGGGGTAACACTTTTGTGCCTTTTTTTTTTTTTGGGATTTTTTTTTTTTCCATTTTAATTAATTTACAAACACCTGAAACTACAGCACGGCACGACAGAGCTACAGGGGGGGGCCGGGGGGGGCCCCCCCCAAAGACCAGCTACACCAAGGAGGGGACAAAAGCACACGGGGGGGCTGCTTGGATTGGGGGGGGCTGCCCTGGGGCTGGGGGGGCTCCCAGGCTCTGACAACCCTGTGGGAAGGGGGCAGAGCATGGGGGACCCCCCCAAACCCCTCAGGTTTTGAGGGGGCATAGCACTGGGATCCCCCCCTGAACCCCGATTTTTTTTGAGCACTGGGGACCCCCTTGTACCCCGATTTTTTTTTTTGGGGGGGGGGGGTTTAGGGGCTGTTTGTGCTTTGCAAACCGCTGGTGGTTTTGGGGTGGGGGGGTGGTAAAAGTGGGGGGGTGGGGGGATTGTGGTGGGGAAGGGGTTAATAGGGGATTAGGGGGGCTGGGAGGAGGAAAAGAGGGTGCAGGGAGACCCCCCCCTCACCCCGCACCCCCCCCTCACCCACACCAGCCTCCCTCCGATAGGGGTTTTCCTATTTTTAAATTATTTAAAAATCTGTTAAAAATCACTAACTGGCAGTTTTTGGGGGTCCCCCCCGCTGCTGCACCCCCAAATGAGACCAAGGATTTTGGCTTGGGGGGGGGGGGGGGCTGTGCTTTGCACCCCTGAAAGTTGGGCACCCAAAAATTGGGGTGTCCTGGGGGGGGTGGGGGTGTCGGAAAATGTGCTTTAAGGGGGGGGGGGGCACCCTAAAATTCTTAAGCAGCCCCAAAAGGGATTCTGCACCCTCCAAAAGAGATCTGCACCCCAATATCCTCTGCCCCCCCCACCCCAAAATCCCCGGGGGTTTGGGGGACCCTGCTGGGTGCCATTCACAAGGATGGGGAAACTGAGGCACGGGGGCCCACGCGGAGACTTCATCCTCCTGCTCCTTGGCTCAGCAGGGATTTGGGGGATGCACAGCAATGTGGGGGTTCAGAGGGCCTGTGTCACCCCCCCCCCAATGCCAACCCCCCCCACCCCCCAAAATCCTGCCCCACAGCCCCCCAGGAATGAGCAGCAACTCACAAAAAAGGGGGGGGATGACACCAAGAAAAGAAATTGGGGGGGAGAGGCTGAGGGGGAGAATTTGGGATTTTTTGAGGGGGGGGAGTTGGAGGTTTTGGAGGTACAAGGGGGGATTATTTTTTTTTTTTGGGGGGGCGGGGGGAGTCCAAGTGCAAATGAAAAAGATCCCAAATGCTCCGAGAAGACGTTTCACAGTGTCTAACGCGACTAACCCCGGGGGCACGAGGAGGAGGAGGAGGAGGAGGAGGAAGGTGGGGAGGGGGAAACGCTGAATTTTGGGGGTTCCCCCAAGCGAGGAGGGGGTTCCCCTCTCCCCCAGCTCCCCCCCATCACTGCAGGACCTGCCCCCGTGTCTCGGGCAGTTTGAGGGCCAGGGAGCTGCCGAGGGCCAGCGCGGCCGAGGCGAAGAGGATGGGCACGGCCTTGGTGATGCCCACGAAGGACGTGAAGATGCTGATGCCCAGCACGGCTGCCAGCTTGCACAGAGCGTTCAGGAAGCCAAAGGCCGTCGTCCTGGGGAGGATGAGGAGGGAATGATTTGGTGGGGGCAACCCCTGGAGGAAGGTGTGGGTGCTCAGCCTAACGGGGGCACCTGAGGTGGGCAGGTGGCACCACGAAAGTGGCGCCTGGAAGGGTGAAATGGGCACCTGGGACTCCAAAATGGGCGCTCAAAACATTTAAATGGGCACCAGCGCCCCAAAATGGGAACTCTAAAACCTTAAATGGGCACCCAGCACCCCAAAATGGGAACTCTAAAACCTTAAATGGTCACAAAACCTCCCACCCAGTACCCAAAACCTCGCTCCTTGCACCCAAAACTCCACTCCTTGCACTCAACACTTGACACCTTTCACACAAAATCTCCACCCAGTGCCCAAAACTTCACTGTTTGCACCCAAAATCTCCACCCAGCAACCAAAACTTCACTCCTTGCACACAAAACCTCTACCCAGCACCTAAAACTTCACTCCTTGCACCCAAATTTTCACTCCTTGCACCCAAATCTTCACTCCTTGCACCCAAAATCTCCACCTAGCACTCAAATCTTCACTCCTTGCACCCAAAACTTCACTCCTTGTGCCCAAAATCTCCACCCAGCACCCAAAACCTCCCACCCAGCATCCAAACCCTCCCACTCAGCACCCAAATCTTTGCTCCTCGCACCTAAAACTTCACTCCTTGCGCCCAAAACCTCCCACCAGCACCCAAAACTTCCACCCAGCACCCAAAACTTCACTCCTTGCACCCAAATCTTCACTCCTTGCACCCAAAAGCTCCGTGCCAGGCCCCCACCTCTTGTCAGAGGGGTACAGCTCCACGGTGAGCACGTCGAGCGCGTTCCAGGAGGCGATGCTGACCCCGCCGAAGAGGCAGAGCAGCGCGATCATGGCAGACTCGCTGTTCCCAAAGGACAGGAAGAAGCAGCTGACGCAGGACATGACGCTGGAGCCGGCTGGGGGACACATGGACACGTCAGAGCACAGGGAAACTGAGGCACGGGGTGGGAGATGACAGTCCCAAAGGGGAGAGGGAGATGGGGGTGACCCACCAGGAGGTCCCTGAGAGGTCACCGGAGATGGAGGTGACTGGAGGGTGGGAGGAGGATCAGGAAAGTCCCCAGAGGGGTGATGGAGGTGGGATGACCCAGCGGGGTGGGACTCAGATTCAGTCAAAGAAAGAAACTGAGAGTTTCTAGCCAGGCAGATGCCTGAGAAAGAGCTGGAAAGAATGTAAATAATCCTTTATCTCTCCTGTTGTTCACATTGTTTATAGTTAAGTTCTATCACTGTGCATCAAGCGCTCTGCACCAATGCTTTGAGTTGTTTTCGCTTCAGAACCAATGGATTTGGTCCTTGCGAAGCTCTGTATAAAAGAGCAGGATATTTTGAATAAATCAGAGTTTTACTCTCAGCAGCCTTCTGATCAGAGTCTCTTCATTCCCGTCCTGCCTCGACAGCGACGCAGCGGGGTGAAGGTGATGGCGATGAAGTGACCCAGCGGGTGGGAGGTGGGTGAAGAAGATGGAGAGCCTGAAGGCACCTCCAGGACCCCCCAGCCCCACCAGGCTGCCCCGAGCCCATCCCGTTGCCCACCCAGCATGCGCAGGCGGCCGATCTTGTCCATGAGCAGGGCCGAGACGATGTTCCCGGGGAGCACGGCCAGGGTGCCCAGGAAGCTGACAAAGTAGATCATGTAGGCGTTGTTGTCGTCGCTGAAGTCCAGCTGGCAGCCCTCCTTGTTGTGCAGGAACGTGCTGTTCAGCACCCGGCTGTTGATGAACTTGTACTCGAAGAGATCTGGGGGCACAGCGGGGCCGTGGGGGTCACCCCAATCGCCGTGCACACCCTTCCCGCCCCACCTGCTGGGTGTCCCAGGTTATAATATTGGGGTGTAGTCCATAACCACCTCGAGCTGCAATTCCTTTTTTTTTTTCTCCCCTTATCTCGTGACTCAGAGATAAATCCCTTCAGGAGGAGCTGTTCTTTTAGCCACATGATTGATAAGATCACAGCGTTCTATTGTGAGAGGCTCCGCCCAGAGGGAGGAGCCAAATTATGTCCCTCCAGGATATAACAGGGTTGTGCAGACACCAAGGAGATCCCCTCTTCCAAGAGGAACAGCTGAGACCTTCTCTGCACTGGACCTCCAGAGGGAAACTCCATCAGTCTACAGGAGCACTGCTTGGACAGAGCCATATCTGCCACCACCGCCCCAGCCAGCGAGTGTCAGGTTGTATCTCTGACTCTGCCAGTGGTTCTTCTTTTGTGCTGTTGTATCTATTTGGTTCTTTGTCCCCTTTTCTGAATAAATTGTATTTCTGACTTAGAGCCTCTCACTGGTTTTGCTTTTCAAACCAAGACATGGGTCAACCACACCTCCACCACCCCCTCGAGGACCACATTACCTCTACCACCCCAACTCCACCGTGCCGCTGGGGGCTTTCCTGACCTTCTGCCAAGCTGCTGCCTCACCCCCATCCCCATCCAAACCCCCTGCGTGGACACGGGGATCCCATTCCCCCACCTGTGTTGTAGAAGACGGTGGAGATGAAGGTGCAGTTCTTGAAGAAGGTGTTGCTGGAAGTGATGTCCTCGAAGTAACACTCCTCAAAGAGCGAGTCCTCGAACGTCACTGACTTCATCTTCAGCCCGATGAACCTGCACGGGGGGACAGGAGGGGACCCCAGATGAGCAGCCCCAAGCTCAGCAACCCCAGGCTCAGCCTCCCCTCACTCACTTGTCGTTGAAATACTCCCCACCACGGTGCACTTGGTTCTCCAGGGTGAAGTTGAAGGTGAAGTGCCGGACCTTCTCGCGCGTGAAGAGCTTCGTGCGTGACGCGTACTCGATGCTCTGCAGGTGCTTAATCATGTCCGGGAACCACACGGTGAGCCCGTAGTAGCTGCGGGGACAGGGGTGAGCGGGCACCACACACCTGGGCGTGCCAGAGCTGGCCCAGGGCTGCCAGGGCCAGCCCTGAGCTCCCAGTGCTAGCCCAGTGATGCTGGTTCCATCCCATCCTGCTTGGTGCTGCCCCGACCCATCCCATTGATCCCATCCCGTTAATCCCATCCCATTGATCCCATCCCATCCCATTGATCCCATCCCCTCCCATGGATCCCATCCCACCTCATCACATCCCACTGATCCCATCCCATCCCATCCCATTGATCTCATCCCATCCCATAGATCCCATCCCATTGATCCCATCCCATCCCATGGATCCCATCCCGACAATCCTATCCCACCTCATCCCATGGGTCTCATCACATCCCATTGATCCCAGCCTATCCCATCAATTCCATCCCATCCCACTGATCCCATCTTA